CGAGCCGACTGGCTATATATGTGTGTACGCGGTATACGCTGCCGCGATGGCGTTACTCTATACAAACGGCCCGTCATTTCAATAATAATAATCTACTATTTATATTCATAAGTCATCGTTTTTTAGTGTTTTAATGTGCCTAACGGCGGCGGCGCCTCAAATGTCTCTTTCTCTCTTTATGTGCTCACACCGACACCGAATACATTGTTTTTAACTAACCAAAATTCAACACGACACATATATAGGTACGCCCGCGTTATACCGCGTAAAAGAATGTTAGGAAGTATTTTTTTTATGTATATAGTATATAATTTTAACATTCCATTTTGGGACAAACAAAAATAATGATAATAACAATGTAGATGGTAGAATCGTTTGTAAATTGTAGACAATGCACAAGCAGTAAGTACAAACGTAAAATACGCTACATCTAGTATATAAGGTTAGTGGTTACAGTAATTTGTTAGGTTGATCCAAACAGTGCGGCGCTTTTCCCATACTGTTAGTCTCGTTTGACGAAATTATGCAATGTGATGATTAAATAAATATTATTTTTTAATAAGAAAATAAAATAAAAAAGTACATAATCTTATACGTTTTATGTAGGAAACAAGTAAACAGCAGTTATTAAATAAGATACGAGTATGATACTCGGCTGAAAATTTAGTTAAGACAACTTAATGTTAGATAATAAATATACACATGTAGTATTGGATAATATGCACGAGTTGACATGACAAGAGTGGCGGATGCGGCGTTTTCTTGCACTTGGGCATGCCGCTTGCCGGAAGGACATTTCCATTGATGTATCTGCGTACCGGTCTGAACACAAAAGGCCGCAGATTACGCACGGTTGGCGGGTCGCTTTTAAAAGCCGTAAAGCTACACAGACAACAGTGATAATTGTTTCCGGCAAAATCCGCATGTAACGATGTTTAGCTAGGAAACACATGACATGTAGAAAAGCGCCCGGCCGAAAATGTCTCGCTACATAAATATAAGTACATACATACTAACAACAGTAGAAGCCATACTAGGGGTTCTAACGCTACGGTCCTATTCAAATGCCGACGACCATCAATCGAGTTTTCCCTCTTTTTCCTTCTCTTTTTGTCCTTATTTAATAAACGCGGTAACAAAAGTGAACTGCAACAGTTACTATACATCATAAGTCATAACTACATATTATATAAAACAAATTTACCGGATAATGCCTCAATATCATTATATTTATTCGTGTACACAGTGTAGAATACCAATTTAAAAATGTAAAAACCAACCGTCTTTGATTACAAATGGAAACTGAAAACCCAAGAAAATATTACATATTTTACATACGATATTTATAAGCTACTCATATTTATAGGCTAACTCACTACACATAATATATCAAAAATTATAGGTACCCACCAACAAACATAACATAACAAATTTATTAAAACTGGTTACTACTACATCTTAGCTTCGATGCAACAGCTAGAACCTATTGGTTTTATAAATTATAATGTTTTTTTTTTGTGTGCGTAAATACGATAACTTTTTTACAAACTACTAATAAAACCGCTATGGACCTACGGCTTACAAATCTGGTGATCCGCAAAAAAATCAAATCTAAACAAATTCAAACTGTTCAAAATAAAACTCTCCGTCTCATTACTATAACGTCCCTTTTTATATAACCAACAAACCCTTGCATAACGATCTTTACATTAAAACAATACCTGAATGTGCTACTCAGTCATATACCAGATTGATAACTCTCTATCCAACCATCCTAACATTCTGGCCAGGAACCTAGCGTTACCTAGCATGCCAGAAAACCCTATTAAAGACTGAAACGCAAGTGGTACCTACTACAGCAGTAATAAAACGAAAAAAATTATAAAATTTCCGTGAAGTGTCGTCGATGGTTTCTTATTCAAGTCTAACACGCTATTATAACCAAAATTATCATTTTTTTTTTTTTTGAGATTCTGCATATGTACAATATTTCTCGACAATTACATATAATTAAACAATAGAAAAATGGCTAATAGATATAAACAAAATTAAAAGAAAACTTGCCAAAATACATTAAATAGAAAAACTAGCCTCGGTAATAAAGGAAATAATGTGTAGGATGGGAGGTTCGAGCATAGAAGGATATTAAAAGGGATGTTAAAGGATCTAAGGAAATTAGCTAAAATATCGCGTTTAAGGAAGACAGGGAGGGACAATTAAAAAGGATATGAGGAAGATCGCAAATAGACTCCTCAGCGTGAAGAGTGCACATAGGAGAGTCATTTAGATCTAATTTGTAGGCGTGAGAAGGTAACATAGAATGACCGATGCGTAAACTATTAAAACGTACGATCGTAAACCTGAGTAAGTTTAAATTCTTAAACCAGATTTTATTGGGGATATTAGGGACTATAACTTGAATCTAGAAGCAAAGTTTGCAGGTAGGTTATTCCAATAAGAGGACCAAAGATGTACAACGTGACGTCGTAAGATTGGGGTCATCTTTGACTGATCATCTTTTAAACAACTACTTCAAAATTCGATATCTACATTGTCTATTGATTCTCCTTCCGCTATCGCTTACTCCACTTTCATTGATTGTGTCGATAATGCCGCTAAAACCTCTATTTCTGCCACAAGTGCTAAAAATAAATTTTATCCTCCTTCACCCCTTTGGTGGAATACATCCTTTACTGAAGCTGTTAAGAATAGGTCTGTACATACGTTCTCCCAATTCCTCGTCCTTTTAATGATAACTGGTTCAATGATTTATGCTCTAAAGTTGATCCTTGTTGTATCCCTACATATTCCGAAGCTCCTCAATAAAAAAAACCACGCCATAATTAAAAAATCTGTTCATAAATAAAAAAACGCAAGAAATTAAATATTCCCGTCTTATTTAGTAAAAAAAAATATATATGCTTTAGAAATTTCGTGTGATTTTTTATTTTTGCCAAGTTAATGGTTAAACACTAATAATAATAATAATAATAACAACTTTCAAATTTTCACTGTATCATCTACCATTAAGGATAAAATCCTTAGACAAGAGTCTCTAAAGAAAAAACAAAAAGAAAACTTTTGAAAACTAAAACTAAAATTATGTAGGAATTTATAAAAGGATCACAATACATTTAGACGTGGAATAACTAAATGAATAATTAAAGCAACTATTTATTTAATAATTCCAACTATAAGTGTAGGTATTGTTTTCTTATATTGCCACAATTTTTGTTAGTCCAACTATGTAATTTACGGTGCACGGAAGGACGGATGCATCGATTTCGATGCGATTTTTTTTATATTAATCTTTTACAAATCACGAGAGATAACTAAATTTAGCTTATTTTATTATAATATATATTATACATAGATATACGTGTTGATAAGCATACAAGCCGAATGAATTGAAGTTTATAAATAAAATGTATTGCCTAATCACGTGAGAATGGCTGCACTAATTTTGATACTGCTGTAATAAATATTATAAAGTACTATGGAACGTCAAGGAAACGCTTTTGTTTATAATTTATTTCAATAAAGTGCTTAACAAATAAAATTATAAATAACAATGGAACCTAATAATTCTGTTTCAAAAATCGCCAATACCATACAAAATGTCAGTTTATCAATTTGTTACAACGCAATGGTTACGCTCGACGGGGGTTTACCCGGTCAGTATGAATTAAATACTTCAAACTTCATTGGCAAAGGAACTTTCGGAGGAATTTTCAAAGGTCTGGATAAATTGATACTTACAAAAACATTCAGGTCAGATTAACGAAATTTAAGACCTGAGCCAGATATTTCCTTGAGGGCCCTTAGACAAATTTAACAACAAAAATGCAACAACTTTTTAGTAGAAACCAACTTTAATTATAAAATATTTTTAAAAAAAATAAATCACTTTTTGGTAAATAACTTAAAAGAAAAAACAATATATTTCATTAAAGACAATTACATACGTACTTTATTTATACTACTATTGAAACTCTTTTTTTCGTTGCTATATTACTTGTAAATGATTGGAGTAAGTTATAGTTATAGTTAGGACAATTCTTGCTCTACAAGAGACAAGAGTTGCTATTCTGGAGAAATAGGTATGGTGTAGTGGTTTCCCGTTGCCTTCCGCTCCAGTCGGATGGCCATTTCTCTCTTTAGACGGTTGCACACCTAGCTAGAGAAACAGCCAGCGACTGAGATTCGAACCACTGCTAGTGCGTAGAAACATCGCGGTAACCTTCTCGGCCACGACGCCACGAAAATCATAGTTTACTGTACTTAAAATGCCATTTTCAGATAATAATGATATGTAGAATTTTAACCCCTTCATGCATGACTTTTCATTTTTTTCCCAAAAAAATTGTACTGATTCTAAAATATATCAGGATTATGGGAAAAATATTAAAAAAATTATTTGAGCACAACTTCCCCTTAATTCTCCTCAAAGTTTAATTCGTGCCTAATATGGCACAACGTGCACCAAATGTATGTTTGTGCCACTTATGGCCATCATGCATTAAAAAACACAATTTTTGTTTGTGCCATTTCTGGAACAATATGCACTCAAAACAAATTGTTGTCATAATTGGTATTCATTTTTTGGCATTTTTTTTTATTACTGACATTTGTTTGTGATATATATTATACAAGATAATTAAAAAACATGATTTGTGTAATTATCATTTTTTTTTTTTTTAATAATGTAAGTAACAAATTATAATAACTTTTTATGCATGTTGTCCCATATTGGGCACACAATAAGTTTTTGTTGTATTTCAAAAACTATTATACTTAAAAAACTGTTCTTACTTTTAAAATATTTTCCACAAAATTTCCTACAAGGTAGAAATTTTTTTTTTAAATTCGGTAGTTTCAATTTTTGTTATGATAGCATGAAAGAAATAGTTTTTACCCGACGCGGTGATAATATTTTCAGTTGTTTATTGTTCATCTATAATTCACAATTTTTATGCTAGATGGAGGTACTTTACATCAAAATGGGTCAGTTTTTTCTGCCGAATTCGGCCATCTATACAGTTATGTCATAAATTCATTTCCAAAGCAACAAATAACAAAAAACTAATTTGTGCCATATACGGCACAACATGCACGAAGGGGTTAAGTTCTGATTAGAAGTTGTTCTATATTTGTTTATTATGTGAGCTAATTTCGAACAAAATTGATCTATGACAACATTATGTTTTGAGACTAGAAAATAATAATCAGAGCCATTTTAAAAAGTATGGTTGGTACCATCAAGGCACTTTTTTTAAGTTCTTCTTTCTTCATCGCGTTACTTACTACTAATATTGATGCTAAGTTCAAGAATTTTACTTTAATAACCTTTCAAAATTTAGTTCATATAATATTTTTGTTGGTTGTTCGATCTCATAGCCCATAGGGACCCTAGAATTGGGGTGCCCAGTGTCATGGCCCGCTTAATCCGTGCCTGATTATATTTTAAGCAGGATTATCAAGCTATAATAATATGAATATTTTACAGGGAGAAATTTATACACAAATGAAAAAGTCGCTATTAAGCTCGAATCTCTCAAGACCAAATCGTTGCAATTGATTTTTGAAAACTATTTTTACCACGCCCTCGGCGCTAAAGGTAAACAAATCATTAACAATTAGCAATTCAGTTTAGAGAAGTTTAACTGTACTTTATATTTTATTAGTTATCTACAAAGACAACTTTAGGCAACAAATAGTAATTTGGTACAAATATTTAAAAAAAACGGTTGTACTTGTTTTAAACGTTAAACTAATAATTTGACTTATTAAAGATACTCACCTTGTACAGTTACCTATACAGTCTGATGTCATTTAGTTCTGATTGAAAAAAACTTAACAATGTGATAACAATGTTAAAAAATAAAATCTCCGAAATTGTAGTTAATAAATTCAAAACGTCGTCAGGTGTATCGTTAGCTCCATAGGATTTTAACATGGATATGTCTTATGGGTGGTCATTCTGAATATTTGTCCGTCACGTTTTGAGCAACATGTTAAGTGTCACAGTACCGACGTCATTATCATTACTTCTAGAGGAGGATTATGGAGGAGTATGGAGGGATTATGAAGGTGAATAATTAGAGATAGTGGATTAGATAAGATATTAGAGATACTAGATTGTAGGACATACACATGTATTAGTGTATATGCATGAAGTGTGGATACTCTTAACTTTTTAATATTAATATTTAATTATAATGGGGGCGAACAGGTAGTAGAGTAAACTATAGTGTATCACATTCAAAGGCGAGCCACTAAAAAAATAGATTTTAATTAAACAATTTTCAAAAATTGTCTGTGATTTTTTTTTTTAGTAACTTTTATAAATATCATCGACTACTATTGCCATTAACTATTACACTTTATGTTAACACATAAATTACATTAAAATATTTACAGTTTTTCTAAAATGTTCTTGTTTTTTCTTTTTAGTATTTATCAGTTAAAAGATTATATTTTTTTTTTTTCAATTTCTTTGTACAGGTTTGTTTTGTGGAGGAATTTTATAGTTTTCCTTGGGGTTTCTATTTCGTTGAGGGATCTTGAATTTTCAAATTGTTGTCATTCTATTATGCTGTGCTAGTCTGTTGTTTTTACATTACATATTGGACAGATTGGGTTTTCAGCGTTTTCGAAGGTATATGTCAGTCGAGTATGTTCTAAGTTTGTTTATTCTTTTTTTGTCACTCCTTGAAAGCGAGCTATTTTGGGCATGGGTAAACTGATTTTTTTTTATCTCGAATAGCTTAGTATGCATGTTTGGCCATTTTCTTAGAAAGTTTTTTTTTATCTTCATTATTATATCATTTATTGTTGTTAGTTTAATTTTTGGTACATCAGGGTTGTTAATAGCACTTTTTGCAGCTATATCCGTTTCTTTGTTACCATCTCTGTCGCAATGTCCGCCTTTCTTTGAATTATGTAATATTTCTTCAGAATGATCATGTTTATGCACTTGAAAAAAAAAACTTGAATTTGTCTTGTTTTTTAAATCAAAATTTTGAATGACAATGGCAAAACTCATTTTGATTAAAATTACTTTAAGATTTCTAAAAAAACTTATTTTAATAAATATATATATATATACTGATGACAACATTTTAATAAAATTATAAGCTTTTATAATTTATTAATATTTTATGCCAATATAAATTGCAATCAAATATTTTTAATAAGTGCTTCACATTTTTATAATAGGAAGAAACCACGGAATAGAAGGTTTACCAGAAGTCTACTATTTCGGTACTATTGGACTAGAGTATTCAGCTTTAGTGATGGAATTATTAGGTCCATCTCTAGAAACACTTTTTCAATTTTGTGGGAAAATATTTTCCTTAAAAACCGTACTGATGATTGCTATTCAAATCGTAGGTGGTAAACAAACATAGTGCATAAAAAATAGAACTACTATTTTTTTTGTTATTATAACTATTATAGAAAAAAATGTATTATGTTTAAAATCTTAGCTTTTTTTTTTGTTATTGACGATTTTTAATAATGAGCATTATTTAGTAAAGAAAAAATTGAAACTTAACATACTAATTTTGTTTTCAGATATCCAGAATCGAGTATATACACAGTCGTAATTTAGTTTACAGAGATATAAAACCTGAAAATTTTTTAGTTGGGCTACAAGAACAACTCTTCCCTTATCGGAAGGCGACAAACAACACAATTTACATTATTGACTTTGGTCTAGCTAACACATACATAAATCCGGAAACTAAAACTCACATTCCATTTAGTGAACAAATTGGGCTCATAGGAACACCTAGATACATGAGCGCCAACGCTCATAAGCAAAGACGTAAATATGTTTATTCCATGTCTCAAAAATTCACTAAAAATTCAGCAATTATTTCTTTAAAAAAATTGCACAATTTAAACAAAATATGTATCACTTAGTTTTTTAATTATTGTATTATAGAATGTTCAAGATTTTCACCCTGTTACACCCAAAATTTTCTAGTTTATAGGTGGATTACAATTTCTAATGTCCATTATTTTTAGAACAAAGTCGCAGGGACGACTTAGAATCAATCGGTTATATGCTACTTTATTTTGTCAAAGGAGAATTGCCTTGGTCTGAACTCGAGACAACCAAAGAAGACATAGACGCAATAGGAAAAATTAAAACTAAAATTTCTGCAGAAAAATTATGCAAAGATTTGCCGGGTCAGCTAAAACATAATATAATAAGTACCTAATAGTTTAAATAATATACTTTATTAGTCACTATCTTTGTAGAAGAATTTGCTGATTACTTTCGAGCTGTCAGAAAACTCGAATTTATGGAATCACCAGATTATGATGCTTTGAAATTTCTCTTTGAAACTGTTTATGAACTTAACAGGTTTCCAGACGACGGTTTGTTCGATTGGTCGACAACGTGGATTCAATAGTTATACAACTATACAACTATATTAAATGTGTTCAATATATAATTATACTATATAGTAGATAGATACGAAGTATAAACTCACTAAAAAATAGATCATTTATCAAGAGCAATAACTTATTAAATTTACCATTCAACATGATAAATATTTACGGTAATATTCCTTATAAATGTATATATATATATATATATATATATATACACGCCAAATCTATATACTGAGTAGATACACGAGTTAATTCGGCTACAATGCCATTTTGTATAACTAGAAATTATACGGTTTAACTTTAAAATGTAAACCTTGCTCCTCCCTGAAAAGTTTAATGAAAGTACTATTGTTTTATTACATTGAAAACAATTTTCAACGTATATGATGCGTTAACTTGTATTTTTAAACATTTTTTAAGAACTTCCTGAAAAATATTTTTGATTTAAGCTTCTGATTTTAAATTTCATTTCTAATGAATGTTCGAAAATTAAGACAGGAGAATACACACTAAAAGCTAGAAAATGTTTTAACTCTCATTCGGTCGTGTACATTTGTTTTTGTATACACTTTTATTTTATACATCTTATATTATTCTATCTTTCGCAATAACGAATTTTATAACAATCTTAGATTACTCATCAATTGCCTTGAGTAAATATAACGTAGGTAGGTAAGTCTATAATATATTTTATGTACCTGTGTAACTTTCGTTAGATTCGAGCATAAGCCATAAAGCAAGGAAAGACTGACGTGTGTATATTAAATAATACTATATTGATCGTTTTGAATGTTTTCCGAAAGCTAAAAGCTCCGCAATTGAACATATATAGCAGTGAATACATTATTCAGATGGCATGGTGCCGCTAAAGGACACGAGGTGAGTAGATATATACCGGCTAAGGGACGGAGGGTAGGACCTCACCACGCCCAGCCCCCTCCGTTAACAAACTAAAAGCTATCTGAATCCGAAACAAACCGCCGACACGGGTAGCGCGCACAGGAGCACAAAATTCACACTCGAATAAGTCACCACGCGTAACCATGGAGAAAAGTTACATACCTACCTATTTGCAGAAATCCATATTTGTGCAATTATTTTTATCAAATACATATACATCTAAACAGATACCAAAGTCAGTTTTTCATTTTTACTAGGAGCATATATTTGTAGTAAAGCTCTTTTTACAGTGTAATATACGACAATCGTAATTCTGTAAGACGTTGCTTAACGACAGACGTTACTCGTAAAACTGTATAGACGACAATTGCCAACTTGACCTATACCTATATTTACATTTTATTCGTTTAAAATAGTTTTTAATTTTTCTATTAGCTATTTATAAACTATATGAACTTTGATCACTGCCAAGTTGAATAAATACTCTGAAAAAAATAATCAAGTTAAGCAAAATGTTGCATTATAAAAGCAAAACACAAAAAGAATTGCTTACAAAAATTAATTATACTTTTAAACTTTAACGAATATTATGAGGATAAACACGCTATAACATACTTATTTGCAGCGCACACCAGTTGAATTCAAACAAGAAATAGTTCAATGTTTTACATATTTAGGAAGCAAAAAATACATTTATAGGGGAAAAAACCTACACCTAATAGAAAAAGCAAAACGGACAAATAGAAATTACCCAATAATTGCTAAAGATATCAATAAAGCTTGTAAAGAATTTTGTGTGGATATGGCATTCTGGGCTTGTACGAGGTACCTATGATATGGTTATGCTCAAAGCGGAAAGAGTAAAAACAAGCTTTTGAAACGTAGTGTTGGCGAAAAATATTTCAAATTTCTTTGACACAGAAAGTTTGAAATGAAAAAATTCATTAACGAAAATAAATATGAAATAAATAAAGAGAGACGAAAAAATGATTCGGACACTTAATAACAAACAACGCATGAAAAACGATCACTACAATTTATGATTGCAAGGACATAAAGCGAAAACCTGAAAAAGGAAAACTTAGAACTCCATTTATTATGCAGATTATAGAAAAACAACGACCTTGTAGCAACAGTATAGGTAATAGAGGGAAGAACATCTAACTTAAAAGTTTGAAGGTATAAATAGAATACAATTTGTTCAAATTAAATTCAATTACCTTAAAAAATATATATAATATGTACCTAGTATTAAAATAATACTTTTAAGCTTATACAAAATAACAGGTAAATTAATTGTCATGGTCGAAATTTATTAAAACCTCATTACGTAATACCTTACATAATTACATGTATATATCATATATCACATATTATATTAGGATTTAGGATGGTCCAGAAGGTTTTTTCTGTTTTTCTCTTGACATTATATTTTTTTAGAGAAAAAATATATTTCCCTATTTTTTCAGATTTTTAAAATTATTTCTGGAGCATAAGTATTTTAAAAATGTTTGTTTCCTAGTTTTCAATTTTTTTAGGTATAAATTTTAATTGTAAACAGATGTTTTTTGTATAAAAAATCACCAGTAGAAAAAGAGGAATAAACTAGGTAGTATAATTTTTTTTACAAATTGTTACATTATTGAACTAATTTAGGCCTTAGAAAATGAAGTTTTATGTATTTGGTTATTTATTTGTGTCAAATTATTAAAAGAAAAGATATATTTTGAATCTTAGGAAACTGTGGAGAAAATATCAATAAATGTAAGCATAAACTTTAAAAAAAAAAAATATTAGTTTATTCCTCTTTTTCTATTAGCGATTTTTTATATAAACAACGTCTGCTTAAAATTTGGATTTATACCTTAAGAGGGCGTCGCCCCGCCCATTTTTAAGGAGTAAAGTATGGGCATTTTTTTACAAAATCGTAATTTAAAGGTTAAACTGGGATGTGTAATAATTAGTTCAATAACTTGGACTCTATTTTGGTAGTTAATATATTTTTTGGACTATCACAGCATACTCGAAAGCGATTTAAAAATGTTTTTTCATCTATACATGTATAAGCAGACTGAAAATAACTCGCTTAATTTTGGGTTTAGAGTAAAAGCACCTATTATTAAAAAAAAATCATTTTTTAAAAAGTTACAGTCATTAAAATTTTTTTTTTTTATAGGTATTTAAAAATGTTAAAATAGTCGTTATTTCTAAACTATGTATTGAGCGTTATACTTGGAATAATGAATAAAACACCCCGTCTTGCCCTCCGGAATATTGTTCTCTTTTAATTTTATAATGTGTGTTTTTACTTTAAAACCAGAATTAAGCGAGTTATTTTCAGACTGCTTAAACATGTAGAGATGAAAAACATTTTTAAATCGCTTTCAAGAATGCTGTGATAGTCCAAAAAATAAATTAACTACCAAAATAGAGTCCTAGTTATTTAACTAAAAATTATATCACAGTTTAACTTTTAAATTAAAGTTTTGTAAAAAATTGCCTATACTTTACTTCTTAAAAATGGGTGGTGCGACGCTCTTAAGAGGACGCAACACTCCCCATTTTTTAAGGAGTAAAGTATAGGCAATTTTTTGAAAATTCCTAATTAGAGTTTAAACTATGTGTACTTATTAATACAGTAATGAGGATACTTTGTTGATTGTCATTATTTTTGTCAGACTAACACAGTCAATTTCTATAGGATAAATTACCATTTTTTTCCCATCAAAACAGTTTTACGGGGATTAATTTTTCTCAGGATTCATAAATGGTTAGAAATTCATACATATTATATAAGACAAAATTATCTGTGCTCCAGCATCCGTATTTCTTCGATATACCTAATACAACCGACGCTATATCATTTAAAAACAAATTATTTCTTAATTAATTAATTATTCAATAACTGATTGAAATATTTAAAAAGGCCATGGTAGAGCACAGACAATGTTGTTGTCTATATTGTGTGAAAATTTGGTTTCTTAATTTTGATTATAGCCTTTGTAAAATTAATCCGCGCAAGGCAGGTTTTTTGAAGAAAATAACGGGCGTGTGACGTCCACTTAAATATGGAATATTAAATATGCTAGAAAAATGGAGCTCGTAGATTCAGGTAAGGAACAACAGAGCCTCTCGTTCTAATTTTTAAAAGCATACGACGAATTCAAAATTCAGTAAGTTTTAATCTTTAGAATACTTTGTCAAAGTACTGTATTATTAAAAAAAAATAGTTGAAAATACCATTAGTTAAAAATAAAAGGTGTATCTACATATTCATTTCAGGCCAATAGTTCAGCATTTGAACCTCGACAATTTCAATTTAATAATTAACTTTAACAATTGTTGATGAAAATTAATTTAATGTTCCACAAAATTTTTTCTCGAGATTTTGCGTGGCATTTCATTTTACTACTACTTATACCAAATTTAAAAAGTACAATTAAATAGTTTTAGCTTTAATGGGGGAAAAAATATTATCATATATAATTTTGTTTTTTTGCTTATAAGAATATTGCTCAGTAGTGTAGTAGACAAGGGATGGAGAAGAATAACATAAGAGATCTATAAAATGTGTTTAGTGTTTCATCTTAGTACAGCGGTATTCACCAAAAATTTTTAAATTAGTTTAAATAATTTAATTACTACCATCTGATAATAATAGGAAATATGAAAACAGATGTATAAATAGTTAAAATTTAAATAAGCATAAAATATTATATGAATAATTATTATTTTGCGATTGTGGGGTTATTTTGGGGATTTTGCGATTACATTTTGTTTTCAAAAATGCAAATTTTAAGGTACTGTTTTTTTTAAAGTACAATTAATTAAATGATAAAAAGCATCATTACTAGGTTGGGCAATTTGTTGAACTCGGTGAATTATAGGATATAGAAAATACGTACAAAATGTATTTTAACACATTATAAAACAGATTACAAAAAACTGATACTACTTTAGAGTCAACAGAACAAGTTAGGTATGCTTGCAATTTTTTGTCAGCATTTGCTATTGTTGGCTATTATTATCAAATCACTATTTATACTTTTGTGCTATTTTGGCTCTAATAACTCATAAACATTAATACCGATAAAACATTATAAAATACAAGTTATAAACAAAAAACAACAACACCATAATGTTAACAATTTATCATTTCATACTTATATATTATCAAAGACAAAGTGTTTACAAATTTATTCTTCTGTTCCGTCAACATTTTCTGTACCTAACTTTTTAAATGTCGGTACATTTACCCAGGTAACCAGCGTGTACAACTTGTGAGGTGAATCTTCGTCGTCATTTCGTCTCCTAGCTAATTGAACACGAATACGAAACGGTACGCTCCTAAAATAATGGCATAAAATAAAATAATTCAATTATTTGTTTAAGAAAGAATATAAATTTTTACAATAGTTTTAAAACTTATTTAACACACATTTTACTCAACAACAAAAAAATAAAAATATAATACTAACGTCAAGCACAAAAAGTATTAAAATTTGTACTATTACGATATAAAGTAAAATTTAAATTTACATATTAACTGATGTCAAATTTTTTTTATTAAATGACTTCATGCTAATAAATGTGTATTTACTTCAAACTTTGACACCACGTATCTTCAATACTGGAATAGCCTATCTATTCATTAATATTATTTGAGTGTGAAGAAAAGTTTTGTCTTGTATAAGTATGAAGATTAAATACTTAACACTGATATATCAATAGCATAGTGCACAGATGTCTTTAACAGGTTAAGCGCCAAGGACATTTCACTAATACTTCTCTCTGGCCAAGATGCTTCTTTAATGTTATACTCATCATTTTATATTATTATCAGGTTAGGTTGAGGTTTAAAATCACTTATTAAGTTTCAGGCACATATCGGGGTGTCCGTCATCGCCTGGGAGGATTAAACTACAACAAACACCGGTGTCCGCTAGGGTGCTGAACCTGTTAAGTGAATATTTTTTAACTTTTACAGGAACAACTTTGAAAATTCAAAATACTATTCTGTTGATTTAGTAAACTTTATGGCTTCTTAACATCAATCAATCAGTGTCCAACAATTGTTTTACATAACTTGATTTCTCAAAAAATTAATTAATGATAATTCATGCACTACCGGGTGATTCTTTAACACCCTACACTAGTTTACTCTTAAAATAATTGCAATTTTGTTGTTTCTTTTTGAAAACATTTATAGTTTATGCTATATTACAATATTATACAATATTTTAATCTTTTTAAGAATTTTTTAGAGCTTTATCAACTTTATCAACTTTATTAACTTTTTTAATTAAAAATAATTTGCTGAACATTTTGACTGGTCAATAACCACTTTGAATTTTTTTTAAAAGTTATTTATGTTTAAAATTAAGGAAGGGAAAAGTTTTAAAAGTTGATAAAGCTCTAAAAAAAAAGAAAAAATTAAAAATATAATGTCTAATGTTTTAATATAGCATTAACAAAAATGATTTCAAAAAGTTAAACTACAAAAAAACTTTTATTTTAAGAGAAAACTGGTGTAGGGCTTAAAAGAATTACCCGGTATATATGCCATAGATATAATATATCAAATTAAATACTTAATTAAGAACTGTAATCTGGTTATAAGTTAAAATATTGTTAATTTATCTTAACCTAATCTTTTTAAATTTATAAAATTTAGTTTTACTTAAAAGAAAAATTTGATTGTTTTATTTTATACCTTCTCAATTTTTAAATATTTTTTGATATGTATATTAAATTTATTATTTAACAAATAACCATATTATGTTAAAACATTAAGGTCACTATAGTAAATGTACAATCTTCTTTTAGGACATGCAAAGAATAACATGAACATGCTGCTGAATTTCCAATAGTACTCAGCTATAATAAAATAACTTTACCGGACACAATTTTTTGCAATTTTTGTTTATCATCTCATAGGGTTTTTTACGCTGATTACGAAGAAGGATAAAATTATGAGATAGATAAAAAACAGTGGGGTACAATAATCACAGACGTGACTAACGGAGGGTTAAAATTTACAGCTACTTGAACTTTGAACTTTTACCATCAAATAGTAGGCAGCGGCATGCAGCTGTTGTCGGCGACGCGAATCGCGATTACAAACACAACAGTTTGTTTCAAATTTGTAATCAAGAAATTACCATGATCATATTATATTATGTTACACACACAAATGAATACATAGTTGGAGAACTTCTGATATATTGTTGTTTTGAGGTTATGAAAAAACCACATCATTTTGACGGACTATAGATGTTACAACAAGTCTGTTTTTAGTGGAAATAGCGAGCACAAATTTATGTAACAGTTTGGGCTACGGAAGACTAGGTTTGGTTTCGTGAAGTCAGTAACAGTATTAGGTTAATTTATTCATTTATTTTTCACTCCGGGGGTTTGAGGTTGGAGTCGGCAGACGTGGGGAGTCGTTTTAAATAATTATAGGTTTACTTAATGTTGCAGACAACAGCTGCATGGTGCTACCGCCTGTTATACACGGGAAAAGTTCAAAATTCAAGTAGCTTTAACTTTTGAAATGGAGGAGTCCACCTATTTCTGACTTCAAATTTGAATTCAATTAAAAAAAAAAAACACTGAAAGATAAAAAAAAAAATTAGCACAAAAAAGGATGTCCAGTAAAGTAAATTTGTTTCACGAGTTATTAATATGATCATATTTCATTAATTAGAACTATAGCTCTGTTATTAATGACCAAATATCATTCAAATATGCATTTGAAAATGCCAAAATATGCAGTTATATGACTTAATTAAAATGTAAAAAATAGTTTTTGAAATGGCTGGTCTAGTATAAATACTATTTTAAATATTGTTTTACTTATGTTCATTATAATAAATAAAAAACAATTTTTAAGTAGTTGGGTTGTATTTGGCACAATACTCAAAAATAAAATTTTACATAGGTTATACAATCCCGTTTTTAAATAGATGACTTATCAGCATAATAAACTTAAATAATACTTTGTACAGCGGGCATTCCAAGTATTCCCACCTAAAAATTCCATAGTTGAACATTTTTCATGTCCGCCCAATTTTTTTTTTTATTTATGCACAAATAAAAAGTGGTCACTTAGGATTGAAAAACGAGGAGTTCCCTAGCATTTTTTCCATATTGGACGATAAACATATTTACAATTACGTTAAACCATTTTTTTATCCTAAAAAAATCAATTTGAAAAATATTTTAGCTATTTTTGATTCTTGTGACCATTTTGATATTTTTGAAAATTGGATAGATGGAAAGCTCGACTTTCTTTTTTAATCAATTTGAGATGGGATGGAATTATAACTTCCTCCGTATTTTTTAGTATACAACATTACCCAAACTACTGCAAACAAACCTACTTTACCCGTATACATACTTTTAGTTTTCATAATAAATTGTTTTTTTTCTTCAATATTTCAAATTGAAATTGTAAAATCACAAAATATTATAATTAAAACATAAGGATTTAAATATAATACTTACAAATATGTTACTAAATCTAGAAATAATCAGTATATGCTAAGAAATCAAATATGCAAAACAAATTTGCAGATTTGAAATCTAAACTTAGTTAATCGGATTTATATCATACTTGGGTATAATTCTGATTGGCTAAAAAATCTGAGCTCTAATTATAACGTAAATTCTTAATTATGGTTCATTTGATCATTTAGACTAGTATAATTCAACAGATTTGCTGAGCTTGCTTGCGCCTAACTGTGATACGAATCTGTACCATAGAGGTCAAGTATTGCAAGTCCAAATTTTAAAAAAATGTGTTACGTTCATAATAAAAATATTCATTTAATGATCTTTTAAGAGGTATTTAAAGTTATGTCCAATATTCTATAAATGCATAGATAGCAAGTGGTATACTATCGTAAGTCAATTTATTTCTGTGGTACAGAAATATGCACACCCCTAACGATGAGATAAAAACAAACAGGAATTCTAAGCTTACTCATACATAACTATAATAATTATACATACCTAATTCCCTTAGACCAGACAAACTTGTTCAACCTGGTATCAATGCGAACATCTTGTGTGCCCATTTGTTGAGTTGCAAACTTCCTGATCTCTTTAATGGCACGCGGAGCTCGCTTTTTAAAACCAATATTTAGCAATCTTTTATGCATATTTATGGTATACACACGGGTGACTACTTCATTAATAGCCGACTTGCGTTTACGTTCCCTAGTTAACTTGGCCATTGTAATGTTTGCCTGCAAGACTAAAACAAACTTTGAATTATACAGCTGTTTAATTAATAAAACATTAAATGTATAAATTAAATTTAAGAAAACGGTATTATTTGACCAAACATAGACAAAATGTACATCATAAATTCAAGTTTTTGACTACAGAAAACCAACAATTAACTTTAAAAAAAACCCATAAAAGTTATATTTAATAAAAATTTTGATTATACCTTTAATTAAAAAGGCATTAACTACGAACGAAAATAATTTTGTATTTAGATTGAATTGGATAAAAATATAGCTTACCAGTCCAACAAAACAGTAAAGCGGATAAAAACTCAAAAAGAAGTAATGTTTACAAAAATCACGTACAAAAGAACTATAACCTCAACTAAATACTACTTGGTACGTCTTTCTACTTAATTGAAATGATATTTTGTTGGTTGCACTGTGTTAACATTGATAAGCAAATTTATCAAAAAAAATTAATAGATTGTCAATACCTGATAACGATAATAGGTTCAATTAAAAAATTCAAATATTACTTGAATTCTAGAAACTGAAAGTAAACTTAATAATAAGTCTAAAAAGAAAATTGATATTATTCTATTTATAAGTTTAATTAATTTAAGTACATGTTTTTCTAACCAGATGTGTTATAATTTTTAATTAACTTTTGAGACATGGACATTGATGATAAAAATGGATTTCTCGAAGAAAAATATCTTTTGGTTGCTAAAGCAGATAATGTAAAGCACATATCTTCACTGTTAAAAGCAGTTAATTTTAAAGATGTAAGTTTTATTCTTTTCAGTATTATTCTTATTATGGCATTAGAAAATTACAACGTGTATAATAATGTTTCATACATTTTAAAAGACTAATTAGATAGGTATACAAGAAAATAATTGTTAATATGATAATATTTCTGTAGAAGTATGCATGTCATGTTATCATGTATTTTACCATAGTTTATTCTTAGGTAGGCGTATTTTTTGCAACAGAACATGGCTTAAAAATAGTAGTGGAAGATTCCAAATGTGTTCAAGCAAATGCTTTTATTGGCAGCGAGATATTTCAAGTACTCCAAAATTAATATAACATTAAAAACAAAAATATTAATATTATATCCTTTTTTGTGTTTGTAGGAATATCAACTTAGCGATGATACTGTAGCATTTCGTGTTGATTTAAATACATTAATCGAGTGCCTTACCATATTTGATGGTTGTTCAATAAATCCTGGATTAACAACAGCTTTGAAATTAACATACAAAGAATATGGTTCTCCAGTGAAACTATTGTAGTTATAATGTGATTACTTGTTATTGTAACTGTTATTTACATCAACACATTCTATATTAATGTTATTGCAGATTAGAAGAAGGTGGTATTATAACCGACTGTTCATTGAGGACAATGGAAGTGTTTGATATATTAGATTTTAGTATACCTGCTGAATTAGCGACAAGTAAAATCATTTTAAGATCTTCTGATTTCAAAGACATTCTTAGTGATATTGACAGCTCATCTGATTATGTAGAATTTACTTTTTCTCAAGAACCTGAATTCTTCAAAATTTTAACTTCAGGAATTGCAGGAAAATGTAGTGTAAGTCTTTATAATTTTTATAATATAATTTTAAAAATATATAAACATAAAAAACTATTTTTTGACTGTAAATTATACTTAGGTTGAAATTCCATCTAAAAGTGAAATAATGGAGCAGTTTGTATGTAGCGCTACAATAACTGTAAAATATAAGTATAGACAAATAAAGCCATTTTTGAAATGTATGAACATATCTCAAAAAACGTTAATTAGAACTAACGAAGAAGGCTTATTGTGTTGCCAATTTATGGTACAAGTAGATACCCATACTTGTTATATGGAATATTTTGTAAGTACCAATTATTGATAAATGTGATAAATTTAATCTCATGAAGTATACCCATTAGAAGTAAATATCTACTTAACATTACACAAATAAGTATAAAATTCTTCATATTTTAATATCAGCTGTACTCAGTATTTCTCTAGCAGATGTGATTTTGATATGACAAGATAGGGTTTGAGCTAATAACCAATTTTAAAATGATTTACTTTGGATGGTCAACAACTGAGAACACAATAAAATGTCATTGCTTATTAATATTACTGTTGTATCTCACTTTATAACAAGTTTAATCGTTACTAATGATAAATTTCATGTCATAGTTTAATAATTATTTGCAATTTAATTATGTTTCAGTGTACACCAATTGTCGATGAAGACTGATAAAAAGAAAGTATTCATTAGACTAATCAAAATTTTAAAAAAAGTTCATTATTATTTTATAATGACAATTATTTGAAAGAGCCATACAAGTATTAACTTTAAAATTAACATACAGATAAAATGTTGTTACCTCATACCCATCCATATAAAACATAAAATATGTAGTAATTTATCGAAGAACAAGAAAGTTATTAGTATGGTTTAGACAAGAAATTTTATTTGTTAACTCTTAAGAGCAAGAAAATACATATTCTGACTTAAGTTCCTAATTTTAATCATAATGAATTAATACTTTAGTACATTTAATATTGATACCAGACAGTTAAAAATACTAAAATGTATAATATGTTAAGTACTTAATATAATATGTATTTAAAAATAAAATCTTGTTAAAATCCACTACATTTTGTATTATAAAAATAAGTTATATAATATGTTATTATACAATGCAATAAGCAAATCAATATTCATTCACTCACAAATGATATACAAAATGAAAATTATTGTGAGTACATTATTTATAAACAAAAAAAGCAAAAAAATAGGATACATAAATATAACACATTTAACAGCAATATATGGTTTATTGTTTTAGCAATATACTTCAGTCTTGATGGGAGTGATGGATTTATAGCTTACTGGTTTTTTTAACTCAGAGCACATGGAACTATTATTACATGGAATATCAAGTTACTTGCGAGGTGAACGGCTCGTATTGAGCATCGGAAGGTCATCATCATGAAAACTGTCTCCTGATCTGTTATTTCCATTACATTCTACGTTTGCAGCTTCACTTCTTTCTTCACGTGCTGCTTTCATTTTCAATATTTGTAAACGTTTCATGAACCCATCTGCTTCAGATGCCATTGATTCGGTCTTGCGCATAGGTGTGGAGGTTATTGGAATAGGTTTATCAGTATTACCTAGAAATGGATGAAATTATAACATGGTCCTAATATTACATACTTGTTATAAAATAATATTATTTACCATTCGGTTCAACTAAACAACTTTTTAAATTGTCTTCAATGGCTGACAATTTTCGATGAATGTAATCTTGGAAATATTTAGTAGTTTTAGAAATATAAGGGTCAATGTCTATGTTAGGATTTTTAATTTTAAATCTGTGCAACTGTTGTATGCCCTAATTAAAAAATAAATGAAAAATAAAATAAAAATACTAGTGATTACTAAATCAAGATATTGTTATCTCACATCGTCGGTATTTTCAGGTTGACCAATAATATGAAATATTTCTGAAAGTTCATCGTGTGGTGTACGCAGCCTGCGTTTACTGCTTTCCGGCCTAGGTTCATTGTTTAAATGCTGAATGGAAAAACCGAGTCATTGTTACAAATAACATTCAAATTATTAAGATATAACTATGTTTGTTTGATTACCCGAAGTAATTTATGAATGTAGGTGACCATTTCTGATTCTTTAGGAAATTCTGGCGATTTTAAACATTCCAACACTTTATCACTGCGTGTTTTTACCATTGTATGGAGTACGGTTTTACATGTTCTTAAAGGTGTGTCAGATTGTTGCTTTTTCCAATATTTTGTATCAAAATCCTAAATATAAACAAATTTATTTTAGATTTAATAATAAATAAAAATAGTAGTACAATAATATGCACAATACTTTTAAAAATTTGTGGATATGACTTAGTACTCTTTCATAACAAAGTTCGTCGCCCCATTCTTGGAAATCTTTAACAATCTTCCATATACATTTCATTACTAGTTCTTTATAATGAGCTGTTGAATTTTGAGGATACTTCACAGTATCATATAGCATAGCCATCAGGGCACTATACATTTTTTGTAAATAAATATAAATTAGTCAATTAAAAACCTAATTTTACTTACCAAGTAACCGGAGTATGAGAAGATTTTTCCAAAACATTCATAATAAGACTGTTAACACATCTACCAAAAAGTTGAGTATCCGCGCTATTCTCTGAACCTTTTATGCTCAATAAGTATAATAATTTTGATAGTAAATCTCGTACAATTTGTTCATTTAAAATCAATGTAAATTCTTGATATTTATACAACTAATGAAAAAAAAAAATTGTATTTGTTTCTACAAATTTTGTTGTAGCTATATACATAGTTTTTATTTTTTTTATTGCGACCTTTTTTAGGTCGGTTTACCAACTCTTTATCTATAAGAGGCAAGAATTGCCATCCTGGGGAAGTGGGTATAGTACGGTGGTTTCCCGGTGCCTCCCGCACCAGTCGGATGGTCATTTCTCTCTCCAGATGGTTGCCCAACCAGCAAGAGAAACGACCAGTGACTGAGATTCAGCTAGTGCATAAAAGCACTACCGCAGTAACTATATCAGCCACGACATATATATAAATAAAATGTACTCACATTCTGGCACAAGTTGAAAATATTTCTGTATCCAACAGTGACGTCAATGTCATGAGATTCGGAAAGGTTGTCAAATTGTTTAATTATAGCATAAAAAAGTGATAGAACTTTTCCACCTTCTAAAAACTTTGATCTCGTCTAAAAAAATATCCAATTTGTATTTAATTCAACATAATGAGGATGAAGGATAAGTTATTGATTGATATTCCATAATGTATAGCTATGAGTAGTACTCAGTTAACCTCCGCTCACATATGTGGTGTTAAATTTTAGTACTTTTTAAATACAGATATCAAATGGCGGTGATAACACCACAGTGCAATCGCCAACGAGATTTTTAAGATGTGACAGCTGGAGGTTAAACTGGTGAGTTTGTAATAGCTGATAACACTCTGGAATTTCCATATATGATTCACATAATATATTATAATAAAAGAACCAAAATCTGACTTACATCAGCTCTCAACAACATTTTATCAAGATTTTGCAAAGCACCTTTAGCACATTCTATATCTGATGATGTCACTTGATGAATAAGTTTTTGAATAGGATCAACAACCGAAGATGATGATGAAGATTTGGGACTTTTTGTGATGGTCGCTGTACTATAGGGGCTCACATTTACACACGGTTTAGTCGGTGAATCATTATCAAAAGATGCTCTATTAATGAAAATAAAAAAAGAACATTTAATACATTTTATTTTTTCTAAGCAGCATATTATTACTGAGGATGAGTATGTAGTGTCCTTTTATAAACATCTTCATTAGGAGTGCAATTCCAATTGTAAGACTTCAATTTTAGTTCTGGTCTTGTTATTTCTTCGGCTTCCAACTCTTGAAGGAATTTTTCATCTAAAGCATAACGTGTTACTGACTGATTATCAGTACTAGTCTGCGGTCGTCTATATAAAAATAACATATATATATAAATATATATATATTTTTTTTTTTTTAAATAATAAGATACAATAATTTAAATACTACTATTTTTTAATCTCCATTAAATAATTTATCATAAAATCTACTAAATACTAACTGTGATATTGGAACAACATACGCTATGCTGTTGCGGCGAGTTTTGCAATGCTGAAACGAGTCATTAGAATTCTGAAGCGAGGGTGAAGCAAATTTATTTCCACATTCAGTTTCATGCATATTTGTGTCTTTAACAATTGGACTTATCACGTCGGTATTAGTGATTAAGCTTGCATTAGAAACTTTACAGTGCATTTCAGGAGAATTTGATTTAACAATATTATTAAAATTTGATTCAGGAGAGGAAGTATCGTTTTGGTTTTGACTAAAAAGCAATGTGGTGTCTTCATGAATGTTAGATGATTTTGAAGCAGTTCTAGATGTGACTCTGTGAATTGTTTCATCACTACGATCAAAAAAGCAACATGCACTAAAGCTAAAATAAAAGCAATCTAATGTCTTTTTTTAAAATATAAAATTATTGGTGTTGCTTTAGTCTCAGGGATATAAGTTAGGAGTGAAAAACATTTTCAAAGCCACCCAAACCTGGTACTTTAATAGTTTTTCCTCTATTAAAGCAAGGTAATTATTTACACATTATGTTTTAATAATCGGAATTTAAAAAATATGAACAATGTACATGCATACTTTGTGTTATTATTACTAATATAATATTAACCCACTTGTGTCATTTTGCCACTGATTTTAAATTTTTCAATAATAAAACTACACAAATCTTATGTTTTACAATTAGTAGCAAAAATCGTATAGAGTATAATAGGCAACTAAAACTAAAACTTAAAATTTAACTACTAAATTATAATGGTTCACTAGATTAAAAACAATGTGGAAATAAAACAGTAAAGTTGTAAAACAATTTTTTAAATTAAAAATTTCAAACAAATATAAGTTTTACTAACCATTTGTAATTTGTAATTATATATAAAATGAAAAAAACCTAAGTTCGTGCAATAGAAAAAAAAGTAATTAATCAAAATTATATTATTACCTGTATCCTAATCGTAAAGTTGATGAATGTTCAGACACAGTAGCCATAGGAATACTTCCTGTTCTATATGAAGGGCTATTTTCAGACCTAGCTGGTGAGTTACTCGTATACCTCTGAGGACTTGTCTCCTGATTAACCTCTTGGGAAACATTAAATGTAGCATTATGCTCCTCGTCTTCCGAGTTATAATCATCATCTACAGTTTCATTAGTTTGTGGTACTTGTTGAACAGGTGGTGCAACTTGTTTAATAGTAGGTTGTACAGTTGCAACTGGAACTACTCGGTTCTTGGATGCTCTTTTTAAACGTTCTCTTAAAAGTCCCATATCTTTTTCGGATATCTAATTATTGATAATAAAATAAGTAGAGCAAGTGTATTTTTGTCAACTTTAAACTAATATTTAAATAATAACTATTTGTCACTGTTAAGAGGACATGATACCTCCTATTTATTAAGGAGTTAAATATAGGCAAATTTTTACAAAATTTGAATTTAAAGCTTAAACAGTTATGTGTAATTGGAGCTTTTTTTATGGTAGTTAATTTATTTTTCGGACTATCACAGCATCTTGACAGCGATTTATAAATATTTTTTTCATCTAAATGTAGCTACGCAGAATACATTCTACTAGGTTCGTGTTTGTTTTAGAGTAAAAACATCTATTATGAAATCAAAAGATAACAATATTTTAGAGATAATGTAATAGCCGATTTTTTAAATAATACCATGAAAAAAAATAGCTATTTAAATAAAGTAAAAAAAAAGTGATTTTAAATGTTAAATATTAAGCTTAATATAAGGTTTATCAATAAAAAGTTTATTACCTTTTATACAGATGGTGAGGTAATGGACTCCCACATTTCCGAGGTGAATTAAAAAAAAACTATACAAGATATGGAAAAAAAAATGTTATTTATAGAAACTACATTATATAAGGTTTTTTTTTAAAAATTAATATGTCCAATGATTGCCTTGGCGAGCGACTCATATTTGGAGCTGTTCTCGACAGTTTTCCATCACTCTCGCCAGCGTATCGAGTAGAATCTCGGAAATTTCTTAACGGAAAGCTTCCTTTAGTTCTTCAATGTTTCTAGGTCGATGTTTGAAAACTTAAGCTTTGAGGTACCCCCATAACAAATAGTCACATGGACTCAAATCAGGAGAGTGAGGAGGCCATGTAATGTTTTCCCTTATGATCAGGCGACCAGGAAACATTTCTTGCAAAATAGCGCAAGAACGACAGGCTGTATGAGTTGTGGCTACATCCATGTGACTATTTCTTATTACCTCAAAGATGAAGTTTGGCGAGAGTGATGGAAAACTGTCGAGAACGGCTCCAAATGTGCGTCGCTCGCCAAGGCGAGCGACTCATTGGACGCTATAATTTTTAAAAAATAATTTTAAAAAAAACCTTGTATAATGTAGTTTCTACATTATATAAGTTTCTTTTTTTTCCATATCTTGTATAGTTTTTTTTTAATTCACCTCGGAAATGTGGGAGTCCATTACGCCGCACCCTGTATTATAATACCTTATAATTTTTTACTTTAATAAATAACTTACATTGCCAACAAATTTAAATAGAGCTTCGCCATGTAAAAAGAAAGCTGCTACAAAGCAGTTTAATGCAGCTGTACGAACAGAATTGTCACGGTCTCCTATGCTTTTGGCCATTTCTTTGCATGCAACTGCAACACTTGGTTGACATATAGATGTTCCATAATCTTCTATCATTGATGCTAAATGTTCTAAACACTCTGTACAAACACACATTATTTATCAAAATGTATAAATTACCAATCAATGCAACTATGTAAATAATTATTGTTAAGAAAAGCCAGTCAAAATACCTGAACGCTGTCTTGAATTTTTTGATTTTACTCCATCCATTATGTATTGGAACATCTTAGTATTAGGAAATATAAATGCGATTTGTTTCAGTATGGCCCTAACTTTTTCCCTTACAGCATCTTTTGAATCTCCCAACTAAAATAGTTAAGCGTGTTTAAATTCATGAGCATATAACTTATAGGACATAACATTATATACATATTTTCCCCCTAATAAAAATATCTACATATTATCCATTTGAATGAACACACTTCAGTATTTCTATACACTTACTAATACACGTGTATATTTTTTTTAGTTATTTTAATTACCAGCTCCCCTCTCCCTACCACCAAATAGCTTGTGTATGGTAGGGCCAGGCATCTATTTTACAGTGCTGCAGCTTGATATCCTACATTACTGTGACAAAATTGAGAACATTGAGTTCTTATACAGATAAGAATGTAACTAGTTACTTTAACAACTATGAAAATGAATTACAAAATGTTCGAACTAAAAAGAGACTATTATAATTAAAAATAGGTTTAAAATTACCATTCAATAATTATCTATTATTTCATTAAAACTATCTAATTACAACATATTATTTCCTATATGATGAAAAGAAATATCATTAAATATTTTAGATACAATATGACTTACTTTTGTAACTAAATATGGCACAAAACTTGAAGCCTCAGTATCATGAAGTGTATACTTTTGAGCCATGAGTATAACAAATATATTTTGTAAATAATCAAGACCTTTTAATAGTACTGATGGATTTGTGTCAAAAAATCTTAATGTCATCCATTTGAGAATTAAATCAAGATTACTAATTAATGCCATATTGTTGTCGTCAGTTGTGTTTAAATCCTATAAAATTAATAATAATTAGCTTGCATTTTAAGTATTAAGTTTAGTTATTGTTATTTTAACATCAATAAATATACAAAGAAAATGTTCAACTCAAGTATAAAATATATAAATAAAAAATTACGTCAGTAAGTGATTCAATTGCTTTTAAATGATATCTGAAATCCGAATGAAACATGTTTGTAATCAGCACTCTATTGATGCCAGCAGTCAACATTTGCTCACGAAGTTGTTCTACAAATTCTTCTCGAGGAGAAGTAAAATTCCATTTCAAAGACTACAAAAACATTTTTAAAAAATAACATCAAGGTTAAAAAAAAACAATATTATTTTGAATTTTAAATATTTTTTTTTATTTTACCTTTAATTTATGTTCATCAATATCTCGCTGATGCTTTAAATTGTTTCGAATAAATAATGGTCCATTGTCTACTTCTTCTTTCTTTCTGTTAATAGCTGTACTAGCACGAGGAGGAACTACATTTTCCTGAATAGAAAATCAATGTAACTATCAATCATTAAAAAAATAATAGAAGGAAATACTAACTTTGTTTGCTTTAGGAGCAGCTTTGGGTGGAGGTATTTTAGATCCACCTGATTTTACTGAGGTCCCACCAGAAAGACCTGATTTAACAACTTTTGGTTTTTCAATTGGTACCACGGGTAAATTTGGCCTTTCTTTATCCAACTTTTCTCTAACCAACTTAACTGACATAGGCTAGAAAAAAAATTCATTTATATTTTAACTAGCTGAAATTTGTAAAAAAAACAATTTTGTATTAATCTAACTATTTCTAACCTTCAATTTATCACAAGCTCCATACATTGAAGCATATCCAATGTGCATCATAAATCCAATCACAGCCTTTTCAGAAGCGCTTCGAACACTTGCATTTCTATCTTCAAGACTTGTATATAAAGGTGTCAGCAAAACTTTCAACTCATCTGCTGGAATTGTCTTGGAAGGAACTAAGCAACAGATGAAAGATAAAATTATATGTAAAAGTAAAATCAAATTTAAAAAAAGTTGCATTCTACTTAAAGCATAACGGCTAAAATTGGAACAAATATAGAACATGCTTTAGCCTGCTGGCTCCTGAATAGTGATTATTCTGATCTAATATCTCCTTGCGATATATTATGATAGTGTATTGTAAACTATATGTTCTGGCCAAACTTTATGCATTACGACGATGATTCGTTATTATTTTGATGGCATCTTATACGTTATTATATGTTTAAAGTTGGTGCACTACTTTAGTATCGCAATTTAGTTTTACTATTTAGTGTCGTTTTCAGGCTGGGGGGGGCCAAGGCTAAAGCATGTTCCATGCTAAAATACACACAATTTTAATCTTCTTAAAAGCTTACTAATTGGCAATTTTTCTCCAAGCCATGTCAACAATTCCGAGCGTAATGTCACAGAATTATTTTTTAAGGCGTCTAACAGTATATCTCCGCCAAAAAATTCACGGTAGCCACAAACATCTGCCATGGTATTCATACATTGGCGAGCACTTTGACATTTAAAAGTCTAAAAACATATGAGAAATTAAAAACATATAATTACTAATTTAGATATTTTATCACTCACTTTTTGATCTCCTAAACCATTCAATATACCAGGTAAATAGCCTTTTATATAAGTTTTAAACGATGATCCCATTGCTTTTGCAATAATTTCCACTATATTAATTGCATTAGAAGCAAGACGAGCATTTGAGTCACATATTCTAATTACAAATATATTTTAACTATTAGATGATAATAAAATCATAATAATAAACTAAACAAGTACCTTTCTTGCAGAGCTTTTCTCGCATCCCCTAATTCACTCGTTATAAATCTAGCTTCAGTAACAATATTTTGCAGTTTAGTCAAAGCATCAGAACGAACCTTAAATTAATATTGAATTAAAATAATTTTTAATTAAGAATAATCCAGCATTATAATTTACCTTCCAATCTTTATCTGAGAGTTCACTTATTAATGCATCAGTTATTTGGGGCGTTATATCTACTCTTGGTACAATATCACGCATATTGATTTCATAAGATGGTTTCTCTTCATCACTACCAGCATTGAGGGATTCACTGGAACCTTCAATTTTTTTCCCACGAGTTGGTTTAGGAGGAGCTTCACCTTGATGCTTTAAAACAATAAATATTAATAACAATTTAAAATCTTACAACTAATATTACTATACTTTTTCAAATTCCGCATTAATTTGTTGTACTAGAGCAGGTTTTTCATTTTCAAAAAACAAACTTAATTGAGGTCCCATGTAAAGATACATTACTCCTAAAAGTGAAATTACAGCCAATCGAACTTGGGGATTTGAAGCACTGACAGCTTTTTTAACATTCTTCATTACAGATTTAGGTTCAATGCTGAAATGTACAAAGTTAAATATGGTTAACTGTTTTGTGATATATAAAATAATTACATCATTATTATGTTAATATAATTAATATTTAAATAACTTACTGAAGTTCAGACCTGAGATAGCATGAAATTTAGTTCAAAAATTATTGTTTTAAATTTCACTTTATTTTATGTAGATATATAATACTATTCATACAAAATGTAATTTTAAACTAATAGATTCAAAAATACATCATTAGAAAGTACAAAAGAATATGTTTCAAATTAAATAACAAACACAAGATTATAATTTTTTATTCGCAAGTATATTATTAGAAATGTAGTAATCAACTTGTTTAAAATATTACAAAAAAAATCATAAACTTACATAAATCCAAACTCCAGAATAGCTCCAGAGAGCCAATTAAGAGCATCAATTTGAACCTTTGGATTTTTTTGTACGGTAAACGCAAATTCTAACACTGCATTAGAAACAAAATCTAATCTTGTTGCTTCAGCAAATGTTGTGAGAACTTGGCCTGCTAAATTTCCATTTTTAACATCTCCAAGTAAAGAAGAAACATCTTGCAAACAACATTCCATGCTGGTACTAAAAAGTATTTTTTACAAAATGTATATAAAATTTGAACAAAAAATTGTTCATGGGAAAACTAATTAAAAGTTTAATAGTAAACACATCAGCTCCTGCTAAAAATATTAAAAATAGTTTCACTTTAGACTAATTTTAAATTTAAAGACCAATCACTGTTTATACATATATTTTGATGGTGCTTGAAAAAAACGTGATAAGTCTAAAATTTAAAGTTTAGTACTTGTACTAAGTGTACTATTTTCACAAACGTATAATGACTAATACAATTGTTGTACGATTTTAATTAAATAGCCATGATTTTTCTGAATCTAAGTACCAGATAAACTCATTTTAGTGTGTCTCTAGAGTACAATACATTTATCAAAATATTCATAATAATACCTGGTAACCGGAAACTTTTCTACTATTTTTTTCAAACATTCAAGTCTTAATTTTTGTATTTGAACATTGTTATCTTTTATTCCTGGTTTTTTGTTTAGTATTTTTACCAACACTTGACTGCTGATTGTTAATGACTCTGTTTGATCTATAATCTGTAATTTTAGAACCATTAAAATAATATTGAATTAGTATACTAGAACTGAAGTATAAGAATTTGTTTTTACCTGAGAAAATTCTTGAACATTTGACAAACGTGTTTTCCAGTTGGCATCAGTCATACCATTTAAAATTTCAGGTGTGCAAATTAAAGATGCCAATTCTTCAAGTTCATCATCCCCTATCTCTCTTTCAGTTTCGATAGCTGGAAGGGGTTTAGCTAATACACCTTTACGTCCACCTACAAAACACATAGTACACAATATTTTTAAAAGTTGTATTCTTATTGTTACAATACCTTAACTACTTATATTACTATTTGATAGAGGAATAATTTACAAGAGTAACTAGTACGTTAATTAAACATACTAAATTTTCATTAAGTTACTATTAGAGGTCTTCAAAGATGTTATTATATTTCGACATAATATAAATATTGCTATTAATTTTTTTAACTATTCTTGGTATAAATATCAAATTGAAATTTCACAATATTTTATACATACAATTTAAATATCAATTAACAATTTTAATCAATAAATTCTGATATTATATATAATACTGATTAATCTGCTTTATATTGATATACGCCACAATATCCATTATAAATATTTTTTTTTCCAGATCACAATTGAATATTGAAGACATTTCAATCATAATGGATGTTGATTATTATTATTGAGTTATTAATAACATTACCTGGAGCACTCATTGGCTTCTTAGTTTTATTACTAGCAGGCACCACAGATTTAGTAGGGCCACCTACAGCTGTGCGAGTTCTTTTGGCAGATGGATTTTTAGTAGTGATCACAGTTTGTTTTTTTTCTGCTATATTTGAAGAAGGTACAGCAGATGACTTAGCAACAGATTCTTTAACTGGTTTTGCTGTAATTACAGCTTTTTCAGACGCTTCTTTAATCTATAAGTTAAAAATGTGTAACAATTTACAATTTCTATTAAAACAAAATTAATTTAGCAGTAATAGTCATAGTAGAGGTTATGAAAAGTGATAAAACAATTGCTATCTTCTTATTAAACATAAGGATTAGCTATAAAAGTTTAAGTGATCATTTACTTTTGATATCATCTACTATCAAGAAATATATATAAGGGCATAAATTACTTTAGCGAGTTTAATAGCATCAACTCCACTTAGAAACGGCATAATATTTTTTTCTGAAACGACTTTCCATGCAGTTCCTAATGCTTCTGCAGAATTATCTCGAACAGTTGGGTCTATAAGAATTAAATGTTAAAACATGATATTTAGTTAAAAATGTGTTATAAATATTAGTAGAAGTGCTGTAATGAACTTGGAGTTTTAATGTTAAACCAAAACTATAAAACAAACTTACAAATTAGAACCAAACTGAAATTTTAAGTATTTGTCCTATGCATAAAATGTTACGAGAACAAATCAAAGCAATATATTTTTGTAATACTAATTGTAGTGTCAAATTTTAGTTGCATGCAAAAGATAACCTTAATTAGAAAAAATTATGTTATGAATGATAAATATTATAATTCTAAATTATAAGAGTTTAATTTCTAAAACATTTAACTGTTTGGTTTGAAAATTTTGTAATATAGATTTTGGTTTGACATTGGAATAGTTTTTTAAATCACTGAAATATATAAACTAAATAAAAATAATATATAATATATAATATTGTATAATTTATTATAAAACCAATTTTAACTTTTGAAAGTATATTTGTAACCTAATTAATTTTTGTTAACAGTATTTCATAACAGCATAAAGTACATAAAAACATTGATCATAACATCGAGTATAATAAATTTTTACTTGTTTACTTTTTAGATAAAAATAATAAAGTTGTGTTCTTATCCTTAATAATTGTTTCAGATTGTATTGCGCCAAGAAAATATAATTATTAAAAATAATATAATATGGACATTTTTATCTGAATTACAAAGTATATTGTGTTTTTTTTACCAATATTGTAGGCGACATAATCTATAAAGTTATTTTAAAAGACCTGTCGCCTGACAGTTTCAATTGCAACATGTTATGTCATTGGCGATTTTGGTAAAAGGGGTCAGAAGAGTAAGCCGAATATTATAGACGGTATTGAAACTGGATTCATTACATAGTACACTATCTGCCCTACGATAATAAAAGTTCCCAATTATTTGATATCAACAACCCTTACCCAATCAATACAAACACACACTTTATTTGAACCATGGGAACTTAATGCCAAACAAAGAACTAATTAATATAATAGGTATATAATTAATTACAATCATTAGAAAAATATTTTAATATTTTTTTATTATTATTATTATAATTGCTGATGCTGATGATTTTATTTATTATTAGTACTATAAACTGTTTTCATTTTGATTATTTTTATGGTTAAATACAATTATTGCTGTCATTAGCTTAATTATTATTATTACTTCTATAATTATTCTACTAACTTATACCTAAACTGTGTATACAATATACATAGTATTGATTAGTCATCTGTGGGCTGTGTCTTGTGACAGTCTAAAAAAAAGGCATTCTTATACTATTATTTTTTTCATTATTTATATAATTTTTATATATTTTAAATAAAATAACTGGGCACCAACTAGGCCAATTACTAAGGAATTATTTAATTACTGGTCATATGATAAAAAACCAATCTTATTTTTTCATGTCTAACTATGTATACTTAATGCAATTAAAATCTTATCAATACTCAAGTTCTGCAGACTATTCGTTAATAAACAATAAATACCTGATTCATTTAATGTTTTTATCAAAGATGCTGTGAAAATTTTTAAATATTTCTTGTTCAATATTGTAGGAGTACATTTAGTAAAACAACGAGCTAAAAAAGCAACAGACTCTGCTTTAACTGATGGGTTTTTATTGTCTATTGCCATTAAAACATCCTCGTGGACTGACTCTAGTGTCATCTAAAAGTATAAAATGTTATTAAGTTGTTTTTAATAATAGTTTTCATATATTTAAATAAGAATTTATGTAACCTACACTTAAATAAATAGCGTCAACAGCATCCCTTAAAGGTAAAACTACATTTTGCTTTTTTTCTTTAAATTTTTCTAGTAATGCAGGTAAACAAGCAGAGGCATACGTTTCAAATTTTTTTTTCAAACCATTTGCTAACATGGCCATACATTTAGCGGCAATTCCAACAATAATTACATTAGCGTCTTTTGTAATTATCTAAAAATAAAACAAATTTAAATAAATTATTTATCTGCTTAATTTATTTATTTGTAATAAGTTTATTAATTTCTTACTTTCTTCAAAGCTCTAACCAAATCACCGTATTCCCCACTTTCTAATTTTAGAGCTTTAGATAATATTCCTTCAAGCATATCTATTGCTTCTTTACGTTCTTGCCATTTTTTTGCTTCTAGTTTTTCATAAAAATCTTTGTTCAGTTGACAAAGTATATTAACAGGATCAAGATGTTCTTCTGGATCATCAACTTCATCACTACCTTCTTCAATGACCGCTTCTATAATTCAAAATTATATTAAAATTTACATTATACATACTTATAGTGAAAGCAATGTGATTAAATTAACTGTTACCTCCATTAGAGACAATAGCTTCTTCAATTTTAGCAGCTTGCTCTTGTTGTGATCTTAAATAACGAGTTGGTCGAGGTTTTTCATTGCCAATTTTTTCAAATTCAGCTTCTAGTTCTTGAGTCTAATCGAGTTATAATTTAATAATATTAATTTTTAATAAAAAATATACTTCATAAATGCAATATTATTATTTTTGTATATATATAAATACAATACTAAAATATAATACTTACTTGAACAGGTTTAAGATTAGCCAAATTAGCTTTAACTGGAGTAGGCCCAATCCATGAATACAGTTCGACAGCTAACAGTTTTGCTTCATCTCTTACACTTTTATCACGATCTTCAAGTACTGTCTGCAATTTTTTCAGCACTGGTTTGATATTTAACACTTTCGTTCCAAATTCTCTAAAATAATAATATATTGAAAAAAGTTTTAATTATTTGTATTTCATTTTTAAATTATAATTTATTTATTTTTACTTAATTGCTTGTGTTGCTGCTTTAATACAAGTTGATACAATTTTAGGAAATTTATGTTCCATTCCTTTGAGTAGTTCTTCAAATACAATATCTTGCTTTTCAATTTCAATAAACATAAGCGTAATTTGTATTGCAATATCTTTTGTCTTGGCTTTTGGCGCACCAAAACATTTTGTTATCAATCCAGTCACTACATCACCGACCGTACTAAAATAATAGTACACAAAAAATAAATAAAACAAGTTGAACTGTGTTTAATTTTGAAAACAAAATGAGTATTCAACTAACCGTCCAGCAGTTCCAGAGTTTTCTACAAAAACTAATGTAGCTTCAAGACCTTTTTCCTGAGCAACAGCGTTGCTATCAACAACAAATTTCTTTATAATTCCTGTAAATTTGTTCCATTCTGGAGCTTTCTCATCTAACTGGCCAAATACTTTAATAGCTTCTTCATAACCACTTATTCTGGCTTTCCACAGCTAGTAGAAGTTAATAATAAATATTAAAATTTATAATTTAGTTCTTTAAATAATAATTAATATTAACCAGTCTAATATATAATTAATTTTTATAAATAATTAATTTGTTATATAATTTATTAAGCTATTTATTATTAACATGTAGTTAACTAGTATTAAAACTTAAATAATGTAGGTATTTATAAAAATTACTTTATGAACACATCTTTCTTCAATCGGTAATTTAGTATAAGAAGTATCTTCTTCAGCAGCCATTATCTTACGGACTAAAAACTGTCTTCCAAATAACTAGTAGGTAAAATAATTTAGTTCATACCTTGAAACAAATAATAATAAAATGTTTATCAAGTAATACAAAATATTTTATTATTTATTATTATAATAAATATATATATATTTTTTTTTAAATTGTATATTGCTTTTATTTTTATTTAAATCTATAACTAATTATAAAACATAGCTTGCTACCAAGAAATTATGCAGTATACGAATTTAGTATTTACAATTTCCTACATATATGTTGCAAAAGTTATTATAACTTATAATATTGTATAAAACACTTTAATTAATTCAACTATTTAACAATAACTAAATATACACCAATATAGTATACAGGAAATTACTTTTAAAATATAAAAAAAGATATTTTAATTCATGAACAAAACTTGTATGGCCATTAAATTAAATAAAAACACAATTAATAACCACCCATTATTTAAATAAAGGCAGTATAAATATATGAAGCAATGTGATGTACATTGGAACTACAGCAATAGAAATGAGTGAGAGGTACTTGCTAAACAGGTTTTCATATTTGGATATAACCTTTTTTTTATTTACAAAACCAATAAGGGGGAATGTTGGCCACAGGACTTCCCCTATACAACTTACCTACCTATTCAAGAATGCTTTTTATGGGTAGTCATTATAACTTTAACACATTCACTGTGGATCGACATAGTACTTACACATCAATAATATTTATTGATGTGTAAGTATTATTGGTGTATACATTATACACCAATAATATTCATTTAAGATATAAACTTAAAATAGTTGTTAAAAAGAACCTAATAACTATATATACATAGTAAATACCCACACTTATCAATTAAAGATATTATGAAACGCTACTAGATCCAATAGTTTTATACCTTTTTGTAAATGGACAATTTCATATCATTCAGCCGAGTCCAAATTACAGAATACACATTTCCAGTTGAATTGAATAATAAATATTTAGAACAAAAAATAATGCAGTACACTTAATATGCAGTCATCGAACTCAATAGATATTAGATATTGGTTATGACTGTTGTTCACAGTAATCAGTAATCACAAAATTAAACATTAGGTTAGTAGTTAGGTGCGCGTTAAGCGTTTTCAGTTTTATCAACAAACTGCAAGTAGTAACTGTGAAGTATGAATACGCGAATTAACGATTTTCTTGGCGTAGTCCACCACTGAGCAAGCCAGCTTGCTGTGCGAATAATATTCTTCAAATATCACGAATCACAATAAAAATTAAAAAAACACATGAGTCTTATTCAAGGACCCTGTAATCTTGGTTCCCGAACAACCGTTAAAACTATAACGTCTTTGGAAATTTCAAATCTTGTACCAAGTAGGTAACAACACAATACGGGAAACGTTTATAAAATAATTTAATTTATACAAATGATCAGTCTTTACTTATACAGTACTTCCAAAAAATCAGTATTTAGAGACAACATTATGTAAGCTAATTTTGTTTTCGTTTTCCAAAATGTAACTAAATTTTTAAATTTATATCGATACCTATTCCTTTTTTTTATTTCTATGACATTTTTCTTTGATAACACCTATCAATACTAATATTATTTTTATTAAGTGTATGCCTTATTTTATTTTGGGCTCATTAATATTTTTTATTTACAATATTAATTTAATTAACTATAACTTTTATATTAAATAAAGTATCTCTCTCTAAGCAAAGTTATAATTAGTGTCCTGATGGCTAATTAATTAAGACCCAACTAGCTTGTAGGCTGTACCCTGAAAATTGATATTTGTAATGGCATATTATTAACATTACCATTAATTTTTAACAACTAATAAATATCGAAAACATTGAGAATTTGTCAGTCCTTTTTTTCTACTTTACTTAATATTATGACCAAGTGATTAGGCTTTCCATATTTTGAAGGTTAAGGGTTTCCTAAATTTTCTCTGACTTTCAACGTACTTCTTAAATACTATTTCTGATTGATACATACTTATAGCTCTCACCTTTCATTAGGAAAAACGTTTTTTGATGTCAACCCAATCAGTTAAGCACGTATATTAAATAGACATGACTTTTCATATTAAAAAATAAATACATATAATAATACAACACAATAATATACAAGATATTTAGATATACAATATTCAATAATAATTCTATAGGTACCTAAAGAGTAAATAGTATTGTGACAGTTCAAGTGTACCTCAAGGTGGACATATTATGTCACCGTTATTATTTTTGTTGTTCATGAATGATGTCAATTCTTGATTTCCAGCATTGCAAATTTTCTTTATTTGCTGATGATTTAAAACTTTATTTACCGACTAAACTCGATAGTGACCATGCATTATTGCAGGGGGATTTAAACAAAAATGTGAATTGGTGTTACTTAAATAATCTTCAGCCTAATGTTCTGAAATATTTTTACACTACTTTTTCTAGAAGACGCTTAGTAAAAAATATTGATATTCAGTAAACAACACAATCTTAGAACGAGTAAGTTCACCTGAAGATTTAGGTATTATTTTTTCTACTGACTTCTCTTTCTCAAAACACATATTACTAACTAAAGATAAAGCAATGTGTATGGTAGAATTTATTAAAAGACATTGCTGGGATTTCAACGATTTAAACTGCCTCAAAACTTTATATTTTGGTTTGATTCGTTTAATACTAGATTATACCAGCCTTTTATGGAACCCATCACAATTTATTAAGCTTAATACCCACTATTGAGAGTGTACAAAATATATTATCTATGTATATGTTCATCACAGGCGCGTAGAGAGGGAGGGGTGTTATGGTGTTGTAACACCCCCCTCGGCTGTGTTAGTCGATAGTTGAGAAAAAATGTGAGTCATTGGGTATTACAACTGTATTACCTAGACTAGCAAATAATCAACGAAATCGTGTTAATATTACAACAGAATCGCCTGAAGTCTACTTTAGGGAATCAATTGTTAAGTTATACTTGAAGTAAATATTTTAGATAACACCCCCCCTTTGGAATTCCTGGCTACGCGCCTGGTTCATCATGTAATTATGAGGTGGCTTGCCTATAAGAAAGTTTGTCCCAAGTTTGAAGTTAAAAAGATGCTCGAAACACATTGATAAATATAAATATTTAAAATATATAACGGGTTTAAAAAGAGCTTATAATGTTTTAAGTTTTAACACATAAGGGTTGGGGTTATATATTTAATAATGTGCGAACTATTAATTCTAAAAGTACCTATAAAAAAGAATAATTATTGTAAAAAGTTTGTGTATAATTAGCACCCCTAGTTTTATAATGACCTCCCTGCAAACTACTTACATTATCATTCCGTTAAGTAAGATAGGCGGCGGAATTATTAATGTTTTCCGTGTTTAAGCCCCCCCCCTCTCATTTTATACCTAAATTGAGCCCAGTGACCGCGCCAGAACTTTTGAATAAGGTGGGCCAGGATGAGGCCAAATTATTTTAGGGGGAGGGGCAATGTGTTATCCAGTGGTAGCTATGTCTAACACTCCCCCCCCCCCCAATACATACATTATTTGGCACACCATTAATTATTATGTTGTATTACACAATTAAAAATATTTTAATTTAACAATAAATATTTAATATTTTACTATCCCGATTCGTTTACGCAACAAATTCACACAGTAGGCATTCCTCTTAAATAAAACAATATAAAATAACATTTAAAAGATTAAATGTTGAGCGGTGAACACGTTGTTACAATATTTTTGTGTTTTTGTAAGTCATAAGTTCTTTTTTAACAATGGATTATAATTTATATAAAAAAGCATACAAATTATCCAGTGGCAGAACCAGGGTGAGCCGTGAGAGTGTGATCGCCCTTAGTGCCTCTCGAGCTCGGTAAATTTAGTATTTCTAATTAAACTAACAGTGAAGGAGGCCTTCATTTTTAGATAATAAGTGAGCCAAATTTTATATTCATTAACCAACCTAGTCGGTATTTTTAATCGCAGTCCATTCCTGAATTTCCGTTTTTAAATCAATATTAAAAAGTTTAAAAAAATATCTTCTATAGATGTAAGAGAATCATAAAATAAAGAATATTTACGAGAAACTGTGTATTCAAGTATTAGTAATAGAGAGCTTAATATTATATTGATTATACACCGTGTACACTGTACAAAGTAGTTCCTAGATGGCAGTACCTTCGGATAACACATTAAGCGGATATATTGACCGGTCTGTGCTGTGTTACGCGCCCTCTTCATCTAGATTCGTGGGCGGCATTCGATGCTGTGCGATTTTCTTCAAAAAAGTCGCATCTCCATTGGTATTTTAAGTATTGATTTTGGTATATTTGTTATTTTACAGTTAAAACAACATAAATGCATATAAAAATCTAGAAACATTGTTGTTGTTCATAAGATATTATTGATTTAATAAACAGGTGTGTACCCACGTAACTACATTGTGACTGTATACATTGGGTGTTTTGTTCTCCTGCATTTCCTGCGGTCCAGTAGTATTTCCTGCACTCGCTCAGTGTTAATTCAAGGTCTCTATTTGAACAATCGTCTATGCTTTCGGTGATTTTAATTAAAGTTTATCAAACTCGTGCTATTCTAGAATTTTATTTAGATTGTTTTAATGTTCAACAATTGTATTTAATCACTTACCAAATCAAAATAATCGGTGAGTAACATTAAGTTTCTTAGAATTGCTTTATAACTACGTACATTTGTAAAAAAAAAAATAGTAGATAGTTGCTACAATATTAGTTTATTTAACTATTTACTCATGCACTGAAAGTAGATTATAATTATTCACAATATTAGAGAAAAACATAAAAATAACTAATGTATGCACAACTTATGTACGTCTGGACATATTCTTTAAATGATTTAATTTACACTTTACTATAGTTAATACTTAAACCAGTTGAAATTGTATAGCTTATAACGTTTAATGGTTTTCATTATGTGTTTTTGATTTTCTTATATTATTTTATGATAAAAATATACTTTGTCATAATAATATTAATACTTTTTTTATGAAGAGTAAACTTTAAATAGGTACTAGAATAAGTAACCGCGGGAAATAAAACCATAAACGCAGTGCTACCACGGCTTATGTTTTTAATTAAACTTAATGTACTTGATAAGCAAATATAAAATAATATATTTAATAGAATATATGCGATTATAATTAATGGAAAGAAATGTAAATATTTTATTATTTATATTATTTGTTTTGTCTTGCTTAATAAATAAATAATATATTATTAAGTTGATGATAACACATCAAGAGGATGTGTAGCCTCTAAATTTTTTAAACCTACAGCATAAGATTAGGTACGCAGAATTCGTTTTACTTTCTAGTTTCTACACGAATTTTTAAAAGCTATTCATTAACATTTTATATAAATAAAACTGTTTAGGTTAAAATTTTCTGTTCTGTAAAAAAGTTCAATTACTTTATTCAAAAAGGTCATTTACATTTTCCTTATCTGTTTACAGTTACTCAACTTTATTCTATAGAGTATAGACCAAACAATAACAATTAATCTTAGTTATTTATTAAAAATAAAATGTAAGGCTTTCGTTGTTTTTTATATTTGTATAAGTTATATAAATATATTTGTTTGTTTAAACGTTTTTTAATGTTTACAAATTAAGGTGGCGAATAAGAGTGTTAGATACTCCCTTAATTAATTAATAAATGTCATCCTTAAAAAAAGTGAATAGCATAAAAGCAGAATGCGTTTTACTTTTCATATGATCGTTTAAAAGCAAAAATAGATATTTATATTATGAAATCAAATAAGGACATTTTAGAGGACACGTCATATCCGCTTTTTAATATATTTAGCTATTCATTTAACATTCAAAACCAACTTTATTACTTTTTTAAAACAATTATAACTTTTTTCTGAAAAATATAAACAAAAATTAACTAGACTTGGCTTTTAAAAAGTCGTGTAGAAACTAGAAAGTAAAACGAATTTTGCGTACCTAATCTTATGCTGTATGTTTAGCAAAGCGAAAAATAACCTTTTTTTTATCTTAGTACCGCCCAGACAGAGAGGGGAACGCTTTCGCTTTGCATCCCATCTAGCCCGACATCGTTTATTCATGGCAAAATCATTATATGCTACCAGCTACCCCCATAATACATTACTAGGGACAAGTATTAAGTGGTTTGTGTCTTTAATTTCTTGGTAAACTAAAATTTGTATAACAACGCATATCCTGCATGTACTACAAGTTAATTCTTACTGTTGAGTCTTGTTATCGTTACTCTTATAAAGTGAATTAAATATTAAATGTTTTTATAAAATAATATGTGTGATGTAATGATGAACAAAATTGTATTACTGTCATTATTTATAGTTTTGATAAATAATGTCGTTAAATATAATAATACAGACAATATTGTACTCAAAGTCACATTTTTTAGATAAAAAAAAGTTTATTTTTCGGGTCACCGAAAAAACATAGACGAGAATCCACAAACTATGGAAACTATGGACCTATCCACTCCTGGTAAATCGTAAGAAATTAGCGAAACAGTGACAAGTATACGGTGTTCCAGAAGTAGCCACATTTTGAAAATTCTATAACTTTTTTAATATTTGTAAAAAAATTAAAATGCATACCTTTGTGACGGTCCTAGGGTTTATGTGTGGAACATAACATCGGGCATATAACCGCTCCTGTTGGCCCTACAGGCCAACAAAATACTGTCCATGAAATTTCGGATGACGCGTTCGCAGATTTCAACGTCTAGGTCACCCATCACTCGCCTGATTTCTGCCTTAGCTGGTTGAGAACACGAGGTTTTTTTTGTAGACCTCGGAATTTACGTACCCCCACAAGAAAAATTCGCAGGGAGTCAGGTCACAAGACCGTGATAGCCACGGAAATCAGGCGAGTGATGTGTGATCTAGACGCCGAAATCTGCGAACGCGTCATCCGAAATTTCATGGGTAGTACTTTGATGGCCTGTAGGGCAAACAGGGACGGTCATAAGCCCGATTTTATGTTCCAAACATGAACCTCAGGACCTCCTGAACACAATGGTATGTGTTATTTTTTTTTTGTACAAATATTTAAAAAGTTATAGAATTTTCAAAATGTGGCTGCTTTCTGGAACACCCTATAGTTAGTTTAAAATACAAAGTTTTTCTACTTTGCTACCCACGAGTTACGGCATAAAATTTCTGATTGTTTGATTATTACTGTATGATGTGTACTATTTTAATAATACTATTCATAGAATATTAAACCCATTGAAGTAAAAGATAAGGCTAGTAATTTTACTTTATACTTTCCACAGTCCACTTAAACAAATATTATTCAGTCCGCCTCTAATGTAATAAGGATATAATCGATCAAATATTAATTCTTTGGTTTAATTCAATTATGTTTTGTATTATTCAATGTAGATTAAACACAAAAGATCGTTAATAAACGTTTATTGTGGCTGTCGCGATAGTTCGAAGGAGAGGACGCAATGGAGTGTGTGCTCTTGGTACGATCTTGGTTAGACACTGGATGACCAGTTTTTTACTGGGATCTTTATTTGCTTCATTGATAATTTATTATGCTGTTTTAAATCAACGAGGTAAAGATATTTTAAAATTGTATTTATTATATATGTATATATAATATTTGACACTTCAATCTTCATTTTAGTTTCATTGTCCTACATAAAAAATGAACAATTTGAAGTTCTTGAAAGTAGGGAACACGAATCAACGTCAGAAGCTATGGAAAAAGAGCTGAGGCTCTTAAGGAGGCAGCTAAGTATGACTCAAAACCATTTACTAGCTGCAATGAAAACATCGCTGTTTCCTGTGTCACCAACAGAGTCACCTCATATTTCGGATATTCCATCGCCTTGTTCGCCAAATGAAGTAATTTTTAAAACAAAATTAAGTTATTTCATATAATCTAAATTTAAATTTGTTATTAAGCTCAAAAATCTGTACAGGGTATTGACACAATAAATAAATGTGAAATAATCGAAGTTGGGATTGTTTGTGCTGGTTATAACTCAACTCGTTCAGTAGTAACCCTAATTAAATCTATACTATTCTATCGAAAAAATCCGTTAAGGTTTCATTTCGTTGTTGATGTGATATCCAAGAAAATACTAAAAACCTTATTTGACACATGGAAAATACCTCAATGTAAGTATAAAACTACTAATAATCTACCGTTGGAATTTATCTTTTACGTAGGCTTATTATTTCAGTGGAAATAGAATTTTATCCAGCTGAAAATATAGTTAGTGATGTGTCATGGATAAATAACAAACATTACTCCGGAGTTTATGGACTAATGAAGCTTTGTTTGACAGAAGTATTTCCGAGTTCAATAAATCAAATACTTGTATTAGATACCGATATCACTTTTGCTACAGATATTTCTCAGCTATGGATAATGTTTAAACGTTTTAAAAAATATCAGGTTACATTCATGATTTTTGGCTAACTACGTAAATTGTTTTTTTTAACTGTATATAATTATTACAATTTTTAATTCGTAATTTAAGGCATTGGGGTTAGTTGAAAATCAAAGCGATTGGTACCTCGGAAAACTTTGGAAAAAACTTAAACCGTGGCCTGCGCTTGGTCGAGGGTACGCATTTAATATTTAAAAAATTATTGAATGTGATAAAAAATTGAATTATATTACATTACTTTTGCTTATTTTAGTTACAATACGGGTGTTATTCTAATGGACTTAAGGAAATTGCGTTTAATTGACTGGAATGGCTTATGGCGATCAGTTGCAATTAAAACATTAGCAACTCATTACTGGACTAGTTTAGCTGATCAAGACATTTTTAATACGATTATTAAAGAACGCCAAGAGCTATTATACCCAATGCCATGTCAATGGAATGTTCAACTTAGCGACAATACTAGAAGTGAATTATGCTATGCTGAAGTAGTTGAATTGAAAGTACGTTTTAATTTGTTTTTATTCTTAACAACTATGTAGAGATTAAAAAATTTATGGACAGAATGAAATATAGCAGCGGTAAAAGTGTATTATACACATATAATAGTAAGAAATAAGACTAAATATACATATTATGCCCTATTAGTTTTATCCAATTTTCCTAAATGTTTAAAACTAAAATTTAACACAACACGAAAAATAATATTATTATGTATTTATTTTTATTGAATAAAAAACCCTCGGTAGCAAAGGCCATTGTGTTAAATATTATTATTGTTATTGTATAACAGCAATATGTGAAAAAAAATAAAATTATTAAAACTTGTAAACAAAAATTAATTGTTTAAGGTAATTCATTGGAACTCACCTAAGAAACTTAAAGTAAAAAATAAACACGTCGAATTTTTTCGAAATTTATACCTTACTTTTTTGGAATATGATGGAAATTTATTACAAAGAGAACTTTTTGGCTGCAATTTTTCATCTACAGTACAGTTAGACATTCCAGAAGTAAGTACACTGTAAGAACATTATTACTTCAACAAACATTACTTGTTTAACAATATTGTTGAATACATAACAATGTTATTATGTAGGTAGAGGTATCTAATTAATATTTAATAGTAATCCGATACTTATATAATATATTGATTAATATAAACAAATTTTATTAATAACTAACTAATTTAACGGTTTAGCTACTTACCGACCGATTTTTATATTTTGTTTTAAATATATGTATGCTATAACATACTTCTATATTCTGTATTTTGATTTTAAATATTTAAAGTCAAAACAATTACAGGATGAGGTGCTAAGTGATGTAATACAATTATTAAAACGTAAAATTTTGAACCGATTTCGGCACGGCTTAATATTAAAATACAGCTATGAAATTTTGAGAGTATATTTTTTTTTCGTGACTAATTTCAAAATAACGGGCACGCCCACCATAAAATAAATAAATACACACGTTGTCGTCTTCTTGTATATATTATAGTAAACCTTCTGTATCTTAAGCAACTTTCCAGCCTCGCGCTCTCTATAATGGTTTAATCCCGTTATTCTAAACTAGTAATTCACCATAATATTATAATACTTTATTATATATTTAAGTAGAGATTACAACATATTTTATCTGTTCTCATTTAAAAGTATATATAATTAAATATTTTAATTTTATTATAGAAATATGCATACGAATTATATTACTTATAAAACAAAGAAATATAATAATATTATGATGATTAAAATAAATTGTTATTTAACGATAGAATAATTGATGATATTAATAATTGTATACTTGATTTTTTAAAAATAATAGTTGCTTTAACTAATGTTTTAGTTAGCCGAACTATTTATTTAGTTATTTCAACTATAAATTTATTATCTACCTATTAATATTAACCATAATTTTAGTTGATCCAACTATAGATTTTTCTTGTGCGTGTAGACTATAACGATACCCGCTATATGATTTTGAAGCTGAAGCCCAACATATAGATATCAATTAACTTTATTCATACCATTAAATCTTACATACGTTTTTAAATTTAGATAAGTGAAGATGATTTTTGTTACGAGTTTAGAAGAGCGGGAACGAGCAGTTTGAGAACACATTTATATTTCTTGGAATTTGAATACCAAGCATCTCCAGACGATTGCGACATCACGCTTGTAGCTCAACTGTCTATGGACCGGCTCCAAATGGTAGAAATGCTATGCGAGTATTGGAACGGTAATCCATTATTTTTCAGAGCTACTAACTAGTTAAATTTAAATTTAAATTTTAAAACTTTACAGGTCCTATAAGTCTTAGTCTTTATATGTCAGACGCCGAAGCTCAACAATTTTTGAGTTATGCTCTAAATTCTGAAATACTTAAAAACAGAAGAAACATTGGTTATCACATTGTATATAAAGAAGGCGTAAGGACAAAACTTTAAAAAAAAATCACTCGATGATAACTACTAAACGCTAATAATTAATATAAATTGGTTTTAGGACTTTTACCCTATAAATTTATTACGAAATGTCGCCTTAGAAAATGTTGTGACGCCGTATGTATTTTTGTCTGACATCGATTTTTTACCAATGACTGGTCTTTATACGTATTTAAAGAAATATATTTTTATAATGAACATGAAGTCGTCAAATAAGGTAATGTATTTTTTCACTAAATGTTTTGACTTTTTTTATATTAATACATAATGTTTCTTTAGGCTTTAGTAGTACCTGCCTTCGAAACTCAACGATACAGAACTGCCTTTCCATTAACTAAGGCAGATATATTAAGGATGTTGGATGACGGTGCTTTGTTCTCTTTTAGATATCACGTGTGGCCAAGAGGTCATGCCGCTACGAATTACGCAAAATGGAAAGGATCTACTGTTCCTTATGAAGTATGATTACAAATTAGTGTTCAGTAATTAAGTACTATTATAAGTTGTAGTGAAAAAATAACAATTCCTTTGAATAATTCCAATATGAAAAACTATTCTTATTAAAAATGCTTGATAATTATAGGTTTCGTGGGAGCCTGATTACGAGCCTTACGTTGTAGTTCGCAGTGATGTTCCTAGGTATGACACTAGATTTGTCGGTTTTGGTTGGAATAAGGTGTCTCATATTATGGAATTAGAAGCCCGAGGGTACACGTTTGTTGTACTACCTAATGCATTTATTATCCATATGCCCCATGCACCAAGTTTTGACATCGCTAAATTTCGAGGGTCTTCACAATACAGAAGGTGTGTAGTTAATGATGTAATAATATATTATATATAATATAAATATTCTAAAAACATTATAAAATATAAACGATATTCACTATATACATAGAGAAATACACTAAATATTCAATACTAATGCTATTACTTATAAACTATCAAGCACTGTCGAGCAAAAAAATCCACGATTAACCGATAATTACATTTTAGAAATCATCCAAAGCAATTCTAAGTTAGTGATATTTATAGAAATTGATAAAATTAATCTTGTCTACACTTTTTTAATTCGACAGTACTTAAGGATTAAACGGATACGTAATATTTATGTTGGTGGGGTGTATGCAGTATGCTATGAGCAAATTCACTTTAACAACATGTTTCAAAGTTTAATTGTAATGTATATGTTGCATATCATTGTTGCTAAGATATTGAATGTATGGTATTCGTAAGATACATTTACGAAAGTTGTAGACATAATGCTTACAAAATGTAATCATGGATTTTTTTTATATCAATGATAATTAATAATTTGTGTTATATTTAATTTAGATGTTTGAAAATTCTTAAAAACGAATTCATTCGAGATCTTCGTAACAGATATTCGAGGAGATTAAATCACACGGAAAGTTAATATGCCAAATATTAAAACGATCATCAAATATAAATACTACTTCATAGTTCAGACATTAAACAGTCAATGATTTGTAGAGGTGTTAAAATGTGTTCAATTAACAATCTGTTGCCAATAAGAAAATTAAAGTATACCTTACTATCTAATTTTAGCTAAAAAATGTATTAAAAAAACAATTATATTTAGTACTGTTTATTGTAAATTACCTATGTTAAAGTTTTAGTTTACATTTTGTTTATAATATTTTTTATTATTATCCTTATTATAATGAAATGTTCCTATTTCAATTTATTTTATATTAAACCACATTTAACTCGTTTAAAATAAAAAAAATATCTTTTAATGTTACTGTTATGTTTTAAGTTTAATATCAGAAAACCGAATTCCACGTCTACGTGTATGGTTATCATACAAATAGATGTATAATTGGGTTACTTACATAAGAAATATGAATAGGATGATACTTATATTAATACATTTTAAGTACATTTTCTTACACGTAAGCAAATGTTTTAACTTGTAAAACCATAATATACATAACGTTAACATAAAAAAAAATGTACATATAATATGATAAACTAACACACTTCGTTATTAATAATTTTATACTTTCATTATAAACTAAAATCATTGATCCTTTCTCTAGTGTTACATTTTTATCAGTTGCGACAATTTTGAATATTCGAAACCAATACCTAAATTAAATATTTCGGACTCAAAGCCCTGTAAAAAAAACTTACTATTATGAGATAATAAACATCACTAAAATATTGATTGTTGACATACAAGAAATAGGAAGCCAGAAAGTTTTGAACAAAATTTACATTTTCCTTAAACTATAAAAATTAAAAAAAAAGTTTAACAAATTTTGTTTATTGTATAATTCTCTCTAAACCTTTTTTGAATAAATAAAATATCTTTGTTCCGATGAAATCGAAAGCCTATATAATTTATTCAAATCTGAAAGCACTGATTTAACCAAAAATTGATCCATAGGTTCATAATTCGAACTTATATGAAAACTATGGTGTGATGATTTGGACATAAGCCAAAGAAAGTTGTAAAGCTCTACTCTGTTAAATTTACTTCATTGATTTTGTATATAAAAAACAAAATGTTTTTATGAAAACATTTTTTTAAAAACATTAATTAGTTCGTTTTTAAATCGAAGATGAAATGTGTGTTGCATGGTAAGTCCTACCTGTAGGCTGCAAGTATCCCTTTAGTAGCAGGTGTGTTTTTTTTATTATAGAACAGTTGTTCTCGTGCTTAGGGCATCCCAGCTGCACAGTGCATCTGGCACGAGCCATACAGCTGTCCAATAGCAAGTATAGGTATATACTTATACATAATATAGGTCCTATATGTACACCTACTGGACAGCTACAAAAAGAAATATAACATCAGCTTGCAACACATATTTATATAATAAATATAATATATATTTTAAAATGTAGTATTTTCGAATGATTTCGCAAGATTTCATAAAATCTATAAAATATTAGGTAGTTTATATAAGTTAATCCTAATATTAAATTAAAAAACACAAATATGCCATTAACAAGTTTCAGTAATCAAAAGATTAAACCTATTGCTAAAATTTACTTAAATTTGTACTTGCTTAATAAGTGTTAATTTTTTAGTGGTTATTATTATTATTTTCGTATGGTTTAAATCCAACACTAACAACATAAATAGATACCATAACAACAACAAATACTACAATAAATGATATAGATAATATAAATATAAAATATATAAATTGATAAAATGTAGGAGCTTGTATAGTAATAATTAGTTAAGTAGATAAAATATATGTATAATGATTAAATAATGAAGTCGGGTTAGTGTTTACATTGTCTTAAATTCCAATGTCCAGATTGGTTAGCCAGTTTGTTGCCGTTGCTGTGGCCTTATGAAGATGTTTCATTCCGCCTTGTATTTTTCATACTGTACATTCTTCTACGATGTGATTGGCTGTATGAGTGTCATGTCCGCAGTCGCATTGTGGTGTATCTCTAAGTCCCCATTTATAATGCATTTTTCCCGTTTTCCCGTGACCAGTCCTAAGTCTATTTAGGGTCACCCATTCCTTCCGGGGTAGTTGGAACCCCGGAACCCTTTCTATAGGTTGTTCAATGATGTTAAATTTGTCGGGATTATTTAGTCTCCATTCATCAGTCCATTTAGAGTTAAGGTTATAGTTTTCGTTAATTAATTTTTGTGCCAGCTTCCAGGGAGGCTTGCGAGATTTTAATCTTTGGCTGGGATTATTATTCATGTACTTGTGTATGGGTAGATTTCGATTTAAAGCATGATTGTTATATTCTCGAACTAAGGAATTGTATCTTCGGAGGTGAGGTGGCGCTATATTTCTCAATATTTTTTAGTGGTTGATATAGTTAAGTGAATACCCATTTTAGAAGTAGATGTTTGTGTAGCAATGAATCTAAATAAGAGAGTAGACACTTTTTGAGGGAAAAAAGTCATGTATTTAAAACTGAAATAGTACATTATTGGACATATTTTTGTTTGTGTTATTTTAAATAACTTTATTAACGTTTTTTATATTGTTTACAGCCCTACTATAGTTTAAAACTTAAATAGTTAATTAACGTAGATTTTTGTTTTTTGTCTGTTTTAAAAAATTATGACTGAATGGTACATAATTTGAGCGACTTTAATAACTTTTAGGAGGTTAAGTTTGCTAAACAGTAAACTCCCATTTTATTTGCGGTAATGATAATTATTAATTAATATTACATCGTATAAAAAATAATAAAGTATTATTATGTAAGTGTTTACGATACACCGATAATCAGTAATCTAATACAAAGTATAAGCTATTAAGACAAATTGATTTTAAAAAGATCATAGACGCCATGGTGCGTATAATTACTTGTATATAATGTACTTTGACTTTGTTTAATGACATTTAATAGTTCTTCCACGTACGATTGTATTATAAATATATACCCACTTGAACAATGATAAATAATGATTAAAATTATATTATATAGTTTAAAATTTTGCGCACATGTCAGACAAACTTGTTATCCACGTGCCGGCGCTTCTTGAGCAGCTGCTCAACTTGTTTCTTAATCGATCAGACGTTTTTACTACTATAAAAAAGTTACCACAATTTCTCTTATAGGCATTTTTTTCACGCTAATTTCATATTAAATTTAGAGTTTTGTTACCGCAGTAGTAACATATGAAGACCGAGCTCGTTTACAAACCGGATTCTTAAACGCATGCGCATTGTGAAGGTTATGTCTTTTACCATATACCATCTGCTCGCGGCTCTTCGACAGGGACTAGTAAACGGCCTAGTGTCTGTCGACGCTGAGTAACGTGTTTAGTTTGAGTTGTAGTGCTCGTGTGAAAACACCATGTTTCTAATACTATTAACCGTGTCAATATGTACGTCAATGGCTTCTACTGGAGCCCAAATGGATTTCGATGTCAATGATTTAAAAACAATTAAAAATCAACTCAATATGCTCATGGAAAAACGGCAACAAGACTACGAGCAAATGGAAAAATCGTTATTTGAATCACTCAAAAAAAGTTCTGGCCTCCTAGCTTTAAGGGATGAAATTCAAATACTCAGGTAAATAAATTGTCAGTAAAATAATAATTTAGATTTTATATAAAAATATTAGGTATATAATGAATAATATAAACCTTAAGAAAAACTATGATATCAAAAACAGTACAAAATACTTACCTTTAACCTTATAACTTAAAAGCAAAAACAAACTAGTCGTTAAAACGCGATGTTAATGTTGTTTGCAAAACCATTATCCATACTTAAATTTAAAAGACAAAAATATTAAAGCTCATTTGTCAATTTAAGTAATTTAATGAGAATCAATGGATTAATGTTTAAACCAATAAAAACCGCTGCCATATCATTGTCGCATAACTTCCTCAAAACATATTTATTACTTACACCGGACAATTTGAGTAAATTTAATTGAATGAGCTATTATTATTTACTGGTATATTAAGTATATCAAATGTAACGGTTGCTATGTTAAATTAAAACACAACCAACAAACAGTGTTTAAACATTAAATACACCAACGTGTATTTATTACAATTTAAAAAAAGTTCTATTTAATTTAGACGAAAAAACTTAAAATTAAAAGTATGAAGGTAAATCTAGATACTGATGACAATGGCCCAAAATTATGGGCCATTATCGAAAGGGAAAAGGGAGTTTCAAAAACGAAACTATGAAAAAGGTATACCGTACAGAATTTTGTTTCTAAAATTTGACTCGGTAAACAGGTTTAAAAATTTGTGCTTTTAACTACTACTTTTTTTGAGCGAATTTTGGTTAATTCGGACGACATGGATTCGTGACTATTAATCAGCTAATGTCAACTACGCATGTTTAACTTTCATTCAGCAAATGAAAACCAATTGTACGCTAAAAATAATTTTTCGAATTCCCTTGACATTATAGAAAACGAAGCCAACCTGTTTCATTTTTGGAGAATACGAAAAAAGTTTAATGACATATTTTAATGGAATTAAAAAACGGAAACCACCTCCTGTTTTTACATTTGGAGTTATAAAAATATATTGATCAATTTTTTTCTTTAACTGTGAAATACGTACGTACCTGTAACTGTTTTTACATAGGCTTTTGAAAAAATAATTGAATCGACAAATATAGGCATTGATAAATACAAAGTTAGCTGTTTAGGCAAAGCATCACTAGAATTAAGTTAACAATTTAAGCTAAATGATTTAAAAAGCGTATGTGAAAAAAATGCAATTAATAAATTAAAGAATGAAATTGTATCTAAAAGGGTTCGGTCATTTTACTTACGGCACTTAGCCAACAAAAAGGTGAAACAAAAAGTTGATTTATTAAAGAGCTATCTTGAGAAAATGCATTGTAACTCTGATTCCAGTCATTTATGGGACATCATGATCCAAAACCTAAGTATATTTTAAATATAACTTTATTTTTAAAACGTATAGCTGATCGAAAGTCTAGAAATGGTTTTTTTTTTAATAATTAAAAAAAATAAAAAATAAAAACAACTGGTATAATTATTTAAATATTGAACCTCAACTTATTTCTGATTTACAGTCTATAGACCAAAAATCATACACTAAAAGTACTTTGTAAAGCCAATAAAAGTTCAGAAGATATAACTCGAACAGCTATCAGTTATTTACGTAGAACTAATATCAGTAACCCTTGAGTAATTTTGGGATTAAGGTCAGAATAACAATTTTAAGTTAAATTTAGTGCATAACTATAAAATACACAAACTATTGATACGTATCAAAAAATCAAAATCCGACGTAGAACACTTGTACTACTATTTTGAGCTAGTGAGGTGTTATATGCGAATAGGCACTAATTATCTGAAAGAATGTCGTAATATAGCCAAACATTGTTATGAATTAGCAGAATATATCAATATGTTATAAAAAGTTAAATATAGCTATCGATATTTCTACCAAACTCTACGATCCTGGAGTTCCGCTATTTTTAGAAAAGGTAAACTATAGAATAGCCTTAGTTCAGTGGCGAATTTAGAGCAAATTCAAGTATCCCTTAAAGGGATTAAATAAAACGCCTAAAAAAATATATCTATTACACAACATGTATGATTTTGGTGCTCGGTTGAGGGCAGAGTAGGGAATCAAAATTCGGACATACCTATAACTTTTGTTCTAGATTCGTCTCTTGCCGAGTTAATAATAAATAAATATAGTTTTTTGTTCAAGATGAAGTCAGTTATTTCCGAATTAGAAGTCGAAAGACTTAATCCAAATGAAAAACGTCAAGCTGAAATTGTAAGCTTCATGCCAAACTTGGACATGAAAATGAAAGCTATTTATATGTTTAGACAGTTAGCTATAATGCCTTTAGACCGTCAGATGTCTTATTAGTACCTGGTGTTACTTAAACTGGAGGTAATAGCAAATATACTTCTACACAAGCGGCTCGCAAATATTTGTCCTTAAATCTTAATACCGAGAAATCTAGTCAAAAGATTGAATGTACCCCAATATAAGTTGAAAAAAAAGAAAACCTATTGGTTACATTAGAAAATTAAAAAAAACCTTTTTATGTTATAAAATTTAAAGTTAATAAGTCGATATTATGGGTAATATAAATATTAGGATCAAAAATAATTATGTAATTATTTCATACTTCTTAAATATGTTATAGTAAAAAAATAATGTTGAAGTATACCTATTTATTCTAAAACGACATAGTATGATGTACAGCTTATGCATGGTCTTTACTATAAGGATTAATTAATAATAAAGTGTATTGTATTATGTTTATAAAAAGTGTAGGAGGTTATAAATAAATGTGTGCAATTTAATACAAAAGCGATACTTTTATCATTTTATTACAGATATTTTAAAACTATTTTATATTTATTAAGACACGGTATCAAATTAAAAGTTACAACCTGTAAGTCTATAATCATGTTTTAATAGTTTACGATATTATTGTATTGAATTATGTTTATTAATTATTTATAAGTTGAAAAAACATTTATTTACATTTTATTTATCGTAATAGTATTAATAGTAATAAAATAATACGAGCGAAATACATTTTTTTAGAGATGAACATTTGAGAATGACTCAACCTGGAAATAGTGGTATTCGTGATAAAGTTGCTGTAGGTTGGTTGAAAGAAGTAATAGAAAGCCTAAAATCAGAAATGCAAGGCGTTTGGTCAGCAATCAACGAAACGGCTCAAATACATAAAACGGCTACTTTAAAAACCGATATCCAAGCTTTGAGAAAAGATCTGGATGCAAATCGAAAAGACTTGCAAACTATACAAGGAGAGTTGTTATCTGTTCGAAAGAATATCGAAGACGTGACCTTTAAGCACACAGAATTAAAAAAAAAGATAAATGTTGCAATCAACTATCAAAAGAGTACTAATAAAGTAAGTAAACATATAGGTTGTGCGATCAAAATTGTTGGGAAAATTAATATGTGTTAAAAAGTAATATGATAATAAGTGTGTGCTTATTTAAAAAGAGTTTTTTTCAGTTTCTATAGTTGACTTCAGAGGGACCAAAGTCCAAAAAAATCACATTATATGGAATTATTTTTAAATAGGTATCATAAAAATTGTAGTATTCTTTTTATAGATTTAACAAGCTTTACAAGCTGACAAAATTAATTTATTAATATAGGTAGATATCTAATATAACATAACAGTATATAGTAAGTAAATTGTCTGGTACTCCAATTAAGTTAAAATTACGGCTATAAAGTTTGATACTATTAAAGGAATATTACATTTTTTTTAAAAAAGGTACCTATGCTACACAATATCCTTAATCAATCCAAACTCCATATGGTAAATACGAATGTGTCCGACCGACGGAATGCCGTTTCGTGTTCACGTCTACCAAATGTTGTTTTTGTGATTGCCTACTTATATTTTGTTTAAAACTATTACATTATTTTTCTCCAAAATTGAAAAAGCATAACTTTTTCTAATAAAAATAAATAGTAATTTCTTGTTTTGTTTAATTAGAACAACGGCGAATTTGACGGGAACCCAATTGCAAACATTTACAAGGTAAACAAAAAAACAGTCTACTGTTTCCCAAAATGTCAATAAATATATAATTCTACGAAACAACAAGTTTAAACGAGGACGCCAATTTTTATCAAAAAAAAAATTAAATTAATCAAAAATATTCATAAAAAACCGGAGAAGGCCCACTTGTCACTTACAATGCACAAAAATACGCATGTGTCTGATAAGTTTTCTGGTTTCTAGTCGTATTCAATTCTTCTTGATCTCCAGCTTCAAGATTTCGATACTTAGAAATTAGAATCAATGCGTTATAACTTATAAGGCAATATTATTTTCAAAATTAATCAATTTTTTTCTGATAATCTTTTCAAATAGTACGCTTTTAGAGTTACAACTAGTGAAATGTACCTATAAGTCCACAATACTGGATATAGTTTAATATGCCTTGCGTCGTATGTTTTATTAACAACAATTATGTATAATAAATATATTATTTACAGAGATTGGCAGTTACCAATGAAGATCCTTTGCAGACGAATGTTATTACGACCTTTGTAACAGATAGAGAAGCTCAAGAACTCGAACACCTAGAATCTTCACGAAAATCTTTGACTCATCGAATGACGCGGTTAGAAAAACGCATAAAGGGCATATTATACAGGGAGAGCACAGTTGTCGAACGAGAGAACCGATTGTCTAGACTGGAAGCCAACCTAAACGCTACCACCGCAGCTTTAGAGTTCAACGCAACCCGCCAAGATGCTACCTTAGACCGACTACACGGATCCTTACTAGAGTTGTTGGAAAGCGTGGAAACTCTAGACGCCCGGATCGATGCCTGCTTGCCAGAGGTACGCAAAGAGATTTCGAAAATTGAGTTCGCCGTGGCAAGAATGAACGCCTCAGTAGCCATCATTAAAGAAGATCAGGTAAAATAAATAAATATCTAATTTTACTTTTTATTGACTGTAAACCATTTTTATTGATAGAACAATCAAATTTTAACGACTAAAGCCCTCGGTGAAGGTATGTCGGCCATACAGAGAACGCTGAGTAAAACTTCTGAAAAAAACACCAAACCAATAAATAGTGTGAGTATCTATATTCTATAATTATATTGGTATATATTGAACAGTCATTAAATTATTATATACTTATTAGGTTATTATAAAAAAAAATTTATGAAGTTTGTGATCAATAATAAATACTGATTCATCTTGTCCGCGATAGTTTCGTAGATGTATTACAATAAGGAGGGCCGTTAGAATAGCACATAATATTATTGTACAGGGCACACGCACGTATAGCTGTGGAGGCAGGTGGTTTGTATTTTTATTCATTCTACCCGTGAGCACGAGGTCATAGACGGCGGCAATCGCCAGTCAGGTGCTAGTCACACCTGCCCAATTTCGTGACAGACGGTGGCTGCAGAACTGCTGCTATATATGTTATGTATTCTGTTTTTGATGGCCTATGCCGCATATTATTACTTAGCGTAACATTTCTGTAATGTGCACTTTTAATGTTAAATTTCACAATTAATACTAAGAGTAACATGATTCATGATTCCTAAAATAAAATATCCGATTAAATCTATATGTTTTTCAACGAGTAATAATATAGGACTTAAATTTAATTTTACGAAACCACTTTTGTAAAATACAGGATTTGGAACCTTTTTCAGGTTTTGGATTTTTACCCGTTTTATGGGTGTTGACCACAAGTTATTACAATTTTTGAACACTGATATTATGTTAATTCGGATATAATTGTTCAATATGGATGTTGGTTTTTTGTGCTCTAGAGGTGAACATTTACTAAACCAACAAACTATTATTTGTTTAATTATTTGATAAATAATGAAAAGTGCATTCAAATCCAAAAAACATTCAAACACTATTTTCTCATTATTATGGCCTCTAGTATAAAAAGTGTAGTACTCTTTATTGATTAAAATATAATTTATATTAAAAACTGTTAACATTTTTAGGGTTTTGGGTATTTTCTAAAATAAGGGTGTTTCAGTTTTTTATCGGTTCAAGCTCCGATTTAATATGTACAAACATTGATGCTGCTATTGTTGCCAAACAAATAAACAAACAGTTTTAATGAAATTATACACTGATATCAACAAAAAAAAAGTTTTCAGAGTACAAGTCCCCCTTCTCCCTAAAATATTTTTTATTCATAATAATATGGGTGGGTGAGTACACAAACTGTCGACTGTTATAAAGTATAACCCCTTAGGTATTAATACAAAAAAACAAGCTATCTACAGAAAATTGGTACAATTGTTTTTTTACTTGGTTTAATCGGTTTTTAAAAAAAGTTGTTTTTGAGTTACGGCACTTTTGTTTTGAAGAGCAGTATATATAGATGTACAAACTTCGTTATTTTGTATCAAATACACTTGAGAATGCATTCTTCTACATGTATAATAATTAGTATATTATGTCTCATAATTTAAAAATATTCTTAATTTCTTAGTTCAACTGGTTTTAACGTGTAAATCGTCAAGAAATGTGTTTATCATACAAATAGTATACATGAATAATATGCTTTTTCAGGTACAAAATGCAAATAGCACGGATTTTATAACCGCTCTCAAAGAATTAGCCGCTATTCAGAGCTCCTACGAGAAAATTGTTGACGACCTACCTAAAGGTAAATATATGGGAATTATTCAACATTATCGTGTACATTCGAAAAATAATAATATTTGATAAGTGATATTACATATCATATAAGTACCTACCTGCGTAGTATATTTTTTTATAGACAGCTTTGTAAATGTTATACTTGTGTCTATAGATAATGAAAGCTAGCGTAATAATTTGTAAACGTTCCATAAAATAACATTAATATTATAAAACGAAAATATACCTACAGGCTACAAGGGATTGTCTGTTAAATTCCAAAAAGGCCGTTAGGAAGTACGTGAAGCATAAATAGAAGGGTTGCTAGCCCCTATAATTCTGTTAAATATTAATTATTTTGATCGGTTAACCATATCGAACATGACAGGTGGTTTTTTTTAATAATATTCATCCGCTTATCTACCTACTATTGCGTTGTTTCCGTTACAGCAAACCACGTACATATGTATACTTGTACATACAAGTATACATATTTAAAAATTAAAAAAAAGTTCCTAGGTATGTATGATTTATGATTTAATCGGTCGAACCTAAAATAAGTAAAAACTTCCAACATTTTTTTACGTCATGTTGATAAATCTTTTTTAAGTTTTTTTAATATTATACCATCTACATTTTAAACCAAATGAAGAAACCGTCTAATATTTTTAAACACATTTTAACTTTTCTTTATTGTAAATATAAATTGTTTTTACTAGATTGTTCGCAAGTGAATGTAGCTGGAGAATACCTAATCTCGCCAAATGGAAAAAAAACATTCTTAGTTCACTGTGAAATATCTGACGATATGTCCTGGATTACATTTCAAAGAAGAACTAATGATCAACTAAATTTCAATAAGGATTGGAAGGGTTATTCAGAAGGATTTGGACATTTATATGGTAATTTGATCCTAATGCGTACAATTTTATACAAACAACTTAGATAAAACATAAAAAAAAAATTAAATATACTTTTACCTAGTTTAAGAGAGTATAGGCATAGGGGCATTTGGTTTGGGCGCTACAGTCACATTTATTTTTAGGAGCCTTCGAAGTTTTCATAAAATACCTATATAATGTAAATTCATTAGACCTGTTCAGACTAAGAGTTCAGTATTGGGTAAAATTTATTAAAAGGGGTAAATTTTATTTTTCTGAAAAAAATATTAATTCTATATTTTTGAAGCTTTAACAATATTTCTAGTATAAATAAATAAATATATTAAATTCCTTATATTCTTATCGATTATTTTACTTAAACAGTAGCAAAAGCACCCCAAAACGTGTTACCTATTGTGCGTCTTACCTACACTAGTATTTATTAAGTCATTTTTTCGAGTTGATTAAAAGTGGTTTTCATACATATGAATTATAAGTCGTTTAAATGGGATGATGTAAGCGCTTAAAGACACTGGTTAAAGTCAAAATTTTGCAGAGAAATAATGGGAAAATGTAATTAAATTTGTTTTGCAGTCGAAATTCGCTTTAACCATTTTTAAAAACAGGTCTGATATACACTTACATATATTGGATGGGATGTAGATTTTAACTTGTATATTTTACTTACTACATAAATATACAAATTTAAATTTTAAAAAAAATAGAAATAAATTATTATTATCAAGTATCTATGAATTCGAGTTTAGTTAGTTTTACATTTCAGTTTGACATTTTCAGTAATAATACTAAAGTGTATATTTGTTTATGTTATAGGTGATTTTTGGCTTGGTAACGATGTTATTCACCAATTGACCTTATATAACAAATCCTCTTTGCGAATTCATATGACGGATATATATGGAAATAATTGGCAAGCAGACTATGCAAATTTTACGTTGTCTGATGCTAATAGCGGCTATAGATTGAATGTTTCTGGGTACCAAGGTAATGCATCCGATGCATTATCTTTTCAGAATGGCCATCAATTTAGTACAGCAGATCGTGATCAAGACGACAGCGCAACAAACTGTGCAGCAAATTATGAAGGAGGCTGGTGGTACTCACGATGTCAGCATGCCAATCTAAACGGCAAATATAATTTTGGGCTCACGTGGTTTGATACCAGTCGTAATCAATGGATTGCAATTGCTAAGAGCGAAATGAAAGTCGGAAAACGTATTGCTAAAGGATAGTTTTTTAAGTACCTAATTTTTTTAATCCGTTATTATTTATATGTGCTAGTCATAAGAGATGATGTTAAATATTCATGTAATATTGTCCTTTTTATTTATTGAACTGATTAGATAGTTGGTATAACTTAAGTTATATGTGTTGAATCCTATTCGGCTATTAATTATGGCCTAGTGATAATACTTATTTTTGTCAACATTTTGTTAATAATTAAAACAAAGATTCATTGTATAAGTGAACAATAGTAATAATTATTAAGGTTATAGTTATCAAATCAAATGTAATATTTTTGTCACCATTTTTAGATAAATAGGTATCTAGTTATTAAGAATTAAATACATACAGTATTCAAAACAAATAAAGTTTAAAATATTGTATTTTTAAATTCGGTGGTACTGATCAACATACTGCTGATACTCTCATATTTTTAAAATGTATTATTATAAAATACCACCAACGTAAGTAATTATGTCAATTAAACCGGATTATGCGATAAAATAAAAACAAATGTTAAGAATGGTTTTAAAAATATATAAAAATGTTGGTTTCAGTGTAATTATTGTTGTGTAAAAGTACTTAAAATAGTAATGTTTATATTTAGTATATCACCCAATCACCTATGTCAGTCTACAATTAGTTAATAATAAAAACCCTATTAGTTTATGTATTTGAAGTATAATAATGATAATGCTCAAATTAATTGAGCAAACTATAATATTTTGTGGAATAATAAACAGTACATATACATAGTCTGTAGTCAAAACTGAACAACATTAATTATTATTATAATTTGTCCCTATTTAAAATGTATAAATCAATTGTTTGATATTTGATAAGTTGTAAGTTTATTAGGTAAGTGATACTAGATAACATTTGTACAAAATTTCTTATTTAGTAGTGGTCATAGAATCTCAAAATGTTGGTAATTCTTTATAGGCAATATTATACTAAGACATCATTTGACTTCTTTTTCAAACAGTGATTAAATAAATTTGTATGACAATTGAAAACAGAGAAAAGCTAATAAAAGTTTAATAAGAATTTACATTGAAGTAAAATACAAGGTTACTCAAAAAAACAAGAAACCCGTGTATTGTTTAAGATTACCCAGGTAATTATAAATAAATAAAAATAGTATTATATTTTAATATTCGCTGTATTTTTATTAACTTTTCAAAACCGTATCCCCTAATAAATACCTTAAACATACAGTTTATGATATTATTTTCTAAATTTTTCTTAATTTGTTTAACTTCATAATTACTACACAAGGGAGAAATAAAAAATAGCAGAACTAGGCATAGCTAAAGTAAAAGTCCAATAAAGTGTATGATCACATAATCTGCCGTTAACTGTATTAAAGTATCTATTTACAGTATATTAGCAATTATTTAGTAACATTTTACAATATTAAAAGCTGTTTATATAAAGAAGTTATTTTCTGAATAATAAAAAAATATAGTTTTAGGTTATAGATAAATTTATTACCAGTACTCTAAAATATATCTAAAATTGTAATTTGTTTTAATTTTAACATCAATAACAAAAATTATAGTTTATAATATAGAACAAAATATTATAAAACAACTGTAAATAAAACACATAAAACTAGAATAGGGGAGGCCATACCAATGGGGTCACCAAATTCAATAAAACTTTGCCAAGTCAATTTATAGTAAATACTAAGAGAAAGTAAATGTAGAGGTAAGTAAACATCCTGGTAACAGTATTTCATTAATTTTTTTATATCATAGCTAAAAAAAAAAAAAAGAATTGAACGGTAACAGATAAAAAAGCTTAACCCTGATGTTGTACTTGTATCCACCAGCGAATTTAAAAAAATGTATTTCGTTTGACTTAAAATAAACCTGGCAATGTTTTATATTTCTTGGGGTTTTAAAAAGTATAGATAGTAAACTTTTATGAAATTCTATTGTATTTGTATTATAGAAATTTAAGAAAAAACATGAAGGAGTATCATTTAATAAATTTAAAGTATTGTATAATATATAATTATAAAATAAATAACTATTTTTATCCAACTAGTGAAGTATATCACAGACATTAAATATCAGGAATGTACTCTTTAAAGGACATGCCAGTAAAATGTTTTACATCATGTTCATATATTGTATTAAAATTATGCATTTAAAATTTTACATTAAACTAGGTAAATTAAGATAATTACAATAATATATAGAAACCTAGGATAGGCGAAATAAATACATTTTCTACTCTTACAACATTTTGATAAGACTTCTTAATTAACACAAAGATAAAATTGTTATTTTATGCATGTAATAGGTTACAGTATTATTTTGCCAATTCTCAATAAGGTATACTATTTTAAACGGCAACACACATTTTTTTTAATAAGCATATGTAATAACAACAACACATATTACTATCATGCTCTTTGAAAGGGTTTATAGAAAGACCACAATCAGGCTATTAACTTAATATTGTAACAATATTAAAATTACTTTTAAGAGTTTTAGTTCATTACACAGTGCTACAGTGATTTTAAACTTTTCAAGAGACATAGTGCAGGTTGAGGTCTGGTCAAGTCCAACATAAAACCCCATATGAAAAATTTTAACACCCAAATTTTTTACTCCCGAATTCACAAGACTGACGGTTGTTAATGGTAAATTCAAAACTTGAGTGTCAAAAATTGTTTAAATGCTGTTTATGTTGGACTCAAAATGTACTTGGTTGATTTAAAAAATGATTCATTTTTTGTGTAAAAAATTTGTATCTTGTTTAGCATTTAATTGAATTAATAGCAAAAAAAAAAAATAAGCAATTTCATAAAATCCAAATTCTACTTAGAGATATAAATAAAATACTGAATTTATTATTTTTGCTCAATCAGAAGTTAAAATAGAATTGTAGTGTCTTAAGAGCGAAAAAATAATTGAAATCCATACAATTTAATTTATTAATACTTAGGTTTTTTATTTGAGAGAATTAAATGTATAAATAAAAATAATTCACAGCCTTTTTTTACATACATCAGGGCTTCAGCCGACATAAGCTAAGATTGACGCCTATTTAAAACATCAAAAAGCACTTGAGTAGAGTCATTAGAACTATCTGAATCATTGTAGTCCTCACTTTCTGGGCGTGTTAAATGCTTATTATCTTCATTACCAAGAATACCATAACGGCTTTCTATTGACCTATTTGTTTTATATTTATGCCAAACGTGTGAAATAACACCAGTCATGCAAAGTGCTAAACCTAAAAGTTTCATCGATGTCATGATATCACCATTATATTCTACTGCCAAAACCAAAGAACAAATCTCCTGAAATAAGTTGTTGATATGAATTACTGAAGAAAATTATTCTATTTAATACTAACCTTTACAATTCCAACAACACTGAGTGTAAGACTAGATGTTTTGTACACAACAAAGTACTCCGATACTTCAAGACCAAATGCGAAAAATGATCCAATTAAAATGAGTATGCTCATTTGGAAGTATTCAATTTTAGTATTATGTCTAAACCAAGTTACAAAGTCATCACCTGCATTTAAAAAAAAAAAAATTAAAAAAAAATTAAGTTTACTCATTTAATAAAAAAAGTCAGACAAACGACAACATTTTATAGTTATTATAATATAAATTATTTTCATAGAAGCAACTTCTAACTTTTACGACCACTAACGCAACCTATATTTTCCATTAAATTAATCATAACTTATTTGGTTAAACAAATGTATATATTTTTAAAACCAAATGTTTGTGTAAAACAATAATAACTAAAAATATAAATTTAAAAAGAAAAATACCTTTTTTATTTAAAATTAAAACTACAATGAAAATCGTACAATTTATGTGTTTATATATATTAATTATATTTAATATATCTTATAAATTGAATTAAAAAATAAATAACTATTAAAAAATGAGATAGATTTGGTAGGTACAAAAAAATATTCTATTACTTACCTTCCAAAAACAAAAATATAGGAAATACTGACAATAACATCCATGGTTGAGTAAAGTATATCATATCTACCGGACTTTTTAATCCTATATCTGCTTTCTGCATAATAAACTGTGATAATGTCCAGCGAAAGCCACTGAAAATATTGTTAGTAATTTACTATTTTATTATATAATAAACATTTACAATTTTAGTAGAAATTATTAAAATAACTATAAATTTCCCACTTTTTAAGGGGATACTAGTCAACTAAAAAAAAAAAAAAATGAAGTTAAGAGGACGTCACATGAGGCCATGTCTTAAGCAAAATATTCTTTTTAAAATATTACTGAAACAATAATAAATGTAGGAATAGAAATAATACAGCGTTTAAAAGACGATTAAAACGAAAAAGTTTGTAATAACTAATGTTTTGTTAGAAATAGTTGTCAAAAAAACAACTATTAGATTGATTAATATGTTTTAGTGAACTAAGTTCTTTATTAGTTCCTATTATTTTACTAGTTATATTTTCCACAACAATTTTTAACTCTAGAACGCTCATCTTATTTTTACACATTTATTCCAAACAATTTGTTGAATCGACAAATATAGTATTATAAAATGAACATAAATATGTTAAGACTACTGTGTTTTTTTTCTTTTAGCTTTTAATTTTATTTATTTATCCATAAAGCAACTCTATAGAACAGAAATCGTACCTGAAGAGTACTTAATTGACCAAAAATGAAAAAAGTTCACATTTTCGAAATTGAGAAAAACACCCAAATAATTTACCAACAAATTATTTGAAATATCCTATATTTTAAACTATACATCTTATGGACAAACTATAAACAGCAAGTAATTTGTAGGTAAAAATTAATGTGTATTAGTCGATTTGACGATGTGTGTCTTCTTGCGCAACTGAAGGTCAACAACTAACTGATAACAATAAGACGTCGTATTTTATCATTAAATATAGCGTTCTAAGGTTAACAAAACATAATTAGATTTAACATCTCTCAAATGTTAATTATGTTATTGTTGTTGGTCTACTCAGGAATATACAATACTTGAAATACAACTAAAAAAATAACTATCCATAAAGTATTCTCAAACTGTATTAATTAATTAGTATTAACAGTAAGACAACATCTTAATTAAGATTTGCAAAAAATTACCTATACGTATAATTGCTTGTAAATAAAAAACGAAACCAGTCTATGATATGGATTTGAATAAACTGAATATTGTATAAGCTGGAATTTGTCTATAGCCTGCCTATTATATTTATAAGGATGGTCGTTTTTTTTTTTTATTATGGAGAAAATAAATAAGTGCACCCAGGTAAATTTGGAAAAAATTATAAAAAAATAACTTCAATAAGTCAAATGTTAATCTATTAAACTAAAACGTCCTGGAAAACAAAAAAATTATACATATATTTTATGTAAAGATGTTAAATATAATATGCTCAAAATATATAAGGAGAAGGCAAAGAAGTATATAAACAAAAAAATCCATTTATCAATCTTGGACAAGTTTCACTGTATTATGATTAATGTAGTGGCATACCTTGCAAATGAAGCAGTTAAGATCAAAATAAATCCCAAAGTACTAAAGTCAGTTGCTTTGAAGGTAAATAAAAATAACCCTCCAGATATAGAAAACACAATCAAAAACAGCGACACAGTCTAAAACATAATTTAAAAATAAAGTAATGTAGCTAGTTAAATTGTTTAATATTTGGTATTTTATAAATATTTACAAAATAAATTCACACTATAGCTCAAAACATATTAAATTAAAAATAACAACCAGGGGCATTTAAAACTACTATGAACATATTGGGAGGTATATTCTCAATTTTATTGTAAATAGTAATTAAACATATTGGTTTTGATTTCTAACTGCAATCAAATACATATGAAACTAAAATTCTATTCTATTACTAAATACCAATCAATGTTAAATAACTTTCAACTAATTATCGATCAAAAATCACTTTTGTTTTATTCAAACAACCCTTTTGATTCAATTAAGAATAGACAATAGAGAATAGAGGGTTTAAAATGAATTTAATACTCTTGTCTTGAGTTATTGGCACACATATAATTGCGGAGATAGATTCAGTGTTATCTATGAGCACTATTATACTGCACTTCTCACCCTACCCATAATATTCCAAGTCATTTTATAGCTGCATAGAAGAGTAAAACATATAGTCAGTGGTCAGAATCATGAATGATTTTTTGATGATTTTACTGAACAGCAATATAAAAATTACACTTAATTTTTTAATATTTCATTATAAAAGTAGTGAAAAATATAAAACAATCTTGGTCGTACATAATGAAATTGTTACTTAAGATTTTTTTAACAGTTTTATTATTTATTTTTAAATTAAATTATGAAGCAATAGTATACTTATTAAATGAAAAATATTTTATTATAAAATTTGAATAAAGATATTACTTACTGCTTTTTCCAGGCGTAAAATTAAAGCATTTATCAAAACAAATATAATAGCTGTTGATTTTGTCATTGTATAGCTAAATTAAAAAAAATTATTAGTAATAATTATTAAATAAGTCATTTATTTAATAAATATAAAATATTTACAGAGAAATGTTTATAAGTTCCAGGCCCCAATTAGACAAACCAACATCAATACCACTTGAAATTCCAGTAGGTCCAAATTTTGAAACATTAACCTCCCATGATATTTGTATACTTGGTGTACTAGTAGTCTTATGGTAAGCATACCGAAAAATTGTAGATAAAAGAAGTTTCATCAATAAATGACATGAAACAACAAGCAGCGGAAATTGGAACTTCTATACAACATAAAAAAAAGCAACAGTATATTTTTAATCAATATCAAATTAAGAATATTAATGAACTAATATTATTTAAATTGAAAAATTTTAATTAATTGTAAGTAACAGCTGTTCTTACCTGTAAAAACCATCTTTGGTAAAATGTAATGCCAAGTGAAAAAGAAAAATAGGGCAATATCAAAATACAAGAAAGTAATATAGTTTGTAAACGAAGCGTCATAATTAATGAGTTTTTGATAAACTAATTAAGCAGGTAATAATTTCTGAATTCTAAAATAAATGATGTGGCAAAAGTAGTATGTTAAAAAATGATTTCACCAAAATGCATTGTAAAATATTTTTTAAAGATAATCGTTTGCTAATAAAAAACGTTTTACATGTTTCAGTCATATTATTGATACAGGCAACTGACTACAATTTAAATGACTAACTAATTAAACGTATATTCAGTAAAACTAGGTATACTGAAGCTTTGAAATTCAGAATACCATTTAGGATCACTACACACAAATCACTATTACATGGTATAAGCAAACATACACAGTATATAGTAGTATAAACCGGAGTACCTAATCACCAACAGAAAGATATAAACAAAAATTCAGTGATAAGATAATATAAAAATTATGTTCTACATACAATTATACAAAATTAAAATATCTCTTAAAGCCTAAAACCTACATGATTGAAAATGAATCATTTTATTACATCATTAATCCATTGAAATGGAAATATTTAATCTTTATAAAATTACTTTTAAAAGCATAATTCCTCCGAATTACCTGTTTTGCCACGTAGCCTTATTTTCGGGGAGGGAAGAAGGCATGGAATGAGCTATGTGAAAAATAATGTTAATATACCTCTCTATAAAGTATAAATGTATGTTATCCATATGATCTGACAAAATAGGCAGTAAAACTTATAACTTAAAGCCTCGAATATAAGCGAAAAACGCTTTGTCACTGAGTAATGGATCTACATTGAATAATTCATGTAAACGTATAATAGTGGGTAATTAACAATATAGAAAAGTACCGGTGACTGGTGAGTAGATGTAAAAATATCTAGTATTAGTTTTAAATAGCTTATAAATCAAAAGATTTGGTTTTTATAAATAAGTTGTGTTTGTCAACACAATAATTATTATAAAAAGTGTTTGTTACACGTTGGCTACCATGACTCATGAGGATCATGGGTATCTCTCACATGGACTACACAGCACACTAGCAGGCCCCGGACACTTCTGTGATATTAACGAAACGCCCCGCCATGTTTTCTGAGGACAAATACTATCATTGTTTATATGAAAAAATACATATACCTATATGCCTATTTACCCATATGTATACCTCTATATATATAAATTCACTGATTAGTAATTTGTCCTCCGAGAATATAGCCGACTAATTTCGTGGACGGCATAATATGCTACTCGTGTAATTTGTTATCAGTGTCCATTCTGATTGTTTTATTCTGTGATACTAGCATGGCTGAAATATACAGTTTATTGCACATCGACTCGAGTAGTTATCTTCAAAAATAAAATGACAGCGTAACGGGATATCAATTTACTACTATACATTTTACCGTGTACTTTTATACTTGGTTTGATTGGCTGCCCGTTACGCTGTCATATTTGGTTTTATCATCGAATATTTAATGAAGGGGATTAAATGTGCAGGTGTCTAATATTGCGCTATTCTTAAGGTACCAGCATACCGCATGAATCACTGGCGACTTTTAGGTACACAGTGTAATAAAAGTTAAAACTATGTTTTTTTATTCGAAATCTCTTGGTACTCTAACAAGGTTCATGTGTACATAGTACATAAAATGTTTTTTAAAAGTAAATTTGGTAGCCGACGTGTTAATAAAACTGTCAACCAGGAAATATTAGGCTTTTGGGTACATAATACCTAAGCTTGGTATAAATATCAATAAAAGTAAAAAATAAACTATAAAAGGCAACAGTCCTTTATTGAAAGCTATCAGTTTCAATTTTTGATATCAATCCGTTAACAAGTTTTATTAAGAATGCACAGCATAGTATTAATCGTTGTCAAGTGTGAAGTTACTTCATATCCAGTACAGTATCGAGACTTTAAGGGGGAGAAGGACGATTTCTCTATGTCATTAAATAACTAATTACTGTTAATATTGATCATGAATTACTCGAAATGTTTTCTTACTAAAAATATACAAATAACCTTCTCCTAAAATTCTTAGGTTAGATCCCACAGTGCATACACTATTTAATTTTTTTTATTTACATGCCTCTGCTTTTTTTTATTCTATCTTTCAAAAAAACTGTAATTTTTACATCACATTAAGCGATATTTTAACACACTGGAACCAAGGGAACATATTTTACTATGACACTCCATACTAAAAAAGAATCTACAAAAAATGACTTAAAACTCACCTTCATTTAATAAAGCCGGTTTAGCATGGTTTTTGTAAAATACTCTCGTCAAATATCATGATGTTATCTAAATCTCCATTAACGACAGCTTGTTCTATGGCATTTCTCCTTTCATAAATTGTACTCATTATATTCATAAGTCCTTGATTCACAATTGAAAATTCATCGTTACACGTTATCTGGTTTACAATCATTTTCATTTTTTCCATTATAGATGTTCTTTCGTTTTCTATATTAGTCAGCTCCTGCTGATAATCTAAAACTTGAGCATCTTGTAACATCTAAAAAAATTTTTTTCCTTAGTTATTGAAATAAATAAATAATTATAGTATAAAAAGCAAAAAGAAAAAATTAATGAGCTTAAGTTGTAGTACCTTAATTATAAAATAAAATTAGTATTTTTTATTAAGAAATATAAGTAATTAAAAAAAGTAAAAATTGCAATTAAAATGGTAACTACGGCATTCCATACACTAATAAAACAAAATGTTTTAATACAAATGTAATTTAGGTGATATTGTTAAGTGTGAAACAATTATAAGTATAATATACCTAATACAAGTAATAACTGTACATGAAAATCAACGACAAATAAAATAATGAATAATACAATTGTATTGTTGTACTATATATTGAGCGTACTATTCTTGACTACTAAATGTTTATACTGTAAACATAATTATTAAAAATTGGTTATCATTCAGTAATTAATTTCAATGTATTATTTTCGTTTTAAATAGCAAATTATAAATTTTATGGGTTATCACTTGAGTCGAATCATTGGTAAAAATAAATTGCTGATTATTTGTCAATTATAAATGAGGAAATAGTGGACAAATTATATGCAAATTTAGGACCATTTACATGAACAAATATCTAAGCATTAAATCTCATCAAATTTATAGTTCGTTAATTTTTATATTTAGTGTAAACATATAACACTGTTATATATTATTAGCTGCCAGCGTTAAAAATAGATATCTACTAAAACAAATTTGAATAATACTATACAAAAAATATAAATATACATGACACACACCCATATGTGATCACAGTAGGAAGGTGTGTTTACATTGTAAAAGGTGCAAAAATGCACATTCGTGGTAACTCAGCTCTTCGGGACGCGAGGCGTCAGAGTTAAAATCCCATCTGAGCCAAATTTGAAGGATAGAGTTGAACTTTTTTAATTTGGTTCATTAAAGTAATGATTAAAATTTCAAATCATATTTGGTAATATCAATATTTTAGAGGGGTTATTTTAAGTTGAGGACTAAGCCTACCCAATCCCTCTTAGTTCACTAATAATAATTGCGGTAAATTAATAGTGCCTATAGCCATAAGCAAATCCTCTTCTGGTTACAAATTATTAATATTTTAATTATCAAACACCAAGATTGTATGAATTCAATCCTCTTAATATTCATCTAACAATCTATGTGTTTTTACTAAATAAATGATAATAAAAAACTATTTCCGTTAAACCATAAATAATATCTTTAACTATAATTACCTCATGATTAAACTCCAGTATTGGTATTTGGTCATTTGTTTCAATTATTTGTTGTGCAGTATTTATGTCAAAACTTGATTTTATTTTGTCTTCAAAGTTTTCAATTTTTTTTTCTATATTATCAGATTCCAATGCCATAATTTTAGAATTCATCAACGCTTTATTATTTTTCAATTCCTCATTTATAAGAACAGTAGACTTTTCATTATTTTGATCACTGAATAAAGCTTCTAAATCTCCATCAAATACTACATCAGAAACTTCTAAAGAATCATTATTTGGTTTGTTCATATTTTCAGTCAGTTCAATAGCATGATTTTTCTTTGAAGTTTCCTTTAATGAACTTTTTATTGTAACTAAATCTTTTTTAGTTAAATGATGAAGACGGCTAGATGAATTCAATGTTTTAACAACATTTAAAATATCTTCATAGTTAGTATTGGGCATAATTAGTTGTTCAGCTAGAAAATCTTTTTCATTTTGAGCTAACGTCAATCGTTTAGGTTCTAAATCATGACCAACATGTGTTTTAATATAAAGTACATTGACTTCATTTCCTTTAACCATTACATCCATTCTGGCTGGACAATGGGAACCAATTTTATTTGTGCCTAATGACTTTAATTTCCTTATATTTTTCCCTTTTGGTTTGTATTTTCCATCACGATGACATTTAAAAAATAAATGCTTTGATCCAGAAACACCAACATAAGTTGTACGAGCTTTAACAAATCTAAGAAATAAATAATTTGTTGTTTATTTATTGCGTTATTCAATAAAAAAAAATCATATACAAACCGACTGATATCCTGTTCTTCAATTTCATACTTCCATGCAAAAAAATCTTCCAAATTATCAAACTTTAACTTTTCACTAACAATTTGTGTCTGATGACATAATACATAATGTGTAGACATGTTACTCTTAGAGCAATGATGATTGCAAAAAACACAAGACATATTTAAAGGATTATAATTTCCACTTTGATGAACATTTTTAATGTGTCTAGTAAGCATAAATTTTAATTGTGAACTATAACCACACTCAGAACACGAATACATAGAAATAGTAACTTTATGTTTAACATTCATATGTCTATTCAATGACTGTTTATAAGCAAAAGATTTGCTACATTGTGAGCAGACAAATTTGTTGAAGTTTGAGTGTTTAGCGGTTATATGGTCATTTAAATTATTTTTTTTAGAAAAAGTTTTCTTGCACACATTACATTCGAACTTTTGTATGTGTTTAGAAGACATTTTAATTTATTATAAGACCGAAATTATTTTTTATAAAATAAAAATTAAATTTTAGAATTTATTTTAATGTTTTCTTTATAATAGGAGTTAATTTTAAACAAAATAAAAATATTATACTATAATTATAACTTACGTTATAAGCATAATCGTATGTCATAAAAATAAATAATAGTATAAGCAGAATTAAATAAAAAAACTCGTTACATAACACAAATTTGAAAACTGAAAATGCAAAATGAACTAAAATCTGAATACTGATTATTATTAATTTCTACATAATAATCAGTAATTTTCATGAATCCATAAGCTTGGTCTTATCTAGTAACAATTCTTATCTTTTAATCATATTGTATATAAACTCTCTAGTTTGTAGAAAAGTCATTGGTAGACATAGATATATATAATAATTATTATATATATCTATGTTGATTACTGAATGAATAGTGATAAGGTGAAGCATTTTTTGTTCCTCCTAAAAATTTGGTAATAATGAGTAATGACGACGATATATTTGATACTTAAATAATTGAACCTTGTTAGATAAATAATAAAATGTATTCTTATACATAAAGTATAGAAAATAATACACTTATATATAAATCATTGTTCTGAACAAAAAATTTGAATCAATCTTAACTAAATAATTTTTCTTTGCAACTGATCCAATTTATAGCTGTGTATACTTGTATTTTGTTATTCAATTATTCTATTAATTTAGATAAGTTGGATAGGAGTTTTTATTATACATTTGGTAAGTATTTTCTTGTTTTATTTTTGAGTTAGGTTTATATAATTTTAACGACGACTTTATAACTGAAGTAAGTAAGTGTCCAAATAACAAGTTAAACACTCGATGGAACAATAAACAAATCGTGACTCTTGTTAGTTCAACAAAATACAAATGTCTAAAAAGAGTCATACAGGGTTGATTTGACAATACATATTATTTGTAGTCTGTACTAAAATGTATATTCCATAATTTAAAAATATGATTTTAGATGACAACATTCGTGTTTATTACTGAACGAATCCTTTTTTTCTGCCCAATATGAACGATTCTACACATTCATTATCATCATCAGATTCTGCTTCATCTGCTAGTTCAGCATCACTATCAGATAATTATTTAACAATATCTGAAGTAAGGAAGTTTTCAAATATTTATCAATGTGTTATTTATGTATACTCTTGTTAATCTAGAATGATTTAAATGAAAATATATTAGAAAAAGAAATTGAAAAATGCAATCAAATGATCAGAGTTTCTAAAGAATGTAGTGAAAATAGAGTGAGGCTTGTGAGAAGATTAGTGGAATTAAGATTCAAATTAGTGATGACAACTGAAAAAAAAGCCATAGAGAATCAAGATCTTCTATGCGAAACAAAAGTAGTATTAGGCCATCATTTATCATTCATTTGGAAACCTAGTTGGTTAGAAAACACGTTCTGTGATGTATGTACAAAGACTATTTGGATATATGTGCACCAATTTTATGAATGTACAGGTATAGTATGAAAATTACTATTTAGTAATATAAAATTTGCTGAGGCATGCCCGGCAGGTAGGCCTGATAAAAAAAACTGATTATTTTAAATCTTATTGTTTATGTGCCTACCCAATATTTAAATGCCGGACATGCCCTTGGGAATTATAATAATATTATTTACTATAGTTGCTATAGTATATAATTAATTTTATTTTTAGATTGTGGATATTATTGTCATGTTTTTTGTGTGGATAAAATCAAAAGAGTATGCTCTGCTGTAGTAGCGAGTGAAAATTCTATGATTATTAATGTATGCCCATACAAAGGATTATTGTTTCAAGATTATAAATGTGCTGAATGCCAAACTTATATTCGTATTCGAAATATAAAAGTATCTCCGGGTAGCTTACAATAACATAGTACACTATTGTAATAACAATTATAGTGCAAGTTTAATATTTTGATTTTTTATTGTATTTAGAAGATAGAGTATCCCTTGAAGCCCGTTTGTGTGACTATGATGGCAAGTACTATTGTCCCTTACATCACTGGAATAATACTGCTTTAATACCAGCCCGTGTAATTTGTAACTGGCAATTTGAACAGCAAAGAGTGAGCCAAGCATCATTTCAGTTGTTGAAATATAGATATGAAGCAAGAATTTATGACTTGGAACTACAAAATCCAAAACTTTTCATGTATCTTGAATCACTAACTCAAGTCAAAGTAAGCAAAGAACATAAAGTTATTTTTAATTTTTACAAATGATACAGTTTTTGTAAAGAAGTATTAAAATATAATGTAAATAATGTCACCTAAGAATCTACGATAATGTATTAGGTCATGATAAAAATTAAATTATTAACTTCTTTGGCCCTTGCACAGTGGGCAGAAATCACATATAAAGAAACGAAAAGTATTTTTCTCAAAATATTATTTTATTTATACATTTTAGTTAGACATAAGTCTCAGCATTTATTTTTTAAAAAAAATAGAAGTTTTGTTTGCATACTTTATCTAAAGAATAATGTGTAGATAAGTCAATACATTCCATAATATAGAATAGGTATAATTAAAATCAGCGCATAAATTAATTTATACAAATTAATACTGAGATTTTTCTTTTAGGAAATGTCTCTAGGGACTTGAGTAATGGTTTAAAAATATAAAATTAGGCAAGTATTTATTAGATAATAAGTAATTCATATAAATTACTATTTAAAGTGATAGAATATCTCATTTTGAACATTTACACTAAAGAACTCCAAGAAGTTACAAAAGCTATAGTGTTTAAATGTTAAAAGAAAAACTAAGTGTAAAATACTAAATATATGTACTTTTTTTTTTTTTTTTTGTATGCCGTAGTATTGACTGGGAGGGAGAGGCCCTATTAGGGCCTAGTTCGGTCGCCGAGTGAGTGCAAGGCATTTCTGCCATGCATAGCAAGGGATGGCAGTCTCATCTCCTAGTCAGGTTGCCCCGACTAGTGAGCAAGACCACCTGTGGCCGGATTCAAACCGGCGACGATGCACGGCGGCACCACTGCCTTAATTTATTCAGCCACTACGTCCACAATATATGTACTTAAGTATGGGTTACGACCATTAACCCAATGTTAATAATTTTTTTTCTTAAATTTTTTGGAAGAAATATTTTTTATTGTTATTTATTAGACATAAAGTTGACTTGGGAGACAAGGTCTCATAAACAACAAAAAAAGAATAATATTTCCAAACATGTTAAAATCTAAAAATTATCGACATTGAGTTAATGTTCGCAACTCATAGATAAGTAAATATATAGTACTTAATTTTTTTTTTACATTTTAAAATAATAGATTTGGAACCTTTTGGAATACTTAAACATAAATGTTCAAAATAAAATATTTATATCACTTCAAATAATAATTTGACACAGACTTATGCTTAATTAAAATTAGGGCTCCCTATTCACGTAAATCATGGCTCACGGATTCACGTGAAATTAATCACGAGTTTAAAAGACCCGTGATTGGAAATTGTCCGTGAATTTATAATTTTATTCACGTGATTTTATGTGAATAATATTAATGTACGTGATCACGTGAATTTCGTACAACGAATTCACATGAATTAAACATACGGGTTTTATATTACTTTTATTCACGTGATCACGGAACCGTGATCACGTATGTATTACTTCACGTACGAAACCGAGACCCCTAATTAAAATATATGGTTAAAAAAGTATTTTGAGAAAATATACTTTTGGCCACTTTATATGTGGTTTCTGGCCACTGTACCTTGGTTTAATACTATAGTTAGTCAATATATACTCAATGGTTATACTCTAATTATATACTATTATTAATTTTAATATTTGTGTTATTATTATAATTTATTTTTAATGCCTCGCTAGTTGGGTTGAATAAATATAACTCCTTAAGTATTTTTAAATATGAATATTTAATAACTTACGTTATTTCATTACAATCGGTTCAAGATACACAGCATCTACTAAGGTTGTGATTTAAATTTGAGTTATAAAATAGTTAAAATATTCAAATCATACAATTATTCAAAAAAATTTAACTCAAACTCAATAGATATTTTAGTGACTATAAATAAAGTTAGTAAAATATATTTATACATTCAATTTAAACGAAAATAATGTTTATAAATAGTGTAAAAAAAAACTGTTTGAAAATATTTATCCCATACGACTAAATATTAAAAAAAAATCAGGCGACCAGTGATAAATGATAAATAGTATGTATAAAAGTAACTTTATTTATACATTTAAACTTAATGCATATTAAAATTAACTTTTTTCAGAATATTAAAGAGAATTTAGTTAAAATGAAAAAATACTTAGTTTCATGCAAATATTGGAATGCTTGTTTGAAAAGCTTACCTTCTCGATGCCGTGAATTGTTGTACAAATGTAAATTATACAGTATGAAAGATATGATTGAGATAAACTCAGGAATATTTTTAGAAGACTTAAGCGAATTAAAAGCCAAATGTGAGAAACATATTCGAAGTGATTGTGAAGTTAGTAAATATTCAAAATATTTTTAGGTATATTAATTAAATAAACTATAAGATTATTAATAATTACTATAAATTTAAATAGATTTGTAAAAATCAAGGATATATTTGTGAACTTTGCAATAGCGATAACATTCTATTTCCTTTTGATGAAGAGGCTCAAAATTGCAATAAATGCCAAAATATTTATCATAATCATTGCTGGTGCAAAAGAGATTTTTGTCCGAAGTGCAAAAGAATTGAAGAACGATTAAAAACTCAAGATATTCATACTGAAATTAGTTGAAAAATATTCGTTAAATTATTTTATCATAATTGATTTTTACATTAATATTAATAAATTTATCTTACGGTTGGGTTAACACTTAAAATTTTAAAACTGCATAACTCTTGGAAAATCATTAAAAATATTTCTCCTGAGTATTTAAAATGTGTTTTTATTCAACAACCAGAGTTGCTGTGATAATAAAATAATTTTTTTTTTTTTTATAATTAGGTTGAGAACCTATGACAACAAATTTAATGATTTTTATACATTCTCTTTTTACAAAACTATTCTGTTGGTTTAAATCTCATAATATACCAACTACAACAAAATCAACAATTGAGTTCAAAGCTGTACTCAGCTTTAGCGGACCCTGGGAATACTAAATCATCCGGGCCCCTTTTATTTTATTTTTTTTTTTGTAGGCCCAGGCTCCTTAAAAATAGGTGTAGGCCGGGCCCCGGTCATATGACCTAAAAAAAACCGGTCTGAATACGGCCCTGATTGAGTTTATATATTAAAAACGAGAACTTTGTTAATAATAAAATAGGACACAAATATAATATAAAACTATTGAGATTTGAGGAAATATTTTCAGGAAACGCGAGTTCAATTTTAGAATTTTCAACTTGAGCTAAACAGCTTCGATTTCCAATACTGTTTTAGCAATTACATGTTTGTTTTTGTGGGTATATTTAAGAATCTTCGATTGAATTGAAAAATGAATGCAACTCGTGTTGGATTTCAAAGCATAAGAAGCTCTTGGTGTGTTACATCTTTAATGACTAATGTTTATTCACCATCATAAGCGCATATCCCAAATTTGTTCAGCACCCCCAAAAATATGTTCTATTTTTTTTTTCTACATATTGGCTTAACACAAAAGATTTATGGTGAGAAGATACTGACTTTTGGTTTAGATGAATCTGTCGTAGCTTCTAAGTTCTTACAATCACGTTCAGTATATTCTATTGTCAGTCGACTCAAGCATCGAGATATAGGTACACTAGGTCACGTGGTTGTTAATGAAGAGTCAAAAATTATTTTAAATTTATCGAAAAATTGCCTATACTTTACTCCTTAGAAATGGGTGGTGGAGCCTTAAATTTAAGATGTATTTTACCGTATTTCATCATCTATCATCCCTTAGATACTATATATCAACCTATGGTACAAGTGCACCGATTTCGTTGTTTTTTATGGGATAGGTATCGTAGCTATTATAACTTTCAAATGGCCCTTATTCTGACTCCCATATGATGGCGCATCAAAGACGACACAACATACACACTTTCATAATTATAATATGTAAGTATAAATTATAATTGGGAGTTTAGATCATTGTTTCAGGATCTAAAATGTTAAAATTGAACATAAATATAAGAAAATTTGACTGGGTTTACTTTAAATCAACACAAAATTATAGTCTATAGACAGTATAGGTACTCGTAGTTGTTTAAAATATTGATTGTGTTTAGCAACCATTCCTAGTATATTTTAATAAATATTTAAAAGAAGTATAGCAGATAAATTCCTAAACTCGAGAAAAATTATGCTACCGTGCGGAACACAAGAAAAACTTTTACCACAGTTCAACAAAAAATGGAAACCTGGAAAGCTGTGTAATCGAACAAATATTTTGCATCTTCATCAACTTACTCCTATTTCTACACTCCGACATTCAGTTCCTGTACCAAAATACCGACCTATTGCAGATGCTCTTCCAAATTGGGGAATTAGAGAGTTATATGAAAAAATACCTCAGTATCACGGAAATGGTCCTAAGGGTCCAATACATTTTCACCGTGGTTGTTTGGGTCAATACCCATGGCAAACAAAACAAAAAGTAGATTTTTTTCTTAATGATCCGTATGGAAATGAAGTATCTTACACGTACAATCCACTGCACGACCCACATTTGGAACGATGGATTAATATGGCAAATAATAGAACATTATTATACAAAAAAGGTCTTATAACTTCTGATTTGGAAGTTATTTGTAGTTTAAAAGAGTACAACGAGTTCAGAAGATTTCTATGGCGTATTCATAAAGACTCCGTTAATCGAAAGATTAAAATGAAGGAAAAACAAAATCAGGAACAAAAGCAAATCATTTATGCTAATCTAAACCACGAAAAAGATATTGCGAAAAAAGTTGCTAAATTAAAAGTTCTATTAGCAAGCAAGAATTCAAATGAAAATGTAATAAACTATATATTAACATTTAATAATCTAATCAATTACGCCACATTACACATTAGGTACACCTAAATAATGATTATAACAAAAAATATATTGCTTTCACATGAAAAAAAAGTAATTTTATGTCCTCTCATTCTCATCATCTTAACGCGTAAGTAGGGAAAGCGCTAGGTTAGGGCAATTACCCCACCTTTATGTTATTAAATAAAAACCCTTAAATGCTACAAATTTAAACAAATAAATGTATTTTTAATAATTTTGCTCCGGATATCTGACGCATACAAAATTAAGAAATAAAAATATAATTTTTTTCTTGGATAATAATTAGTTTCTTGAAACTTTTCTAATGTACCTTTTTAATGGTTTTAGGTATCGTCGACGTCAAATGATAGTAAAAAGAAAAACATTAAAACAAATCAAGATAATAAAAAATCCGGTATCAAAAGGAACACGTTTAAAAAAATTGAGACCTACACACGTTATGGAAAAAATAAAAGTGGCTTGATAGATCCTACTAAATATGAGGGAACATTTATAAAAGGATCTCCAAATAATTATTTTGTGTTAGATTTTTTTTCATACTTATTTGAAAAAAGCAATTCTCAAATTTCACCTAAGTAATACCATCAAGTTCACAATAACGATAGAGAATGTTGACTTTTTTGAAATACATAATGTTTTTCTTGATAACTGACTAGTTATTTTAGTTTTTAAGTTTTATATTGTAAAGTTCTATCGAGTTGTAAATCAGTCTTTTAGGATGTCATATGTTACAAGCCAGGTGGATTTTTGATTAAAGAAGGATGTATTATTTTACTTTGCCCACTGCATAATAAATCATGTAAAATGTTTAAAAAATCATCTTGTAAACTTAACGGGCCTTAAAGGCCCAGCATTGCTATCATGAGATGGTTTCTAGACGAATTCGCTATCAGGGACGAGTGGTCAAGCCGTCATCAATTAAAATAAAAAATGTAATTATACTTTATTATTATTTAAAATAACTTAAACTAATAGCGCGTATTTCCCTTAATTATGCAGATTGGAGGGGTAATTAATAACCCTCCTATGGAAAAGAAACACTAAATTTTAACGTTACCACAAAACTACCGCACTTGGTGATGTAAATCACTTAATTAAGAGTCAAATTTAACTTAAAAATAAATATTATAACGTTATAATAATATTATAAACATTATAATATTGACTGAAATTGGATTTTCTTATTAATAGATCTAAAAAACTATAAATTTATAAGGTGCCTCTGGGCTTTGCCCCGGTTTTAATTTTTTAAGAGATTGAAGATTAGGTATTTAAATCAACATATATTATGATTTATAAATGCAATTATTATAATTAAAACGGTCGTAAAAAATGGTCCAAACTATAATATAATACCTTGTTCATTATTTTTTAACAATATTTATTAAATTATGGAAGTGGCTACACTGAAACAACAAAATGTGCGCGGTAGTTTTGGTATGAGAAATAAGTCGCTTAATACTTATGCAGTTCTCAGTTCTCGGGATCATCATTACGCGTGTGGTCCGTGATTCAATTCGTTAAAAATCATTTTTCCGTTGTAATTTACGACAAGATTTATTGAGCATGTCTTTCGTGGAAATGTTCAAAACTCTGAAGTACATTTTTAATAATTATAATTAGTTTACCAAATTATTTTACTTTATTCTGTTAGAAGTACAAGAATCCATCCTGGAGTCCGGACCAGTTATTAAAAGGTTGGTTTATCTTAAATTTACAATTTTAAGTTTTAAACATAACAGAGCGGTCGATTTAAGTCGATTTTTAAAATGATTTTATTTATGGACGTCTTAACGTACAATGTTCATCAACTAAATTCACCTCTGAAACTAGCAATAAAAAAAACATTTATTTTTAATCTTCACAACTTAAAAATTTGTTTATAACTCTATTATTTTATAAAGGCATTAAAAATTGAAATTTTATTAATTAACTTGAATTTTCTCACTTTATTTTAAAAAATTGCCTTTTTATCGTTTAAACTAAAAGTTAAGGTAATTTTTTGAATGATTTTAAGTTATAGAAAAATCTGTTTACAGCAAAAAAAGTACAATGAATAGTAATTTAATAAAAGAAAAAAAGGATTAGGTATAATTAATTTTGTTTTTTCACTTATAAACAATGATTATTCTAGTATATTGCGTATCTTGTAATATTATGCCTTAACAAGTTAAACCTATTTAATATTTATTAGTATGGAAAATTAATCTTTAATGCTATTTAATACAAATTACCTAGTAAATAAGAGGGTCATTTTTAATTCGAGTCCTGATATGACGATTATTACCTTGGTTACGTGTTAATATTGATTGTTATTACGTTGGCACTATAGATAAAGCTATCACAAATCTAATAAGTAATAACAATAAAAGCCAGTACAGTGGAATCGGAACTCAATGGAGTTGGAGTATATTAGGGCGGATAGGTCACAGATCTAAATTAATTAGTATAACTGAAATTGGTAAAATCATTTTAAATAAATGCTTCGATGCGAATTTGTAATGTAATAAATACAAATACCGATAAAAGAATTGTACCTAATAACGATAATGTTCTTAAAAATGTATTTTTACTATTGGAGTGGGTGCGATTAGACTTAGTTGCTTCCATTTGTTTCCATAGTTACCCATATATTATATTCGCTCACACTTAGTTACTTAGAAATTGGCTAGGTACGGTCAAAGTGTAGTTATCCGCTTTTTTTGATTTTTCCTTTAAAAAAAAAGTTTAACATCAGATTTTTGAGAAATTGTATACGTTTTATTCCTATTCTAGATATACCATTGCTCTATTTTTCAACCCTTAAACCATAGGCGGCGACAGGGGGTGCTTAGCCCCCCTCCAAAAAAAATTATTAAAAGCCCCCCATCCAAGTTATTTGATCACTCATTAAAGTAATTTGTTATAAAATATTTACTTTAAAAATAATATTAACATATTGTATTATAATAATGCTAACTCCGCCTCCTCCCAAAAAAAAAATTAATCAAATCTTCGCCTGCCTAAAACCCTAAAACTTCCCCTAAAAAATCAAAATAAAGGAAAAAGGTTGTGATATTTTTTGAATTGTTGGCGTTTATGGATAGTACGCTACATATCTAAATAATATTCCATACCAATTTGAAAATAATTTAACTATTTTTAAAAAAGTAAAGGTGTTCCGTAGTTTTAAGTTAAAAATATGTACATTTGTTGGGTGTTTTTCTCGTTGTTTAAGAGGAAGGAGCGAACTTTTGAAATGTTTGCTCAATTATTAACTTTTTAGGTACGATTTCTAATCAAAAAGTTGCTATAAGAAAAAATCAGGTTAGCGGTTTAGATGATATCGTGGGTTCAGACACAAAAAAAAATATAATAAATAAAAACAAATCATTATTAAAACATACCTTTTTAGTTAAACATCAAAGCTAAAAAACAATTATTTGTTTAATGTAATATAAAATACATAGTATTACCTATACCTAAACTGTGTACCTAATGATACATAAAATTCATACTTTTTTGAAATATTGTATTTTTCTGCAGTATTTTATTATAATTTCTTAGCTAACTTTGTGTCTATATTATTTACATTTACAATTATATTATGATCCAGCAATTTATTTAGATTATTTTATTTTCGTACACTTTTTAGTACAGGTTTTACAGGTTAATATTCTAATCTACATAATAATATCTCCCAAATTCTTATTTTGCCATCAGCCTAAAATTTTCAAATGTTAACCTATTATATTTAGTTTTTTTTGCTAACACAAAGATATAATCAGTTTATGAAGAGGGTATTTTTACACGAATTATTAGAAAATTATGATTATATTGCACCAGTATTGCCGAGCTGTAAAACATAGACAACTTTAACAATTTATTAATTTTTAAATTTTAATAAATAAAACATGGGTCACTAAATTATGTCAAAAGTCATTGCTAAATGTATATTGATCAATGAGTATTCCTTTAATGAACATTTGTTTAACTATTGTTCTTCATAAAACTCGGCATATGTCTACTAATGTACCCATTAGAAATTTTAGAATTATTAAAAGCAATTGGCTGCGTGATAAGCTACAGTTTGCTTACATTATTACTTACTATAACGATATCGGATTTGATTACCGTACACTTAAAAAAAAAACGACGCTACGCATCCTTAACAAGCTCTGTATTTTTAGAAAAGAAGGGGACGACTGGCGTACCGCGTAAAAAATTTAAATTCTTTAGTGCTTAAATACGTTATTATTTATATGATCATACAAATAAACAAAGAAATGTGTTGGTATTTTTAAAAAATATTAATAATAATCAAATAATTCAATAACTACCTGAAATTAGGGCTGACGAGTTTTCCGGTATAGCGGTAATTGCTAAAATACCGATCGAATGGTACACCGTACACACCATGACACCGTATAAATTATAATGTCGTAATACCGTGACACCGTATAATACCGTACAACACCGTGGCTTTGGTATTTCGGTACACCGTTTCAACTTTCAAACCTATTGAAACATAACAAATTTCAATTTTTTAAATATACCAACTTATTATTTAAGGGTAAATTTCTATATAATTGTGTTTATTTGATCTTTGCGATTAGCTCGTATTCCAAGGACCAAGTGAGTAGTATTAAGCGATATTAGTGTTAAATTTGAAAAGCATTTATTGTATTGTGTAAATAAATAAGTGTACCTTTTAAGAAGACTTAACCAGTTCAGATTACGTTTTACACAAACTATTTTAGATGTATAATAGGTACTTTGCCTATTGTACCACTTACAGCTATTATCTATTATTCTGGAATCTAGATGAATCGTACATTTAGCTTTAAATCTTGATATTGTTAATTATATAACGACATATTTATCGACTGTTATCTATATTCAATATACCAAATTACCGTGATGTATTTATACTGGCTAATTTTATAATGCAAAATGCTACTAGAATTTTTAAAAATGATTTTCTTGTATCGCTTAGGTATTATTATGATAACTTACAATAAATAATAAATAAAAACTATAATCGAACGTGCGGCCGATATGCGTGTGTACGTTGTTATGTATGTGTATATGGCTGTATACACTGGAGGCGAAAATCATTATGTGCACATGTTTATTATTTTTATATTTTCCCCTCCGAAATCCGCCCCGAGGTGTACGGTTTTATTTAATGTTTTTGTGCGCGTTTGATGTGCCGTGACATGAGGTCGTATGTGGCCTGAGGCGGCAATCGTGCTGGTGCCTCGGGTATGCCGCACTCCGGTACTCTTCCCTCCCCTCGTCCATTTCCTCTGGCAGGGATGGACGGTCCTCTCCAGAGCACGCGGGCAGCTCCATCTCCATACGGCATCGTTGCTCGTGCTGTACGCCCGGAGTGGTCACGGCCGGCGTATATCGTTTCCCACGTGTTTTTTTTATATTATTATTATTATTATATAGGTACCCAGGCAGTATTGTTCCCACGAGCCCTCTCCTCATTGCGATCATCCGACATAAGTCACAAAAGTACCATAATCACGGTTGTATACGTTCACACCCTTTTCATCCTATATCCTATTACGACTTCTCCGTTGTGATCATACTCGAATTTATATCGCGTCTATTAGATATTTAACACCGTAATAAATATAAAATATGATACTACTATAATAACTGTACGCAAATAGTTGTTTACTAAGACTGGAAAGTTAAGCAACTCGGATTCACGATAGCTTGAATTATCAAAATTAAATTAGCACGACTTAAATACATTAATAAGGCGTGTAAGCCGTTAATACGCACATAGGAGATTAGGCAAAACATAAACGCAAATTAATAATTTATTATAATGATAAATTGACGTAAATATTCTAGTTAGGCAGTATAAGAATATGAGAGCAATACAATATAACATTATGACAGTGAAAACCAATAAGAATAATATTCTTTATTCAATTATCTCATCATATTATGATGAGATAATTGATAGACGAATATAATCCGTGTTGGTGAGCGAAACCATTATTTCGATCATTCACCCCTAAAGTTTTATAGTAGAATTGTATAAAAGAAAAATTCGATTTTTTCTCCATTACACATAACATTGGTTTACATTTTTCAAGTTTTTTTTATTTCACTACCAATGTACATTGGTACAATGATAACTATTGGCAATATATACAGCGCAGCTCATCTATCATATATCTATGCGGTAATTTAAGAGTTCAAACTAGAGAAGGAAATATAATTATAAATTAAAAAGCGAGAAAAATAAAGACTACAACGAATAACAAAAAATAAATAGTAAAAGAGGTAGTAAGTGGTTGTTATCAATGGAGACATGGAATAAATTGAGTTAATATGGTGACAGACAGAGAGGTTTATAAATGAGTGAGAGATGATTAAGGACCCTAATTTTAGGCGGTCGACCTTATTTGAGTTCCAATAAGGTGAAGAAATATATCCGTAAGACAAGATACCTGTAGAAACTTTAAATATTAGATATATAATCACTTGTAGATATTGTAGGCATATACTAAATCTGCAAGTAATTACATTTTTGTTAAATGCTGAGATACTGTGGTTAGTAAGAGCGTAGATTTGTATTACACCACCACTTATAGCTGCACGGGAAAAAATACATAGTTGGTCGAACTAAATATTTAGTTGTTTTATCTAAAAATTTAGTTGGTCCAGCTTTTTATTTAGTTATTCCAACTAAACATTTTTTTCCCTATATTAACATTTAACCATAATTTTAGTTGGACTAATTATGTATTTTTTCTGTGTATCCCCCGAAAGATTCGCATCGAAGCATGTTTATCTTTTGATTGTTCATGTCTTAAACTTCAAGTCCGTATACTGAAAATTCTTCAAATTCTAAATTTTAATGACTTTTCAATTTTATAAAATGTCGATTACCTATATTAATCTTACCTAGGTTAATATATTCCACAGCTGATGATTTTTATTTAAGATATTTTAAAGATACTTATTAATTAATTCTAAACTAAACATAACTTATCTTGAATATTTAGCTCTAATTTACAATTCTAAAATCCCCACAATATGGGGTTTTGATTAGCTTGGCAATATAAATAGGCTTCATCCAGTTGCTACTTGGATAAATATATAGTATAGCTTATAAGACACTAATGTTGAAAGATTGACCATAGGATTTTATACTATTCAGAAAAGTTCTGTCGTTTTTCGGTCTGCATCTTAAGCACAACTTAGTCCGAATTCTTGCTTTCCGTCGTATCTAAACTCTTTTTCTTTCTGTATATTTCATAATAACGAAATTTTATAGGTATGGCAAAAGTCATATACTCTTCTGTTGCTCAACAGTCAGTATTATCAAATAATAGGTCAATCTTTTTAAAACAAATATCATCTAATTTGTGTTCTGACACCTAGATCCTTCTTAATACTCGTTTCCCCCCGTTATTTGTCTCCTTCTAATTTACACTTGATTTAAAATTTAAAAATTAACACGAGTTTGAGTTAAATCTATGTAATTGTTAGTTATAATGTTGTTATAATACAGTCTGTCAAAAAAAATTCCCATCTTATAGGGGATACTGTTAGATGGATTTTAGGTTTCGAACCATTTCTTGTTATAAACACATCAATAAAACGATCCGTAAAAACTATGACTAGATTCAGAGGCGTACTTACGGAGGGTTTTTGGGTTCAAATCCCCCCCCCCTTAGAGCCAAAAAAAAATTGTGAATAAGTAATATATCATAGGTATTTATTGTATAATTGTTAAAATGTTATTGTCTGAAGTAAATAAAGATAATAAATAATTATATTTGAATTATTAAGTGTTTAGTGTTTTGTACAGTTTTGACTTTTGTTAACTATTAAATGCTCAAACGCATACCTATTCTGATATTAATTAAAAATACGCATTTACAATAATTTTATATAACTAACTATTTTACTGTAAACTGTTTAAGATGGACACATAACTGATAACACTATAATAACTATTGTGATTATTCATTTTTATTAATTAATATATTATCAGAGATGGAAAAAATAGTTACCAAAATGCATTTTAAATGCAAAATTGCATTTAAAATCAGGAAGTAAAAACGTTTAAAGAAATTTAATTTGTGTAAAGAAACGTTTTTACTTACTGTTCTAACTCTTAAAAATAGTCAAAATAAAAATGTGTAAGTAAAATTATTTTTTGAAAGTATGCAATTTGGAATTTACAATTTTATTAATAATAAAAATATAAAATACAATTTTTTATTTTTTAATTAGTGGAAGGTGGGGGAATTGCGGTCACCTAAGCAAGAATTAAAATATCTTTAGAACTATAAGTCCAGAAATTTCGTTATTTCTTGAAATCGAGCTATCGAGGAAAAATATTCCAACAAATCACTTAATTATTTTTTAGTTGGAAAAAAGTTGCTTATAATTTTGAAATATCTGGTTAGGTAGTATTATTTTTGTACACCCCTCCCCCCCCCCGCAGAGCAAGATTGAATGTACGCCACTGACTAGATCGAACCACTACTTGCGAAATGCAAAGGTATAGCATGATAAAATTGGTACTTACAAAACTTAAATTAAGATTTTTTTTGTTTCTCTAGATTATAGGGAGGGGGAGGAATAGATGTTTTCAACTTTTGACTTTCCAAGTACCAACTGAGGACGATTTCTGACCGACAAAGATACTCTCGTAAAATAAAGTCAAGCAAACCATAAATAAATCTTGTTAACAAATACAAATACAAATGATACAAATACAATATATATAATTGTAAAACCAATACCTTCCTACCTTCACATTGATGCTAAAAACTATACAACAGAAAAACATATTATATTGAACTAGTGTTGTAGAAACATTATATCTATTGCTATTTTATTTCAAAGAATATTTATTTTGCATCTTGTAAAAAGTTTTTTTAAACATCTATCTAGTTCATACCAATTATCGATCTATGGTACTGTTTTATGTTATACGTATTAATCATGTTAAAAAATATTAAGAAAAAAAAAGTCGTTTTTGCTTGGTCGCATTTCATTAATTCTTATTATGTTATTTCTTAATGTCACGTGCTTTCTGTCCGGTACAACTGGTATCATCAATAGGAGGTAGGCCCGTTTAATGCGAAGAAGCAAAAAATACATTGCTGACCTTTAATGTATCGCTTTCACATACCTAGACAGCTGGTACCTCATTTTTACTTTTTTTCTGGAATAACGAGAGATGTCACATTTTCTCTGCCATACACTAAATGTTTTCACATAACGATTTCTTTTGTAATGAATATACTGGTTTGGTCACATCTGTACAAATGTATAGAACAGAATGATTAATGTTAATGTGCTTTACCAAAATATTATTGGAGTTCAATTCACAACAATATTTTCCAGTTTCTTATTATAATATGTAGGTATTTTAGTATTTTAAAAAATAAACAGTGATGCATGGCAACTAACGCAAGGACGATTAAAAAGAAAGTAATTATTTATTACTGATCTTCATAAATTTATTCAAACTCAACATAATATACTAATATAAATATACATTTTATTTTTTACGATTTATTATTATGGATTTGTCAACACATTATTGTTGATCATGATTATGTGTTTATAAATATACATTTTTTAAAGGTGTGAAAATATTTCAGTTATAATGGATTATGTAAATTTATATTATATTATTATTATATAGATTATCTAATATCTATATCCCTGCCAAATTAATCTGTTCAACGTATACGAGATTCTTATCGACCATACGCCGTTTTCACAGACATCGCACACGCATTTACTGAGATAATATTATTATTATCATACTATACTTATTCTACATGGTATATACATTTAAATCAGTGTTCTCGGCAGCACCTAGGGTGTAGTCTATATCGATGACAGATAGAAACGATGTCTCTATGACTTCTAACCGTTATGGCGTTATCACATACAAATTTAAATAATTTTTATTCTGTTTTCGGGACATTGTGCAAGGTGGGTTTCTGTTTGTACAAAGATAGTGGGATCATTTTCATGCATATTATTTCAACACCCACGTAATCATTCATCCCACAGTAAAATAGAAGTTATGTAGTCGGCATAATATATAATCCTAAGTAGAAAAATAAATGCCTCTAATAATAAACAACGATGTCCCAGCTATGTTTAAATGTGTAGGTGTATAGTACAAAATTTCCTTAATGTCCTTATAAAAAAATGTGATCAATCCACCCAAACACTAGACCCCATAAAAAAAATTATTTTTTTATAAAAAACGGTATTAGTAAAATAACTAAAGTATTAACAAGTAGTATTTAACTATTAAGTATATACAAGGTACATGCACAATTTAGTTAGGAACGTTCTGAGAGTTTTTTACTTATGCCAAACACTATAATCATATTATTATAAAATTATTAATGTTAGTTAACCTGTTCATGTTAACAAAAAAAATTGTAATTTAAATTATTGATTGTAGACGAAAGTGCGAAAGTGCTAGAGATGTTGACGGAATGGAACCAAAAGATCTCACAGCACCCAGATCGCTGTACACTAATGCGCAGATCAAAATCAGGTAATTCAACTTTCAAAAGCTGTTACTTACGTCTTACTCATTATCATATTATGTATACGTATATATATAATACACAATAAAGGAGCGATATGTTTTATTTAAATGTGAAAATTGATAATTGACACGTGTTGTTGGGCTGTAGAAAAATAATAAATAATATACAACATACCCTATAACATATAAGTTAAAACTTCTAATAAATATAAACTATGTTTTAAAGTAATTAAAATTGATAAAAAAAAAACGTATACATTAGATATATTATAAATAAACGTGCCGATAAAATTGTAAGTCGTCCTGATCTGCGCCAAGTGGTCCGTATTACTAGTTCTACGGAGTCAATTAATGGTTTCTAATTATTAAGCACCACAAGAAAAATACGAAGGTTAAAAATATTTATTATTTATTTTACAATTTAGTTTTTTTAACTACTCGAGGTAGTAAGTAGGTCTATTGTTTTAGTTGATGAACATTGATAATATTGTTTAATTTGTTTGTTGTTGGCAGTAATTCACCGGCCACATCGCCTACAGTATCACATAACAGCAACTCACCATCACCAACGCCGGTAGTACCGACTACCGGATACAATCACAAAATAATCGCCGGCATACCGTGTGTAGCGGCCGCTTCTAAGTATACGGCTCCTGTCCACATTGACGTCGGCGGCACCATTTATACATCTTCACTAGATACCTTAACCAAGTGAGTAAAAAATTAAAACAATATTATGAAAGACATATTACATGGAATAATAAGTCGTGTGCGCTTGAATTTAACAAAATTGACCGTAACGAGACGACCTCTTTGGAATGATATGTTTGTAAGATCACTGTTTAACGATCAGTGAATAGTGATGAAGCCTGAAGGGAGGGTTTTGTTTTATTTATTTTTCTCTTACATCTAACGATCGGTACTTTCAGCATTGCACGCCAAGTATATAATCGCTATTGGCTATACACGAATGCGCTACGCTTCGCTAGTCTCCATGATAAAAGAGTCGTGCAATATGATTCTTCAACATTTTTGTTTTAAATATTATTGCGGTGTTTTTGTTTAGGCATTTTTGCGAGCACCGTTTAAGTACTAAATAATTATACCACAATTTTTTTTTAATAAATAATTTTCGACTGGACGTTTAGTTAACTATATATTTAGTTTCTAGGTTAGCTATAATATATTCAATCAATATTTTAGTACACAGCAAAATTGGGTTTTAAGCTTACTATTTAGTATTTTCATTATTGAAGGATTTAAAAGTGGACTATTATCTTTTATTCTTAAGTAATCAACAGTACTTAAACTTAATAAGCGATACATAATTAATTAGGGATTTGTTTTGTACAAAAAAAAGCTTACTAGTTCTAAGTAGAACTTACCATTAAAATTATTAGTATTTGAACTGTACTTTTGAATAATAATGAAATTAACCGTTGATAAAATTACAGAAATCCAGATACAAAACTGGCAAAATTGTTCAACGGGAGCATACCTATAGTGTTGGACTCATTGAAACAACACTACTTCATCGACAGAGATGGTAAAATGTTCAGGCATATACTCAACTTTATGAGGAATTCGAAACTCTCGTTACCCGATAACTTCACAGACATCGACCTGCTTTTGGAAGAGGCTAGATACTTCGAGATCACCGGTGAGTACTTATTTGAACCGTCAATATACTGGAGAAAGGTCAAATATAGTTTGAACATAATAAGTAATGACGAAGTAAATTATAAGATATTTGTGTTGAAGTCTATTCGGAAAAAAATGAAAAACAAATACTAGTGTGTAAAACATACACCAAAACTTTTAAGAAAACAAGAAAATAACTAATTCATATGTTTAATTGAATACACCACCGTTTGGTTGATCGGCCTAAAGAGTAGATACCGGACCGCATCAATGTGTTTTATATAGGTTGATGCCTCCTCAACGTACTAGCAATAACGTCAGAGTCGCCAATACGTAATCTTGTAGCTTAATAACTTTTCGATTCCCAAGTCAGATCTGATTTCTGTATTCAGTTATAAAGTTTGTATGGTACGTATATTTCTGTTCGACATCCCATCGTTTAATGCAGTAGGTATACTGTAATTTTCCATTTTAATGAGATAATTGGGTGCACGAGCCGCACTTACAGTGTTGTACATTATGTGTTGGAGTGTACCATTATGATGCGATGTACTCCATACCTACATGGCGACCATGCCTACGCGTTTCTGTCCAGAGACAAGGTTAAGAACGTAAATTTCAAGTCGACCGAAGGATAATGTGTGACTGCAGATTAAGCCCTCGGGCGCGCAATACTCGTCTCATTGTCGGTCTTAAACGCAGTCGTCGTTCAATATTTGTTTCACATCCGTTTTAATTTCTTATTTTTCATTCAACTCGTGCAGTATGAACGAGCAGCGGCTTAAGAGACGATATACCGGGTAAGTAAAAAATATGTTATGCAATCGACCGTGATTCACGTCCATTCCGGATCTTCGTCCCAGAGACGTCGTTTTAATAGTAATTTGAATATTTTCGGCTGCCAACCATATTCTACGCGTAATGTGCAAAACGTTATTCGTCCTTTACAGTAAAGTAACATAATATACACCGAACAATGTTGGATGTGTGCAGCGGTTATAATATTTTATAGTTGAATGATGTTTTCACACGTTTTCTCAGTACAAATTACCGGTACCATTCCTTTAAATTAACGATGCAAATTTAGCCTAAAGACATCTACCGTCATTAACCTTAAAGCAAGAACTGTTTTTTATTTAAAAAATATATATATATTTTAGTATGCTATACTCTTATTTAATATGTATAGCATACTTATTATCTTTATTCTTTTGAAACTTAAATGGCATCGTACAATATTTTTTTATTTATTATTCGGGAATATTCTACTCAACCTTTTAACTAATCAATAACCAATACTTTTAGAGTTAGTAGCGTTTAAAAGTAGGCGAGAGGAGAGGTACAACGAAATAATATTTTTATTTGCGCACACTACTCCGTTGCACTTCGTCTCCCACCTAAACTTTTAAACGCTAAAAACTTCAAAATTATTTATTCAAAACCGCGGTTAACGACGATCAGTCTATATTTTCAGTACCTAGATTGTTCTCGATGGAAAAAGTTTTAAAAACTACTAAAAAAGTAATCATTTGGAAATTATATATACTGGTTACACTTCAATGTTTACTAAGAGAAAAATGTTAGAATCGAAATAATATTCTAAAAAAATCACTATACTCATATAACATAATGTATGATGATATACTACTAGTGATGAGAATTATTCGAATTTCAAGCTACCCAACCATAATGACTACCGGTTGTATAATACTGCCCACTGATCGCAGTATTCAGCATATAATCCGTTCAACACAATTCTCTCTCTTAGAAACAAATTCCTTATCTAAAAAAATTTATATTTTTTCCACTTACCGGAAAACCCTTGAATTATTAATATGTTTTTAGGCTTAGAAGATGCGTTGTATAAGGGAGGGAGAATTGGAGATAAGAGGAGAAGAGGATAAGATAGGAGTAGGATGGGAAATAGGGTTGGGCCTATCCGGATAATTGATCAACTATCCGGTTATCCGAAACTATCCGGATAGTTAAAAATTATCCGGATAGTTTCGGATATTCATTTCATTTTTAAAAAACAAATATACCTTAATAATATACAGTGTTTTTAAACATACCGAATAATAAAATAATGACACCTAATTAAATGTTACTATCACATGAATGATTTTTAGATATATCCGTGTCAGTGGTTGTTAACCGACTATTTGGACTCTTTGCAGAGTCCATCCTCATTCCTCAGGGTTGTCCGACTGTTCCGCTGCCGGTTAATAACCACTGACACGGATATATCTGAAAATCATCCACGTGATATTTCAACCCGTGAAGGTTTCAACAAATACATAAATTTGAGTACTCAAAAAAATATATTCGGCTAGTTAAAACTCAAATGAATATCAGAAACTATCCGGATAATTTTTAACTATTCGGATAGTTTTGGTTCTACGGATAATTGAAATATTATTTGATATCCGAAACTATCCGGATTTCGGATATCCGTATCCGAATTATCTGGATATCAAATAATCCGGATATCCGCAAAATCCGAATTTTAGTCCCAACCCTAATGGGAAAAAGGTAATCATGGAAAAGTAAATGCTATTATTTTTTCGAAAATTCATAAAAAAACATTTCCGAATACTTGAGATATGTATCGTTTGCGGAAACAATATGTATTGATCAAGCGGTTAGGTTTGTTTTTAGCACCACGGAAGTGATTAAAACAAAGTATTATTTTTGCATTAAAATACTAACGTCTAACATCGCCTACGAGTTGCGTCAAAAAACGATGGTGTATAGTACTTAGATTGATAGTTCAAGTGGTGAAAGATTTTGTGACAAAGCTATTTGTCGAATACGAAAGCGTGTAGTTTCTTTGTTGTTAGGCTGTTTACGTATCAAAAATATATTGCATTTTTTTATTTCATTATATTTATATTGATATTTTGTTTTAGCCATGTGCAAACAACTAGAAAATTTGAAACGCGACCGGATGAAAACTTCTGGTAGGGCGAATGGCTGGGACTCGAACGGGCCCAGCAGTCGTTCTAGCAGCAGCCTGTCCAGTACCAGAGAACAGTACGAGTGCGTTTCGGTTCACGTAAGTCCGGATCTTGGTGAACGGGTCATGTTGTCTGGAGACCATGCGGTTCTCGACGAAGTGTTTCCGGAGACCGGTCATTCGGCGTTGGAACCGTCAGCGGGACGGCCAGCCGTCTCGTGGACACCCGTTGACTCTAGGCATTTAGTGCGGTTCCCTTTGAACGGGTACTGTAAGCTTAACAGTGTCCAGGCCATCACCCGGCTGTTGAACGCTGGATTCACGGTGGCCGCCAGCACCGGTGGTGGTGTACACGGTCAACAGTTCTCCGAGTACCTGTTCGTACGCAAAATTGCTACCTGACTATTCCACATGTGTCCACGGCACCCGTCAAATAAAATCCATTTTCGTTAGCGCCTTCTGAAGAACACATCTAATATTTGTTGTCACAGAATAAATTATTATTTGTTGTATATAGATGTTAATATATTTGTCTTACATTAATCTTAAATCAAGAAAATCTTGTGTGCATCGCCTTTATACGCAATAGGTATGTATTATTATTACTGTGAATATTATGTACTATATACATTGTCTGTTTTGTAACTTATTTAATAATTAATTTCATATTGTTTGTTAAGTAAAATCTTACAATAAAATATAGCTACCATATCACGTTAAACAATATGTGGTAATATTAATTTATAAAACGATTGATCTTAAAAAATTGCAAAGAAAAAAAGCAATATGTTACTGAAGTAAAGGAATAATAAAAAAAAATAATTACGGTACTAATATAAGCTAGTAAAAATCAGGTTTTCCAAAGATACATATCTAGCTACGGTACTATGTAGTGTAACAAATCCAAATCTTAGTATAGACTAAATAAATTAAAACATAATTTTAATAGTATTTTCTATGTGGAATATGATATAGTATAAAAGGAAAAAATGCACATACACGTTTATTCTAAATACGAATAATTAATAGATAAGAAATAAATCTAACATAAAATTACTTTCCAGTCGTTCATAAAATTCAAACTAAACACGAACCTTTCTTTTGTGAACGTCATTGATTTTCAAAACATTAATTACACAATATCAACGTTGTTATTATTATGAGTTGTTTATCGAGGCAAACGTGGGCTGAACCATATATTTTTCCCGTGTGATTATTTCTTATCGCCCGAAGACATTTACAAAACCCTCGAACCTAATTGACTTACTCAATTCAGCTGTAGTCCGTAACGTATTTAAAACATTAGTTCCCGCGTAAATCGGCATATTATAATATTGTATAAATGGAACGGTTTACAAAACTTTTACAATTTCGAGTAAAGGAATACAAAAACTACCCGACTGCATTGTTTTAGAATATACTAAATATATATTCTAAAATCAATGCCGATTGTAACTTAAACGAATAGTTATTGATCTAGGAACATTTTTGAATAAACGAAATTAATTATATGAAGTATGAGCATGCATTATTAATTAGTTAAACAAGTTTTGTTTTAAGCACAGCTACTAAGAATACCAGGTAGGTTACAGCCGTACAAGAAGTAACAACAGTCTTTACTTATTAGTTAATATTTACCTGCCTACTAAACGCGTTTGAAATTCTACACAAATACCTACTTAATTACACTTCCTTGGGCAAATGCGAGTTATAAAACACAGTAAAAATAATTTAGCAAATTACGTACTTTTAACATTAAAAAGGTTTACATACTTGTTCGCTTTCTTTGCGTGAACTCACTATTTTAAAACATTTTAGTGACACTAGTTTTATATTATATGGATGGATTTCAAGAAGAAAATGTTTTCTTCGATCTAAGTAACCTAATTAACCCACATGCAGGTTGGAAAATGGCAGGCATATAGTTTTGATGTTACAACTTACAATTGAAGTTCTTTATATTTCTGACATATACTTAAGTTCACGTTTATAATTAATGAGTAATTACTACCGACTATCAAGCACGTTGTTTTCTTCGTTTAAGTTACTATGAAATGTACACTTTTTTGTCTAGACCTACCTAGACTGCAAAAGTTTCGAGTAAATCCCAACTGTTTTGTATAAAAAATTCGGGAGCGTGTATGTTACCTACTTGTTTATATATTCTTATCATAAATCGAACAAAGTTTGATAGAAGCGTTTATAGTTTCGAGGTGTTTTTATGATGTCGAGGGACTTAAAACACACACGCACACACAGGCTCAAAAGCACCAGTCTTGACGCATATACATACATATACACACACACACATGCTCTGGAGCTCGCCTATATTAAAAAGTGTATATGCCGTGTTATAAAGGTCGTCGTGGTAATATATCTATGTGGCCTCGGGGCTTTCCGCCGTCCAAAGCGACGGGGCCGGGGCGTGGACCGCGCAGAGTGGTGCGGCACGGGGTACACAGAACTAAGCCTCGGGCAATGTTAATTTGTAAGTCCGCGTCGAATGCCCCGGGCCCCGTAGACGGGGACGACGACATCGACCTGCCGGATCTCGCCCCCCGGGGAGGCCGCCACCGCCGCTGCAACCACTCCGCACCCATCCACGCCGTAGCCCGTCGGTTAGCCGCCTCACCCCGTATAAAGTATTCATAGGACAACAAGCCCCCGAGCAAACCGCACCGTCACGGCGTACCCTAGGGCCATCAATTGATTCGAATGTATATTAAGTTGCTGCAGTCGCCATAGTTACAACTCCGGGCGTCTGCATGTACCTACTGCTCATACGCCGTAGGGCACCGAGCCGCCTGCCAGCGTCGCTTTATCGTCAGACGCAAGCAGTGCCCTTAGTATTTTTGTTTTTTTACTCGTTTACGTCTATTCTAACGACATTCCAAAAAACGCAAAAGCTTTATTATCGTGTTTTTGTTTTCTTTACATTTTACGGTTGCAAATAGAAAATATAGCTAATATCACTATAATTATTAGGCATTCATGTATAATTGTTTGACCAAAAACCTACGTTTATTAAATTAAGTGCCGGGCATTAACAAGTTCTTAGGTTAAAATATTCTTTTTTGTTTTTAGTAACTTTTAAGTTATTTTTTATTTAAAAATACCGTTAATCTATAACGTTAATTTTTTTAAATTACAAAGATACTATGAAAATTATTTACTTATTATTTATAATATTAATTATTTGCGCCGATTATTTTATTATTATAATAACTGGGATAACTGGTTTCTCCGCCAAAGGTTTTTTTCTCGCGTTCCGTGATTAATCGTACAACGCGTTTTTAAATAATTTAAAAAACCGTTCACCACAAAAATGATAATACTTTTTTTCATTATTAGTATATACTCCTATTTTGATAGCAATGCTATCATCATCATCATCTGTTGGCCCGAACTAGATTTTTTTTTTATTAGGTATTATTTGTATAAACTATTTGCAATGATCAATGTGATTATTAAAAAATATTATTGTTAGTATATTTTTTTTTTTATAATTAAGTTTTAACTGAAAACAACTTTTTTTTAAAACAATTTCTTCTTCTGGCTTTTACTACTTTACAAGAGTTATTTCCTCCATTTCTGCCGATCCACTACTAAATTTCTTCAGTTGTTGGATCAAATAACTTTAAACTTAGTTGTATTTTCGATATTTATAGCATATTTTACATTATCAAATTTTGTTTTTATAAATATACCAATTAATGAGATTTTAAAAAATATATATATATTTTTGTAACAACAAAGAATTATAGTAGGTATACCATAAATTTAAATTAAATAAAAAGAAAAGTTTACCTTACGATTGTACAGTTGTGGTTATTACAAAATAAAATATTCAATTTCAATTTATAAATTAATATAAAGAATTACGGTTTTTTTTATTAAAAACTAAATAATTATATTAAGAGGACGCTACCTACCCGTAATTTATCCACGAAAATTGGTTTTGCGGGGGACAAGAATTTGAGGGCGATAATTAGAGTAGCCGTACATGATTTTCACAATGAATAGAGAACTTTATCTACGGTGTAGCGTTTTTAGTATTTTGATAACTTAAGCACAATCAAAATTATTCATTATTTTTACCTAATTTAATTTCTTTATAAAAAAATATTAAGTATAAATATAAGATATCGAACAAATTAAAACGCTACCCCGTGGGTAAAGTTCTTCTCTATACATTGTGATAATTTGGTAAATTTACTGTTAATACTAGCCTCACATACTTGTCCCGTGCAAAGCAGTTTTGATGGAAAAAAATTGTAATTTATCCTTTAGAGATGACTGTGATAGTCTGACAAAAAATGGCAATCAACAAAGTATCCTCATAGTAATGAGGACTATAATGTATACTTATTAATACAGTAGTATTAATAAGTATACATTATAGTTCACCCTAATTTAAGAATTTTCGAAATATTGCCAATACTTTACTCCTTAGAAATGGCCTGGGTAGCGTCCTCTTAAAAAATAAAACTAAAATAACTTCAAAATTCAATTATATAGCTGCCAGACTGGTAGTTTATTGTTTAAACTTAAGACTGCTTTAAACCAGATTAACACGGTTACTGTGCTTAAAACCGTGTAAAATATCAAAATCATCCAGAGTAAACCGTGATTGAACTAAAGATTCAGCGCCATTGCAACCACCCTACAAATCCATGATATATTGTATGGATTTTGGTCACAAAAACCACCGCTAAACCAATCTTCATTACAATCAAAACGCTTAAGAACTATACATCATTTAAACATTTCATTTTATTTGTTATATAGTTTAGGAACTGATGATAAATCGTGAGAATATTTTATTGTCGTGTTAAATACTATCAAAATTTTTAAATACCATTTTAAGGTACCTTAAAAAACTGATATAAAAGCAATAAAGATACTGAAGTGGTTATGTGAATATCACTGATCCCTATGGTTTTATTGATTATAATAAAAAAATATATACATTATATAAAATAATATAATGAGTGCTCAATTATATCAGGGCATAACTTATCGAAAAAGAATTAAATAACTTCTTTTTACATAAACAAAATATTTTTTTTTTAACATACATGCTCTAAAAATACATTAGTGTTATTTACAATAAAAAAATACATTTTCTTTAACTTGACGAGGCTTGATGAGTGCCTCATTTGATACATTGCAACATTTTTTTTACTGCAGTCAATAATACACAACATAAATGTGGTCCTTATCTTTTTACCCTTGTTATATTTTCTATTAACAAGGGAATTATATATAAAAAAAAAAAAACGTGATAGATAAAAAAACAAAATAACAAAAATCAACAAATTTGCCAATAGTTAAATTAGTCTAAATTTTTTTGTCAGAACTGCAATTCATACAAATTTGAATTAATCTGACAATGCAGTTAACTGCTAGAAAACATAATCAATACGACTAGCCAACAGCCACAAAAAGGAACGGCAAAAAGGAGAAATTAACAATATATCACTTCATAAATGGTTTAAGCATGAAATTTGCCTTTCGGCGGATATCTTTTTCCTGTTCAAGTACAAACAAAGTGTCTCGCATGGTAACACGTTTTATCCTTTGCCGAGTTACCTGAAACAATAGGACAAAAATGTATTGTATTAATCACTCAAATTGCTTGCAAAAAATTAACTAGAACATTAATCTAAACCATTATTAAAAGCAAATTAGTTTAAATAAATTATACATACTGTTTGTTTATTCGTTAAACTTGTATTTGAATTTAGATTCTAAAAAAATAAAATATAATTAAATAGTAAAAGATTTAAAACCGATATACATTAACTATTGACACAGAATGTATTAATATTGTAAATATTGACTATATATACTGCATTTATTTATTTTACCTGTAAACTAGGACTTAAGCCAGGTTCTAATTTTGGTTTTTTTCTTGGGCCTATAGCATTTAGAGCAGTGAGATTTGCTTCTCGCTGCCGTAGTTCTTCCATTTCTACTCTTTGCATCTAAAATTATGTTACAGGTTAGATACTTTTATCATTACTTACTGTATTTACTGTAAAAAAATATGGTTATATTTTACCTCTTTGGCTTTAGCTTTTAGTTTGGCTTGTTCAGGATCTTCATTTTTCGATCGACTTTTGGCTGCTCGTAATAATAGCTCTCTTTCCATTTCATCCTGTTTCTTGCGTTCTACCTTGTCGATTTCTTCAAGACATTTTATTTGACCACGAATATTTCTAGTTATTTCATAACGCCTATCAGCCTAAACCAAACAAAAAAATAAGTGTAAGAAAAGAAGTATATTATTTAATCATTTTATCTCCAATTTAATTTTACTTTATTAAAATCTAAACGGTGTTCAGCTACTACAGCTAATTTTTCTAGGAGGTCTTTTAAACGTTCAGCTACTGCATGAGAAATAAGTGCAGGTACATCGGCCGCCATGTCATCTAAACCTTCTCTGTTAACTGTTAAACGAAATAAATTGTTAATATAAATAATTATTTTAAACAATTATTATGTGAGCTACTGTAACAGGTCTTGTCCAAAACCATAAATTGTGATTTGTTAAAAAGTTGGCTCTAGTTGGGCGCTGTAACTAATTTTTTTTCCCCCGTTATTAATTTTTAAATATGCCAAAATCCATTTAAAATAGTGAACACTACAAAAAACAATATTACAGTTGAATGACGTTATGCAGAGAGCAACCAACCCACAAAAAAATCAAGATTTTAGTTTAACTGGTGTAATATACACTATACCACACTAGTTAAACTAAAATCTCGATTTTTTTTTTGTGGGTTAGTTGCTTTCTGCATAACGCCATTCTGTTGAGTTGCCTATCCATAGTGCATATAATCTATGATATAATTATATGTTTATGTATCATTTTATTGAATATTACTGTCAAAAACTGAAAATTTGTTAGCTTTACTTAACATATTATGCTAGTTTTGATAATTATTCGAAAAAATATGATAATATTGATAGTGTAAACTAACAATATTATAATTCATTTTTAATAAATAAATAAATAAATAATTACCAATTTGTTTAATTTTTGTTACCAATGGGTTTTGTGGTAAAAGTATTTCATCTTTACATGATCTAATTTGTGTTCCGACAAATTCAGTGGAACCTAAGATTCTTTGAGTTTCTTCTGCTAAGTTAACTCCGCCCATAGCAGCAACATCATTAATATCATCATCGGCCCTTTAATAAATATTTAACAAATTAATACATTTTAAATAAGTTAAAACAAATAATAAGTATCAATGTTATACTTACACATAAGCAGCAGTTGATGAAAATGATTTCTTTTCTTTTTCTTTAGAGGAAGATTTAGAAGAATTAGCTAGAGGTGTAGCAACACTAGTTGGTGTTTGAACTTTGTTGATCATTGTTGGCTGAGCCAATAAATTTGGTGATGGGGGTATACGAGTTTGAGGCATAGAGACGCTATTGGTTTGCACAGCTGTAGCTAATGTGTTGTTAATCTTTATTTGCGAGCCAGCTGTGGTCTTTAAGGGTACTGCTTTTACAAGCATTTGTCGACCCATTCCTGGCCTTGGTGACGAAGTTGAAGTAAGAGGTGGTGGCAGTGTACCAGTTTGAGAGGTAGCTATTGGAGGCTGTATACGAATTGATCCCATTTTATTAACAGACGTAATACCAGTTGGTGTTTGGACCCTTACTTGTTGCTACAAAAGTTTTTTTTTTAAATAATTGTTTTGATAATTAGATATAATGACAAACATTGTGAAATTAAGTCCATTTTATTTAGTCTATATCATGAAAATACAAATATAGAAATACTTACAGAAATAATTCTATGTTGTTGATTAGAATTAATAGTCCTTGCTGGTGTTAAGGCAGGTTGGGTAGTCATTAATCTTAATGTTTGTTGGTTTGAAGCAGAATTCAAAATATTTCCCATTATTTGTGTATTCTAATAAAAAACAAATTATTGTCATATAAAAAAAAATCAAACTTAAATTTTAGACAATATGTCATTGTAGTTAGAAATTATAGGTTCTTTGGAAACCATTATTATAAAGTTGTTTATTTGGGTTCACTTACAGAATCCGTTGTTTATACAGAAGACAAGTCAGAGAGAAAATAAAACTGATAACAAAGTTATAGCATTTTGGAAATTTTACTTTAATTTATTTATTATTCTACTTATTCTTTTTATGAGAATTGAGATACAGAAAAAATAATTTGAAAAATGTATTAATATCCAGTACCATTCTATCATAGTCATTATCATAACAAGAGAAAAGAGCAGAAAAATAAAGTTCCAAAAATTAGGTGGTGGAAGTTAACAGGTGAAAATGAAAAGTTTATTGTGAGGAAAATGAAGGAAGGAGTGTTACAAAAAAAAATCGTAGGTACGAGGAGGACATGAAAAATAGAATAAATTATGGAGGGGAGTGTCGGGTGTGTGGCCGATCCCATGTAGTTGGGAGTGTAAAACAAAGATAATGAAGAAGAAGATTCTATCATAGTCTCAATCATAAAACATTCTTCTCTTGAATGTCTATATATTTTTTTAAGGGGGGGGGGCATGTTTTTTGGTCTAAAACTGAAATGTCTAATTTTTCGAAATGGTAGGTAAGCCAAAAGTATCATCTTTTGCAAAAAAAAATTAAAATGTATCACTTTCCTGAGCATAAAATAAAACATACTACTTTTCTTTGCAACAATGCTAACATATTGACTTTAAAAAAAAAAAATTCAAAATGCAAATCATTTTTAATAAAAGAAACATTTAGTAGTTTAAAATCCTTGTCTATTATAATATTACTAGTTTTATAACTGGATAGCACATATTTTCTTAACTTTATCATAATTAAATGTTTATTTACAAATTATATGTTTTTTTTTATTACTAACAACACATTAAAAAATATATAATAAATTTAAAAAAATTACCGTAACCTGCTGTTGATTAGCCAAAACAACTGTTGGTTGAGTCACAGCACTCGGTTGTGGTGGTCGAATACCTTCAATGACCATATCTTTATTCATAAGTGATTGTCTCAATAGGGGTAAACTTTTCTATTAGTAAAAAATGTTAAAATTTATTACAACAAAACTTGGTTGTTTTATACGTATATATATATATATATATATATATATATATATATTTATAGGTAGTATTACCTTAAGAAAGCCTATAAGGCACGGTTGTGGTGAAGCGTTTAAAAGCTTCTCAAGCCTATCACAAAATTGCTCTGGCTCTACTTTAGCATCAACTAACTCTTGTATAAGAGTCCGTACACTTCTTTCTACAGGCTTAGGCTCTTTGCTAGAAAGTTCCAGTAAGTTAGCTAAGAATTTGCGACACTTGTCTTTAGTATTATCTTGATGGATTTTCTGTTGAGCCTAAAAAAATTAAAATATATTAAAAATCTAAAATTATAGTTAATCTAAGATCAATTATTTGAAACATACTTGTGGTGGTTGAGTTGTTGCTTGTGTAGGAGTAGTATGAGTACCAGCAATAGAAACATTACTCTGAAATTACATTTCTTGAATCAGTTTTATAGGCACTTACATTGTGCCTACTAGCGCTTTTAAATCTATTTGTAATAATTTATTTTTAACAATATTACACAGTTAAGAATACTAAATTTTTAATCTAATACAAAGTACCATTTTTTAAAGGCACAAGTATGGATTACTAAAGGGATATAATATATAGAATGTAATAAGGCAAAATATTATAAAATTATTCTGTAACAGTTTTCAGCTAGGGTAATTTGTTTAATGGTAAATTTTTAATATCATAGATTAAATATAGACAACAATATTGATAAACAACCCCTATAAATAGATTTCATAATAGTTTTTACACAATGAAATTCAAAAAATGTGAATAAAATCAGTGTTGCCTACCTATATGGTACTCGAATATACAATATTATTAACTTGTATGCATTATTTTTCAAATACATATATTCTTCTATTAGATATAGTAGCTTTTGTATAAAAAAAATTATGTCAAATAACCTTACAATGTTATTGTTACCTAAATATTTTTATTTCTGTTCAAAATTAAAAAAAATGTTGGTTGGGCACAAAATCTCATTTATGCATTTTTACACTTAAAAAATAAAATAGATAAAAAAAATTGCTTAAATATCACACTTCAATAGAATGTTATAGATAGTTTAGCAATAAAATTCAAAGTTGGAAAGATGTTGGCATTCCCATTTTCAAATCAAAGCTCCTTTTGAAAACTAACATGTTAAAGTAGTCAAAACGAAAAACAAAACCGCAGCCCTTAGTTTATCAAAATATACTATGCCAATATCCAATTTTAATAGATATTAAAATGCAATACAATAATTTACTATGACTTACTCCTTAATAAATGTTAATACTAAAAAATTACCTAATTAAATTTATAGATTTAGCTACTGAAGAATAATAACGTGACAAAAATAATTTAATTAATAGTGTAAAAAGTAGTTTAGAATTTTCTGTACAATTATTTTTTTTTTTTTAAGTAATAATTTAAATGTTTTTTTTTTTTTTTTTAATTTTAAATTATTTAATTTTATACAAGAATAAACTATTATTTCTATAAAGGCTTGCTTACACTTTTAGTCTTTACATACATTAATAATAAAAAGAAGTAAACATTTTTTTTTTTTTTTAATTACTTTTGGCACTAAAAATAAATTGAAAAAATTACTTACAGTTGTAACTGCAGGAATAGATTGAAATCTAATATTCGCATTATTTGGAGTGAGGGCAGTTGCTTGACCAGGAGCAGCAGGTCCTACTCGTAGTAACTGATATTGCCCATTTTCAGTCTTTAATAATATATGTCCACCTTGTGCTTGTTGAAGAGTTTGTAACGTAAGCTAAAAGATAATATTTAATAAACATTATGATCATACTTCATAATATGTTTCTTTTAACTATATTGACTTTTAAGCTTTAAAATGAAAGAATATTTTAAGATGCATTAGTTTATTGTTATTATTATGAAAGTAAAAGTTAAAATGTATTCAATTACCCCTGGAGCACCAGGTCGGTTTCCAACTACGCCAGGTATCATAACTCTAGACATGTTTTTATTCACTCCGCCCTGCGAGTTTTGTGGTCGCAATGCATTTACATTTAATATCTGCACGTTTGCTGGCAGAATTGTCTGAGGGTTACTAGACGTGACACCACCTTGTGCCATTTGTTTAGGTACTGTGATAACATTAGATGTCACTGCAGATGGATTAGAAACTTGTCCTGTAAGTGTCATTGTAGAAACTGGAGGTGAATTTTGATGTTGTTGTGGTGTTGTTTTGATTACAACTGCTGTACCAGTACCTAGAAAACATTAAATTTAAGTTATTAAAACAAACATGTACAAATATCATTATGTACTAAAAGAATAAGCAATAACAAATATATTTTTAATACTTATTTAGTCAAAGGTGACCATTCGGTACTTAAAACTTTTACAAAATAATCAAAAATCATAACAAAAGATTTGCATTGATGTTATTGAATTAAAAGAGTAACACTTATTGTACAGAGATAAAAATGTTGAATGTATTAATAATAAATAATTTGAATTAGGTACTATAATATCTATATTATGCAGATGGCATATAATTTAAGGTCTTAATTGCAAATTATTTAAGTTTATAAAAAAATTTATTTATTTTAAATTAAAAACGAAATAATAATCTCCCTACAATTTGTAACCAATATAAGTTTATCATAAATAGGTCACATATGATTTATGAAATAAGTCATTGTAAAATAAATTAAAAACCAAATAAAAGAAAACGAGTTGAAATTCAAATTAAATCTTCAAAATAAAATAGTACCTACATAATAACAAATAGGAACAAAGTGCCATACAGTGAAAATATATTTTCATTAATATATACAAAACGATTTTAATTTGAGAAGTAGTAGATTGCAAAACGATCATTTTGAAGTGGACCACAAGTTTTAAATTTGTTTGAACAAATGGTTCAAATAATAGATAGGCAAGTTTATAAGAACATTATATAGTATTATGTACCGCTTACTGGTCTAATAAGTATTAAAAGCGTTAAGTTTAGACGGCAGCGTCAAACTTGAACTATTTTTGAATATGAACTAACCTGTACCAGTACAATTAACCGTGCCGTTAGGCAACGAATTGACTGGTATGTAATTGCGGCTATTAGCAGAATTTGAATAGACCACTTTGACGGGTTCTTGGGGTTTTATAGGTTGCGGTGCCGCATAGTTGTGCGCCAATGTCGGGTTGACGACATGTTGCTGTTGCTGCTGTTGGCTCACATAATCTGCTTGGCTTATACCTGGCATTAAACTGTTGTTGTTGGTGGCGGCTATACACTTGTTCATCGAGGAGGTGGCCCTGGTGCCGTTGACCAAGTGCTGCTGTTGTTGTTTTTGCGGCGCGGCCGTGGTAGCTGCTTTTGCATTGCTGTTGTGACCAATCTGTGGGTGACTCCTATTGCCGGTAGACACAACCGATGAATTAGTGACAAGCTCACTTTCCAGCGACACCACGATTGCACTGAACGCGTTTTCGTCCACGTCCTTACTGAGTACTTCCTCCAGAAACTTGACTGACGCCATTTTCTGACCAACTCAGATCGCAGACTGATGTGCGCATGCGTCTTGTATACTGTATCCCCCCGCGCGGCCGCCCTCGTAAAAATACACACGCACGCCGCGCGTACTCACTACTCACCGTGTTTTTATTGGTGATGATACGCGCGCATAAACGCAACAAACGTTATTAGCACTATTCATATTTTTACCGTCTGAATGCTCTGCATTACGTTATCTGTAGTCCGGAGCATAAACTACAAAAACACTATAACATACTGTGCAGTGTGCCGCCACCCCGCCTACCCATTCATCTATTCCACATTTCCACCACTCATAATTATAATAATTATTATAATATATTAACTCACCGTAAACTCATGTGCGTGAAGTAACAGACGCTCGCAGTGCTGCCACGTTGAATTTTATATAATATATGTGTTGCACTTGTGTGATTTGATATAATTGCAATTATTTGTATTTACAAGTATTTCACAAAATATATAGATAAAATAAACTACAACTTTATCTATATTTGTGAAGTATTTATTTACAATTTCCGTCTAAAATATGTTCAGTGTTTCATTTGACAGCTGAATGTTTGTGGTTTGTAATTCAGCTAATTCCGTGTTTGGTAAAAATAAAATAATGATTTTAAATATTGCACCTATTTTTTTCATACATATATTATCTTAAAATTAGCTTTATTCTCCTATAAAACGTTTTCCATAGTAATTTTTTAAATTAAAAATAACAAGACTTGTTATAGACTTAGTATAAAAATATATTTCAAAAAATTCGCAGTCATACACTAGTTTTACTCCTTTCAGAGTAAAAAAAAAAAATGTATTACCCATTAAGAATAATATTAACACATAATATTATAATCTATAAACATATTTTAAATTACGTTATATGTAAAAAAATTATGTTCCCAAAATTATTTTCAATATTTACATTGAAGTAGTATATACCTTCTTATTAAATCATTTTTTATAGTAGGTATAATATAATTAACAAGTATTATTAATATGATCTAGTTATATATAATCTAATATATGTATAAATGTATAGCGTTTTAAATTGTAATCTATTTTTTAGTATAAACAAAATAGTTATTATACAGTCATTGAATACAATAATGTTTTATCAAGCCATTGCTGATAGTAAGATATATTTGAGTAAACGCCTGGGCTATTTGCTCTTCCACAGCCATAGCCCCAGCTTGTAATGCCCATAACTGTTTCACCTTAAACACAACATACATAATTTAAATAATTTTTAAAAATCGATTGTAATTTATTTCACTATAATACTTAGTATAATTTGTTTGTACAGTTTTAATTGACATACTCAATTTGTTTGCTTGAAAATTAGAAAGAAGGATTTGTTAAATACTATTTTATGTTAAGTAAAATAATGAGCAATGAAAAATCTAGACTAATGACATAAATTAACATATTTTTGTCTTTAGTCTTACCAGAATCAGTATTGCAAACTAGTGGACCACCGGAATCACCTTGACATGCATCTACTCCACCATCTAAATTTCCTGCACAAAACATCCCATCACTTATGGTCAACTTACCATAAACATAATCTGCTTTACAAATTTTTGGCTCAATTATTGGTACTGTGGCCCATCTTAGAGTTTTAGCAAAACCTGCATAATAAATTTTATATTATTAATCTTAAGTATAACTTAAATTTCCAAATCATAACTAGTAAGGATAAATACTTGAACCAATAGATCCATCAGATCCCCAGCCTGTTATAGTACAGTTCAAATTATGCTTTAATTTTGTATTTTTTGATGGTAAACATACAGGTTGTACATATTGGTTAAATTGTATGCCGTTTGTTTTTAATTTTATGACTGCTATGTCATTGTTTAATTTTATACTTCCTTCCTCAAATTGTTCATGATTATATATTTCATCAATATAAAAGTCTTGTTCTGAATCTTCTTTTAACTATAAAAATAATTGACTTGTTTCAATATAAATAAATAATTATGTGTACAACTTATATCACACATACATCTATATCATAGTCCCCAACTCGTACATAATACGCATCTTTATCTAAATCTCGCACACAGTGAGCTGCTGTTAATATATGAAATTTGGAAATTATCACTGCTCCACATACATGTTCCATTTGTCCTGCTGGTGTATTTGATCGTATGCTAGCCTACATTAGTACATAAATAATTTATATTCTGTAAGCATTAATTATTAGGTAGCTAACAAACACTTACTTGCCAAGGATGGGATCCTCTTTCAGAAGTAAAACCTGATGATATCCTCTTTTGTATCACATTTATTTGCAAGGATATGGTTTTTTTGCCACACTGAGTAGGTAAGTATTCCTTCGAAGTCTTTACATTGTGTGATGCATTTTTGGGAGATATATTATCGTCCTTCTTCAAAGTAACAACATGTGGTTATAAATAGAAATTGAAATAGAGAATTATAATATTAAGATTTATTTACTTTCTTCCTATCTAAATGGCATATTACAGATACATCTTCATCATGTTTACAATTATGTTGACCCCATTTGGCATGAAAACAGTGTTCTATAGATGTTTCATTACCTAGACATCGTACCTGATCTAACCAAATTTGTCCTAGGCCCGGTCCAAATGCAGCATCTTTTTTAAACTACAAAGTAATCAAAATATAATTTATAGAAAAATTTAAAATGTATTGTTGCACTTACTTCTGCATGGCCCTTGTAACCTAAATGATTACAAATTACAAATGCCTCCTTTGTGCCAAAATCATCATCACACACAGTTCCCCATATACCATACTGACGAACTTCAACTCTACCTTCGAGGCCAGCTCGACGTTCATTACCGCCAACTAATCGAATTTCTAAAGGAGACTATTTTAAAGTAAAAAATAAAAATAATTTAGATTGTCAAGAACGTCGTCATTTTTGGAAATCATATGAATAAATAAATACTAAAAACGATTTGAAATATTTTTTTAAGGATATAAAATTTACATTAAAACGATGGCATTAAATGTTAGACCAAATGCCAGCGTTTTAATTAACTTAAAAAATAAAAAAACAACTAATTGAAATAAATACGTTATAATTATATTTTCGATTATAGTTTTCAAATACAATAATAAAATTAAAACAGTTAAAACAACAATCTAAAACCCTGGCATAGGATTTAACAAACTAATAAAATAATTAATATGATAGTAAGTAAATATGTTATGCATGCAATGCTTTTTTCTTTTGAGGTATTTTCTGAACATATTTTTTTGGAGGTTTCATTGTAGTACTTTTGTTGGAATTTGGAGTTGTAGAAGTAGTTACACTCACATTGCATCTTTGAGGAGATTCATCTGATCCATCAGTACAGTCTGTAAACGAATCACATATAAACCTCATGGGTATACATTCTCCTGATTTACATTCAAATTCTTCACTGGAACAATTTTTTCCACCAGCTGTTCTACATATCACACCAGCAGACTATAAAATAAGATTTTAATATTAAATATGTATAGATTATTATATATAGTATATGTAATATGTATGTGTATTTTTCACATATTTAAAATAGTTGAAAAGTTACCTCTTGAGCATTACAGTCATGAATTCCCCATTCCTTAAATTGACAAGAGTACAACGACTTTTCGTCCCCTCGACATTCAAGGTCATCCAATACAAATCTTGTTTTGTTAGGTATTCCAAAAAAAGAATTTGACTTAACTGACACAGAAGACGGAAATCCTAATTCTCGACATATAACATCAGCTTCACGCATATCAAATTTATCGTCACAAATCACGCCCCATTCACCAAGAACTAAATACACAAAGTTAGATTAAATTATCAAATAAAATAATGAAATAATAACAAAATCAAATAGTTATTCACCTTTAACTTCAACACGACCTTCATTAGTAGAATTACCACCAGCTAATCTAATTTCATATCCCATCATTTTTTTAGCGCTAGTGCAATTTCTTTCATCACTACGATCACCACAATCATTATGTCCATCGCATTCCTAATAAATATTTAAAACACTAAGCTATAGTTTATATTGAATATAAAAATAAATACAGTTATTTTAATATTTAAAGCATAATAAATGTACATATCATACTAAAATTGTTGTAGATTAATAATTTTTGTGATATTGATACATTTTTAATCATGGACTGATTTATTTATAAGATGCACAGTTCCATAGATCAAAAATCTTTCACAAATGTACTTTTTAAAGACAAAACTTCAAAAAATCTTTTATAAATACTACCAAAACATAATTATTATTAAAAATATTTATTATATATAGTAAATCTACAACAAAACAATAGATATAGAATTTTTTTTTTTTTTAGAATAAATAGGTTAATTATAATGGGTATCTAAAATCATTAAGTAAGAAAAGAGAGAAAATCATAAAAAGTAAAATAAAGAGAAACTAAAAGTTTTTACAGTCAAAACAGTTAGTATGTCTTAAATTTTAAGATGAAAATACTTTAAGAATGCCAGTACAGTGGAGTCAGGACACAGTGGGGATGGACCATATTGAAATGGGAGAGGTCATAGATTTGTCGGATTTTTTTTAATTGATAAAGTGATAAAATCACTTTAAAATTTTGATGTGTATCCATTGATATATTAAAAATCATTGTCAATAATGTGCTTAAAATAGTATTTTTAGTATTAGGGTTGATTATCTGTCTACAATAATTTATTGCCGTAGTTGCCTATTTATCATAAATAACAACAATATGAAAATAATTTTCGTATACCTGGCAGATTCACACATAGCAGCTAGAAGCTGACTACCGGTCAAAGTGTAATTTTCCCCTATTTTTTAGTTTTTCCATAATAAGAAAAAAGTTTAACTACAGGTTTTTGAAAAAATTGTATATATATAGATCCATTCTACATAGACCCCATTCTAGATCTACCTTCGGTCTAATTTTGAGACCTATAACCCACCCTTACTTCATTTAAAAAAAACGAAATAATGAAAAAGTTTCAACCTATTTTGGGGAAAAGGGTTTATGATATTTGTTTGGGTTGTCAACGTTTATCAGTAGTACTATGTCTTAAGAATATTCTATACAAATTTAAAACTAATTGGACTATTTTTAAAAAAGTTATGGAGCGCCATAATTTTAAAGACAATACTTTCTCAGCTACGCATTAAAGCTAAAAACTTATATCGATTTTTAAGACAAACCTTTTGTTTGTCAATACAATTTCCATTATCACAAACAAATTTCCCTAAACATTCTGGGTTATTAGCTTCATAATAGTCCCAATCTTTATGTGGCTCCAAAGATAAAGTATCATTTTGCACCCCATCACTTAGTACACATGTTTGATCAACTTCACTAAAAATAGTAATAAAACATTTTTAATTAATATTATTATAATAATTATAATATATAATTTACTTATGAAACTATAATTATACATTTATATACAGACCAGACATTTGTCTACAAATTTCTCCTACTACATTACACATACATTTTTAAAAGAATACTCCACTTTGAAATATATATTGCCATTAACTTTGATTATTAAATATCAACCTACATATTTAATTATTTTTATTTTATTAACGTGAAAATTTGATGGTCAAAATAATGATTTATAATAAAAATGGTTATTGGATAATATTTCTTAAATTTGTAACAGAGCAACACACCAACAATCATACCACGCGGCCGTACCGAGTAGGGAACACGACGACAACAAAAAATCGACCGATGGGATTGCGAGGTTCTTATGAAAAAAGCATAAATACCGACCACAATCCCCAAATCAGCACAGTCGTCTTTAAACCATCTGGGTATCATTATACACTGGATCAATTGGAAGTCGACACATCTTCAATCAACCACCAACATCTCAACACTCAACCACCAGCAGTAGCCACAGTAGCCCCAGCAGCAGCTGAACCGGCAGTAACCGTGCCAACGACAGCAACGACGACTCTCACAGCTCCACCGACGGATACAACGACGGACTACAACCCACTTAGAAAACCGTTCTTTTTAGGACAAACATACAGTCACTTATTTGAGTTGCGCTCTCCTCCCGGTGACTCGAGTCCGTAGGCGCTTATTCAAGCTGCCCTACGTTCCGGCTAGTCACCCTACCATATCCCCAACACCTTTGTACTCCCGGTAGGATAAACAAACCGTGATAACGAACATCAGCTGTGTTATTGCATTCACGATACACCGAAGCACCCGCAACCCGTCAAATTAAAGAGTCACAGTTTTAAAAATGACAAATTGAAAAAATTAGGGAAATTTTAGAATTTTTACTGTGATAACTTATTCTAGAGCATATTAACAGCTTTTTAGTGTTTAGGCTATAATCTCTTAATTTTACCTTTAATTAATTTCAAAATAGTAATTACTATTAAAAACTAGTTATTCACAAATTCATATGTTTTTGTTATTATAATAAAAAATGTGCTATTGTAAAACTGTTTTATAATAACAAGTTCTAACACAAGATTTCCATTTAAAAGTCATAAATTTATGTGTGTAAAACTGGTGCATATAAATGGGCACACATTAACATTGAGAGGTATACAAACATTTTGATTTAGAATACCTCACAAACAGAGTTCAAAATCTCATCTAATTCTTACACAAATAACAAGGATAATTTAAAAAAAGATATTTCCATCCAATATTGTATGGAGCCAATTAAAAAAAAAATTTTTGATCTACCAGACAGGGTATTATTTTATTATTATTTAAGAACATAACTATATACTTAATTTGAAGTACATCATTTTTTATTTTAGTTGAAATTTGTTTTGCTTAATACAATACCTATGTGAAAATGATCGGCAAACAAAGCCATCTGCCAAAGTGCAACGATTAGCACAAGTGTAAACTGTTGTGTGTAACCATTTTTCAACTTCATGATTTTGTAAACGAGCTTCCGGAGTTTTTGAAAAATTATCCAAAGTGTTGGAACAGTTTTTTTCATCATTGCCATTGCTACAATCCTAATAAGTAAAAATGCATTATTTATTACTACTATTGTCTATTTTTTCTTACAATTTAAATATTATATTATAAAATAAAATCATCGGCATATTATAACACCTTGGCATTTAAGCATATAGGACTTTCTTAATATGGTATGACATTAAATATTTGCCATAAGATACAAATAGTGAAATTGACCTTTTTAGACTTAAGGTATAGCGATTATACATTGAAAATTTAAGATAGTTAGCTAAGAAAATAAAAATTTAGTTTTATTATTTAATTATAGTAAAGTTAAGTATAGTATTAAACTATAAAAATATTACTATTACTATTTTTACAAAGCGTAGGTATATCAACATTGTTTATCAATGCTATTTTATACTTACTGCTTGATTATCACAGACCCATGCATGATTAATACACTCATTTGGCTGACATTCAAAAAAGTTTGCATCACATTTTGTCTTTTGATTTATAACACCTACTAAAATTAAGTTTTAATTTATTATGATAAGTATATATAACAACCTGTCCGAACCCGGTGTTGCCAGGGCTGAGTAAAATAATTAAAAATAAGATAAAAAAAACTCAGTACTCGAGGTTGTATATTGTAGAGCTTTAGCATCTACATCTCGGTTTTTTTTTTTTAACTACATATCCTGTATGAAAAGTAGCACTGTCGTCAGTTCTTACGAAGACTAGCACTGTTCACAGATTCTTACGAAAAGTAGCACGGTTCAAGTTCTTACAAAGACTAGCATCGTTGGGCTATTTTTGTTCCTATTGTTGCAAACGGTGCTAGTTTTCGTAAGAAATTTGCAAACGGTACTACTTTTTGTAAGGTCATTGCCAATGGTGATAGTTTTCGTAAGAAGCCTCGAGCAGTGTTAGTTTTTGCTAGAACTTAAACAGTGCTACTTTTCGTACGGGGCGTCAGTATATACATTACATTATATGGATTATGTTCCCCTCTTACCGAAGGGTACCAGTCCCAGTCCCAGATCCAGTTTCAATATTTAATAGCATTCCCAGAATCGGCCTATTCCTTTAGTCCTCACCTACCATTTGCTCGAGTACTGTGGTTACTATGGTTACAAACAAAGTGTTTATATTGGGTTAGCAACGAAAAATATTTCGTATTTAAAGTAAAAAATTAGTGTTTCAGGCCATCCTTAGAGGTGGAATTTTCGAAAAGTACTATTTCAATTACTTTCGCGGGAGTGTATTCAACAACTTACTAAAGTTTCATGGCGATCGGATGAATGGTGTACGTGTACTAATGCATAAAGGACACACACACACACATTCATTTTTATATATATATATTATTAAAACTTGAATGGGGTATTATTATTATATTTACACTATTTACACGCCTTGCAGTTACTCCCATTTGGATATCTTGACTGGTAGTCTACGGGAGAACGCGGTATGAGCAACATCGAACCAGAGCTCTGAAGATGGAACAAGCAAGTGTTTCAAAACGTTGGCGAACCAGTCAAGATATTCAAGGCGTAACCACAAGGCGTGTAAATAGTTATAATTATATTTACTTTAATTAAAAAATATAAATACTACCACTTATTGATTTAGAAGCTGTATTACAGGTAGTAATATCACAAAATTCACTTCGAACTAGTCCTACTGATGATTGCACATAACACCAAGGTTGTAAGTCAGTCCCATCGGGATTTCTGCATTTGTTATGCTTAGTCAACATTGATCTTCTAGTTTTTTCAGAAACTCTATATTTCATTGCTGCCAAAACGGTAGCATCATCCCATGATAAACACTTGTTACCAGAAGCAGTTGTATTAGCAGAACCATTATAGTCAGAACCAGCACCATTTATACAACCTAAAAGGTGTACATATTTAGTTATACAATAAAAATTGAAATATTTAGAATACTAGCTAAACATTAGTTATAAAAACAGTTATTTAATTATTTACAATATACATACCAATATCATCTGCATTTCTTTCACAAACATAAGATAAACGTTCTGTTTTGGTTCCACAATCTATAGCTTCCCAATGATAATATTCAGAATCGCATAATTTTGTACTGTTCGGATTTGATGGACAAGGAAATGATTTTTGTAAAACAATACACAAAGCACGATTTGATTTTATTACAGGAGAACCAGGTTTTTTAAACTCCCAACCTGTATAAATGTATAAATTAATTAAAATAAATTATAAAACATTTTAGCATAGGTACTCCTTTTAAAATAATGTATACTTACCAGGCCACCAATTTTGGTACACAAATGCATTATTTGTTCCTTCCCATATCCATATAGGATTTCCTAAAACCGACACACCAACTCCTGAAGTTAATATAGGACCTTCAGATTTTTGTCTAAGTAACCATTCAGACACAAAATCATTTTCTCTCTGAAAAAAATAATTAGTTTTTAAAGTATACTACATTTTGCAAAACTACAGTATCAATAAACAATATCTACCTGTGAGCTGATATCTAAAAGCGATCCTCCTCTTTTTTGACAATGTTCTAATGCTTCAACTTTGCTGAAACCTATATCTTGAGGGCCTTTATTAAGTTTTTCCGATACTGGAACAAACAACTTATAGCACTTGTCATCGTATGTTACTTCTTCAGGTTGACATCGAGATCCTGAATTAATACGGCATTTTATCCATACAGCATCCCTTTCTACATTGCAGGTTTTATCTAAAAATTATAAATTTAAGCATAACAATACAATAATTTTTTATTTTAAATTATATAGTGAAGTAGCACACATTGACATTGTTATAATTGTTACTTATATTAAAATCTTGTTATTTAGTAGTGGTGGGACTATTCGAATAAAAAAAATTCGAATATTCGAATACTTTATTCGCACGTTATTCGAATAACGAATATTCGAATATTTTATCGTTTTCTTTGCAGAATTAACTAGATTTAAAAAAAAAATAATTAAGAGACAACTAAGGTGTCCTTGATCAATTTTTAATAATTTTTTAACAAAATAAATATAATTATAACGAATTATTCTTTTGACAAAATAAATATTATTACTTATTACAACCAATAAGATTTTAACAATTTATATAGATATATAAATTTAAAAAAACATAAATTTTACAAAATATTCGAATTATTCGAATAATAAAAAAATTTGATTCGGGGTCTCAGCTCTATTATTTAGTCATATAATCATATCGATTTTATATTGTACGTTTTCCCGTTATGTAATGTTAGTTTAATTATTTAAATTAAATGTATTTATTCATTAAAGAACAATTTTTGTTCTAAAATTACGTTATACATTCATTTGTAAAACATATATAAATTACCATTTTGTAGTTTACAATTGTGAAATACACTTTCTTGACCATTGCATGACACTTTTGTAACTCCTATAATTCTTAATAATTTAGTAGGATTATCCGTGGTCACTGTTAAGCCTTGCCACGTTTGTTCAGCTCCTCTAAACCAACAAAATATAAGTGTTTGTTACTAATTTGTCAATAGCTAGTACACTAAGTAACAGAAAATAGCTTATTTTGATTATCTTTTTTTAATATATACTATAAATACCTATTAAATCCAAGTTGTCTACAAACAATATCAGCTTTATCGATTGTCCATGAATTAGGTTCATCACAAACTACACCCCATTGGAAAGGTTTTTCCTGTACTTGTAAAAATCCTTCAAAATGTTTTAATCCTCCTCTCAATCTAATTGATTGAGTACTATTGGGTTTTAAATCTATTCTAACTGAAACATTATTTTCTACTTTTTTGCTAACATCATTATTAGGGGTGTGTATAATAGAAGTATTTGATAAATGATTGTCTAGTAAATCAATAGAAGATGGATTCCTTAATATTTTAAGCTGCCTATTTTCAGCTGGTAATGTCTCTAATACTGCTTGGTTTTCTGGATTTTCTGTTTGGGGTAAAGAATCACCGTTAATAGCTTCTTGATCAAAGATTCCTCTTACGTCTAAATCTGGATTATAGTTGTTTATCTCGGCTGTGGTGGTAGTTTCAATTATTCTGTTACATTGAACATTATAGGGGTGATCACATACTGATATTGTAGGATTAAACAATGTTCCTGGGCCACAATCCATTACAAATGTTCTGCCATTTGCACAACTTAAAAACTTTGAACAGTCATTCGGATGTAGTTGAATACCATTAAACCCATTTTGGCATTTAATTTTAGTAGAATCAGTTGATGGAATATCCTGTGATGACGAAAATTTTTTATCTGAAAATCTAGTTGAAAATTCGTTTTGATTGGTATATTGTTCTCCATTACTTTCATTAAACAATAATTTGCCATTAGAAGACCTATTATTAACAGCGTCTTTATTGAGGGGAGATTTTTGCAATAGTTGTTGCTCTAGTTCTGTAACATTTGGTACAATTATTCGAAACTGATTAGTTGCAGTTTTTGAGTTCCCATTTACTTGTCCATCATACACGTGTGAAAACCCACGTTGCTGTTCAAATGTATTAGGTTGAGGATTTACCGGATAAACATTTGAATTATCATTGAATCGTCTATTATTAGAAGTTAAATGTAAGGGTTGATATTGATCAACAGGCTCAAATTTGTTTGACTGAACATATCCAGAATCAGTTTTGGAATTGAATTTTTTGTTGGAAGATAATTCATGGTCTGGCAATTGTTCAATTGGTTCAAATTGAGTGGATGGTTGATAATCAGAATTGGGTAAGCCTTTGTTATAATTATGAGCGTTAAATAACGGTACTTTCTGATTATAACCGTGACTGTTATGTTCCTCAATTATTGGATCATAACCATCATTATGAACTACTTGCTGTTGGTTTCCTAAATCAAAACTAGATGCTGGTTCTAAAAGTTGACTTTCAGGTACAGGGTTAATTAATGATTCTTTTTCATAAACATGGGAGTATGCATTTTGAGTAGATCCTTGTTTTCCTTTAAGCTGGTTACGCATCCAAGAATTTGGACTCAACTGTGCAGGATTTGTATACTCATTATTAAAATTATTGTTTCTTTGAGTGGGATATGATAATTCTTTTGGAAATGAAAAACGTACTTTATTTTGAGGCTGATTATATTTTTCTTCTCTAAATATATTTTTATTTTCATATTGTTTATTACTTTCAGGATTATTAGATGAACCAATATTATTTTGATGCCCAATTGAAATAGGATTCTGATTGGTAAATTGGCTATTTGAGAGGTCTGAATTAGGTATTGATTGCCCTTGACTAGTAAATTGATTGTTATTTAATCTTGATGGCTTTTGTTGTAATGAAGCAAGATAATTGATGTTACTGTTCAATGGTTCAGTATTAGTTGGATTATTTGAATTTAACACTTGACCGTCATAAATATTTTTAGAATTAAGGTTTGTTTTATAATTTACAAATGGCTGTGTGGATCCTGAAGAGTCTTGGCTTCGATTATATCCATTTACAACAAAATCTGAACCATATAGCGGTGTTCCACCTCCAGCTCGTTTTCCATAGTCTAATGGTACATTTGTATCATTGTTGTGGGAAATTCCTCTATTCATAGACTGAGTGTTGGTTTCAAAATGTTGGTCGGGGTTTTTATTTAAAGTCAAAGAATCAACTTTAGACGGATTTCCATTTAAACATCGCACTTTGGAAGGAAAATCACATTCTAAAGTTTCAGGATTAAATAAAGTACCTGGACTACAAGATTGAATAAAACCTCGGCCTTTAAAGCAATTAAGAAATTTTCGACAATCCAGGGTAACAGGGAAAATGCCAGTTGTTTTTGAAGGACAGTTTTCACCATCCCATAATGGTGGCTCTGCAGAATTCTAAAATTAAAAAATATTAAAATAAAACAAAAAGTACAATTCCCGGTAAAGTGGAATAGGTATAGTGAGGACAGAGCAAATTGGGTCAGGGTAAGTCATAGATTTACTGAAATGTTCATAATCAAAAGTGATAAAATCACTTTCATATAAACGCTTTGATAGGTGGTACAAATATAAATATTGATAAAAGTATTGTAAAAGCTATAATGTGCTCAATGTATTTTTAGTATTTAAGTGTGACACTACATAGGAATGATTGTCTGTCTAATAATTTGATACCATTGTCCCATATATATATGAGGTCAAAAGGGAAAGGGAACCTTTATTGTCGTGAGAATTGAAATCACAGGCGAGGCCAAAACATCGATTAGGGTTGAAAACATTTTTAAGAAAACAAAATTATATTATCTTCTTAAAGGCATTTTATTTTTGGTTAAGTTTTATTTCTCAAGTATATAAAATATCTAAAAATTGGCATAATTTCAAAATTTTAAAGCGTTTTTCTCAAAAAACCCATTTTTTGAATATAAATTCAAACAAATATAACTCAGAAAATTCTCAAAAAGGAAAACAGTTTTTGTCTCAAAATGTTCAAAATTTGGAATAGCCAATAAGTTAAAATTTGATTTTTGTGACAAGAGGTCCCTTTTTGCCTCACATATTGTAATTAACAACATAATAAACTATTTTTCAGATATCTGTTGAGTGTTGATTCACTCTTACATATCAACCTAGAAATTTGTTACTAAGTATAATTTACCTCTTTTTATTTTGTGTTTCCTTAATAAAAAAAAAAGTTTGGCAACTGATTAAAGGAATTTGTATTACAGCCCCATTATAGACCTACCTTCAATCTAATTTTCAAACCTTAGGTATAATACTACAGATAAAAAAGTCAAATAAAGAATAAATTTATACCTCTGAAGTGGAAGGGGTGATGAACTAGTTAAATAATATTTTTTTATAATAAAGTACCTTTGAGGTACATGATGAAATCGATCCTGTGTTTTAAAAGATATTGTGGGTCCAAACACAAAAAAAAAATGTAAAACCTTTTAAGCTCTGTATCAAAACTAATATCAACTAGCTTTTAATACTTTTACATGATTCTACAAATTTGATATTTTGTACTAGAAGGCATGAGGATTTTTAACTTACCACAGCTTCATCTTTATTGTTAATGTAAAAATACAATTTTTTGGGGTATATCTTTTTAAAATTTTAGACTCCAAAAGGCCCTTTAGGTACCAGGACAACTGTGAGCAACATTATAAAATTACCTCATTTTCTTCTACAATTGATATTCATAACCTAACATTTCTTAATTTTTATTTTATTTTTTTATTCAAATACTACTGTATTTACTGTACAAAAGCAAAAATATCATTAGCTTACAATGAGGCCACTTCATGAGGGCGTGAGTTAAATTTCTAGTCACTATCCTCCAAAATTATACTAACCTTTTAGAAATTAGAATGAATGTGTACAAACAAGAGTCTAGCAAAAAAAATTATCTACAATAAATTTAGATTTATTACTATTTACTTCACAACATTATTGACATAACTGTACCTCATTGTTAATACTCGAAGATGGTATGTTATGTTCATGAATCGATGAAGTTAAATGTTTTTGGTATTGTTTATTAGTCCCTTTGAACTCGTTACTTTGTCCGCCATTATAATTTTCATTAAAAGCAGCCCAATTCAACTTTTCTTCTATTGGTGTTGGTTTTGTTACAATATTTATATTTTTGACAATCTATAATTTTTAGTTAATTTAATTTTTTTTTTAATATATGTTCAAAAAAAAGTATTATACTTAAATATACAAATACTTACACATAATACATCATATTCTAACAATAAAAAAAAAAATAAAATATGTGGACTCTTCATGTTGCTGTATAAATTCAACTAAAAGTGTATGAACTAGTAATATATTTTATTATAAAATAAACGATTTACTTATCTAAGGTCAAAGTATAAAGTTTAAACTGATTCACATGAAAAACAAAGTAATTCTACAAAATAAAATCTACCTATATATATTAAAATGTTAGCCTTGATTTGTATATCATGTTAATATTAGATAACCCATTCTCATTTTGCAATACCTTCCATTAATATTATTTATTTTATGAAAGGAAAAACATAACTACACATAAACAATTGATATATTAATGGGATCAAAATAATTATTTAGCAATTTTTATACTAGATTTAGTTTTATCTATTATATATTTATATGGGTTTTCATGGTTATATGGTGTTCTAGGAATTCCAAGCCATTTACGCAGTTGTGGAGACAACAAAATAACATTCTGAGATAATCCATAAATACTTGATGTAGTCCAATATAAGCTGACACCCTAAACATTTACAGAATTACCAATTTGAGTGTAATAAATCATAAACAAGAATTATAATAAATAATAGTATTTACGGATGGTAAGAAATATGAAATAGGTAACATAAAGAGAGTAATGCTTCGAAATATATTGGTAACTATTGCCTGTTTTCGTGTGAGTTCTTTATTTCGAGCATGTGTTTGAATCTATAAGCAAATCATTTTATATACTTATTAGATACTTTTATAATTTATTTAAAAAAATGTTTAATGTATCAACATTACCTGAATAATTAAGAGATTAGAAAGACACAAAATCAAAGGTAAACACATAGTTGGATCAATATCTGTTAAATTTGTAAACCATAAAATACCACCTTCCGTTAATTCAGTAAATCTAATAAGAGCTGTAAAAAATAAACTGATAAATCACTAGTTTTTAAAAACTGTTGTTAATAATAATGTTACCATCATTGCTTGGAGGTAGCATTAATGTCAGATTACGAATAGCTATTGACATACAAATCCACAATGGGAGTTGTATCCAAACTACAATTGTTGATTTTGCAGGATGACAATTCTCTCGTATAATTAATTCATTCCAGTATTTTTTTAACTAAAAACAATATAAATAATTTTTAATTATAAAAAAAAAATGAATTCTCATCAGTGGTAGTTATGATCTATATAGCTCCATTATTGAAGACTACAATTAACAACACATTACATTTAGATGAGTAAGTCCATTTTTTTTATGATTATCTCTTTTACTGCTAGGAACTATAACATAAACACCTGTCCTGATCATAAAAAAATGCCGATCAAAACTTACGAAATTATAACTAAATTAATAATTATAGACTATGAACCCCCAAACTCGCGCAGAACCATTTATTAGGATACATAAAGTAATGAAATTAGTAATATCAACAACTTATTTTATTATCATATTTAAAAAAATAAAACAAACTGAGTTAATAATGCCTTATAAATACTTCTTTAATGTAATGAAAATAAAAAAAAGGAACAATTATAGTTATGTACATTCAACTTGCTTCTTTGTAAACAAATTATAATGTTGCTAGTATGACCATTGGTTCCAAGGAGACTCTATAAATCTATTCAGAATAAGAACAGTCCGCGCGGCCAACTGATTTTCGTCAGTAGGTGAGAGGTTTCTCCCACCAAGTCGAGGAGCGCGATGCAATGCTTCGGAACAAACCACGCCCATGCGCAACCCGGACCGATCTTATTCTGAATAGAGTATAGTCTTCCGAGTACCTGGTCAAAAGCTTTTTAGCTGTTCTACCAAGTGTTGCATAGATAGTAGAATTATGTTTCAAAACCTTGCTGCTGACTAATAACATTGCTAATAATATTAAACTAAATAATAACTGACTAATAATATTGCTCCCATAACATATCTTCGGCTGATTTTATGAAAAAGTGATGATGCCTTATTGTGTAATCCATCTAAATATTTTTTTTTTTTTTAAAGGTAGACTTTAAATTTGATTAAACGGTTATTTCATCGTAAATAATCTAAATTTTGAAAATCAAAGCTCTTTTGCATGTGTTTGAGCAAAATAAAAAATATAGCTCCTTGCGCTTTAAAATCGTTTTTAAGTTTAGGTAGACAAACACGTAGGTAACCATTTAAAATCATAAGTTTGTGTATATTAAACTGATGCAAAAAAATAAGCTTATAACAACAGTGAGTGGGAATCAAATTTTGATTCAAAATATTTCACAAACAAAGTCAAAACAAATAAACAAATAACAAAAAATTCCACATATTAGGTTGGTTATAAAAAATTATGTTTGTATCTGGATTTTAAAACGCCAGGTGCGGTAGTTTTGTGCTTATGTTAAAATGTATTAATATTAAATTCATAAGTAGATAGTTTTAAAACGTGGCAAACAAAAAAATAAAACAAGTTTTTCGAATTGGAGCGATATGGAAGCCACTGCCTTTCTTACACTTAGTTAAATGCACGACATTATTAAGAACTAGACAAAGTATCAACCCTTAGTTGTTAAAATATACTAATATTAAACAAAAATAGTCTTACAGCTTTATTATAAACTCTTCGTGCTTTTATTTCTGGCCATTTATGCAATTTTATAGCTTTGGTTACTTCTTGTTGTATTTCTTTAACGGTGGGTTGAAATTCGATAGAAAGATTTTCAAGTTTTGCGTTATTGTAATGCTATATAACAAAAAAGTAATAGTTTGTAAATTAGTTATTCATAAACTATCGTTAACATGAGAGAATAGAAGAGCCAACCTCATTTTCGGTACATTTTGGAAAATGGGCTTAAAATTTTGTAACTTTCCATAAGCTACAAAGCTTTTAAAAATACTTCATATCTTAATCAATTTTTGTTCTAAGAGTCCTTTTTTCAAACAAATGAACTTTAATGGATACCTTTAATGTAAGATCTTGTGTTTTGTATGCTGATTGTTAGTTTTAAGTTATAAATCCCCAGGGAATCCTCTAGTTAATAAGAGACGCCCGCTTCATCAGTAATAGTGAGCAGCTGTGGTCATCCACCAGTTACACAATAGAAGCATGTACGACTGCTGTCTCCGAAGGCGGACTCGAGCCCCCAAGGGACTTCCATCAAAAATGAAATTCAACAAATTATTAGCAGAACTACATACAGCAACAGACGAAGCTATCAAATGGCTGAATGCATTAGACATGAACATTTTATAATTCCACTACTAACCTTGACGTTGTTTCATTTAATTTTCGACTTATTATTTAATTCATACTTTAATTATTTAAATATTTATATATATATATATATATATATATTGCATTCAGTGAGGTCATAGAAAAAACTCCTAAAGGATATAAAAAAAGCTTATCTGATACTACTCTCCAAACAGTCACCACCCTAATAAGTCCAAAACATTAATGAGACTTCTGGCTCACCCTTCAAAGTAACAAAAAAAAAATAAGAAAGTAGGCATGAATTAGAGAAAGACACATATATTAATTTATTGTAACAAAAAAATTAATATACAGTGTTATATTTAACCTAACCGTGTTAACAAATTACTGTTTTTTACACAGCTTGCCGCAAATGGATAGTTCAATGATGTTGTGTACGGCAAGGGCACTGCTGGTGTGTCGCACAATGATTATTTTCAAATTAATAAAGTACTTTTGAACTAGAGGAGTCCGCTGATCTCAAATTTAATTAGTAATCAGTGTAAAAAAAAGCACTACAAGATGGCTAAATAAAAATCGCAAAATAAAAGGTACTTGGTAAAGTGCATTTATATCGTATATATTTACACATATTAAGGGGTGTTATAATTTACACATTGAGTTTCCTAATTAAATTTTTTCAAAAATGTACTGACGTTTTAGCACGAGGTGCAGAAATATTACATACAAATTTTTTAACAAATTAACATTTCTTAAGCTGTATACATTTTCTGCACAAAAGAAATACATTTTAAGATATATTTATTACTGCTACTTTTTTAAATAAAATTATGGTGTAAATCTAATTTAAGTCCAATCAATTTTTTTTTCTTCAGTTTTTTTAAAAATCTAAAAAAAAATGTTATTTGTATTTATATTGGTACTAACTTGATAAATTGTTAATGGTAATGTAATAACCAATCGCAAAGTTACCGCACTGAGTATTATTGAAGCCCACCAAGATGTCCCAGTTAATTCATGAAGAGAAATTACATAGTTTTGAGCATATGCCACTGGCGTAGAATTTGATAATACTATAAACCAAGATGGATATGATACTGAAGCAACAGTCCTTTTTAAAAATAGTAAATTGTTATTACTAGTAGGTAGTGAATTTAATGCCGAATAGTTTCCAGAATAACTTAAAAAACGATAACTGTTGAAACATCGATAACTTATTAGGCGAACGCATAACATTTTCACAAAATAGAACGAAAATAGTAATTACTATTAATTTAATACAAATAATAATTAATACTGTAACTAATAATAGTAAACTTTAAAGCTAGTAACAGGTAACTACTACCCATTATCATTCAAAATTAATAAATGATAAGCATTAAGCACATGGACCTAAACCATAGACCACTGAACTCAATATATGGAACGCGTATTCAGATTGAAAAATGACCCCACGTGGGAGGCAGCTATTTTGTGTACATCTTTATAATAATAAAACGTTACTGGTAGTCTTTATAATAATAATAATAATAATAATAATAATTAATAATTATAATTATTATTATTATAATAATAAAACGTTACTGGTAGGCTATTCGGTTTTTCCAGGGTGCGTTCGGCGACTGTTCGTTTCTTCCACGGCCAGATATACGGTTTCATAGCCGCCGCGGATTTCGTCTGGGCCATTGATAACGGTGCACCGCGTGCGCCGGTCGTGTTGTTTATCTCCGAACGGATAAACGTCAAACGTGTTTTAAATATTAACGGAAAAAGTATTTTTTATGGTCAGTGTTTGCGGTTGGGTTTTGGAGTTGGAAAAGTAACGTTCTTTCGGTATGTATATATTACGTTTTTAATATTTCATCGTCGTCTAAATTTCTATTGAACTTATGACGTAGTCGTGTCTTAAAAAAATTGATATAACAAACGATTGATAAACACCGCTATGGCATGTGATAGTAGTGGTATATTATTTTTTCGTTGTATATATTTGTAATTACCTACCTACTTATTTTCTATGTATGTGCATATTTTGTTTTAGGCTGTTCCCAATGGGTATACCTACTCTGCGACACTTTTGTTTACCGGTAAGCGTTAATATTCTATCTATCTACTCTGTATTTGAATACGACAAATACTACAATTACTAATTATTATTATTGTTATACTTTTAAAGGCGTTGTGGAAGTTCTGTCGTCTCATGAAGTCCACAATTGATTTTCCTGCGGCCGTCTAAAAATCTCTGCGGTTAAGGTTAGGCATCTCTTCTTAAATCCATTTAATTTACCCATGTATTTGTATATAATAATATTTGCACAATGATTAGATACTTTGTTAATGAGTAAAACATTATACATTTGTTTTATAATTTAAATAACACCTGGGGCTAATTTTGTGTGCTTAAAATTTATGTACAATAATTAACATAAAATATTGCCTTCAGACATATTATTTTAGCGTTCAACATTCTGTATTGTTAGACCGTTTTTTAAAGGAGTTTATTGTATAGGTTCTTTTTTTTTAGTTGCTGTTGGTGTATAACTAAATAATACACATAATCTTTATAATAATAATAATATTGTCAAATCATTTTTATTGGAACTAATTTTCATTTAATACGTTGTTAATATTATAATATCTGAGGCACGTCAACATTTCATTATTTATAGAAGTATTCGCTCCACCCTAAAAAATTTGCTATTGCTATTTTTTTATTTATTGATAATACATAATGAAAAATAAAATTATTTTAAAATTAAATTATTATGATTTAACTTTCCATATCTAAACACTTAAAAGTTAATATAAGGGTGTGTCTTAATTTTAGTCAGTTATTGTTGTAGGCAATTAAATTTAATATATAAATAATAAACACCAATTTTAATAATTAAATTAAACTCTTATATTTATAAATTAATTTATATATGTAGTGCTCTAACCTAACTAATATCGATCAATTAATATCACTTTAATTTCAACGGTTAGGTTAGGTTATTAATTGATCAGAATTTTTGTTTCAGTAGTTATTCATTTTGATGTTGATTGACGGATAGTTTGCTTTCTAATGTTACCACTTGATTTTTCTACTTTCGATTCACCAATTTGAGAAGACTGTTAATCGGTGATGCGATACAAGCAAAATATTTTGACCGTTGGAAGCGACCAGTATTGGTATGTCTAATTACATTCTTATACATAAACAACATATTATATTAACTACATACGCATATATTTAACTTTTTACAGTGTCTATTGATTTCCATGCCTGCCAAAAAATGATAAGAATGTCAAATTGGATGCAAGATCACTTTGTTGATGTTACAAACTCATTTAGCAAATTATAAAACTAATAACTTATTTACATTTTTAACTGCCAATTTTAAAATAATTGTATGATTGTTGATGTAAAATATTTCAAGATGCATTTTCAATACTTTTTTGTAATGTAATTCGAATATTACACTTTGGTTAGATTAGATTAACTTATAATTTGTGCTATTTATTCTATTATAACTAATTTGTACCATTGATGATTAAACTCTAATTCTAATTCTAAACATACAATACCAAATACTGACATAGATATAATTTCTCAACAGATTACGATTCTAATGACCAATATCTAGACATATAATATAGTATAGGTACTACACTTAAACAAGTTTTGTTTCGCATAACACCATACCACACATTTAGCCGACCGACCTCTAAACATTTCTTTCTGTTTTATACCATTGCTTACCAAGCCCGTGAAGTAAGCAACACCAGATACTTGATTTTCAACATGTCATTCAAATAAAAAAAAATTTAAATTGATATTACATAATGAACAAGATTGTGCGTTCATAAAAACGTTATAAAAATATAATTATTTTGACATTTTTAATTATGATCATTTAGTAGGATGAACTGTTAGTTAGCTATCTAAAAAAATATCGATTTGTGGATTTAAATATATAGATTAAAAAATATGAATCTGAATAAGTATAAAATATAATTATTATAATAAATAGTAATAAAACTATAGTAGAGCAATTGCCAATAAATCCAAAAGATCTACATTAATCAATGAATGTTATTTGTAAAAATGAATAAGAACAACAGTATTTTATAATTATATGTGCCGCGGTATATTATATAGACACAAAATACAAACAATTATTGGTTATGCAAATATCATCCCTAGAACACAATGTAGAGAATATATCTCTGCTTCGTCCCTGGCAATTGCAATTATGGTTGGGCTTGAATTACACGGTTGTCGGAGACACTTAATTAGGGTTTATTAAAATAATTAATATCCACCTTACACAAGCGATGCTTATTTTTCGGTGGAAAATTAAAATAATCGGAAAAATATATCTATTGGTATGTACTGTGGCGTACTTACTGGGGGGGAGGTCGGGTTCAAACCCTCCCCCACCCCGAGAGCCAAAACAAAAAAAATGTGAATAAGTAATATATCATAGGTATTTATTGTATAATTGTTACTCTCTGAAGTAATTTAGAACTTGAAGTAAATAAATATAATAATTTAATAATTATATTTTAAGTGTTAAGGGAAAGGTGGGGGAATTGCGGCCACCTAAGCAAGAATTAAAATATCCTTGGAACTATAAGTCCAGAAATTTGGCTATTTCTTGAAATCGAACTATCGAGTTTTTTTTCAGAAAAAATATTCCAATGTAATTTATAATTATTTTTTGATGGAAAAAAAGTTGGTTATCATTTTGAAACATCTGGTTAGGTAATAGGTAGTATTATGTTTTTACAACCCTCCCCCCCCCAGAGCAAGATAAGTCCCTTTAGTTACCTTTAGTTAAGCTTAACCTTGTAAAAATGTCTAGTTTCACTTGGGGTTTTTAAGGAACTGCATTTTTTTAAAGAAATGTTCGTGCAATTATTCTTTAGATCTTCAAGTACTATAAACTCAATTTGAAAAAACTTCTCTGGTGCTTAAAATTCGATATATGAGGGGGGGGGGGGTTGAACTGAGATATTACTCAGTACAACATTGATAAAAAAAAACATTAAAAAATGGAGTAGTTCTTAAAATATTACGCATTTCTTGTACAACAATAGTACTAAAAAATAATATTGAACAGAATTTGTATACATGACAGCAGTAGTCAAAGGGTTAAAATACTGGGTGATTCTTTTAACGCCCTACATTAGTTTACTCTTAAAATAATTGCAAATGTGTAGTGGTTATTTTTGAAAAACATTTTGATTATACTATATTACTATATAAAACAATATTTAAATTTTTATCTTTTGTAGTACTTTCTAGAGCTTTATCAACTTTTGAAACTTAAATGGTAACGTAAATATATTTTTAACTTTTTAAATTAACAATAATTTGCTGAAGATGAAGTGAAGCTAAATTTCTGTCGGCTCTTGGAATTTATTGATTCCATTTATCAATCATATCCTACATAATAATAAAACTATATAACTGAGCAAATTGAAGTTGTACCCTATGTTTTAATGCATAATATATGTTGGAATTCCTAATTTAGATCTTACTCAACTGTACCTTTAAACTGTCCCTAACTTAACTATACACAATATTTAAAAATGCTATTAAATAGATTGCTGCATGTATTCAATAATTATTGTCAATATTTACTAGTCTATACTTCAGATATTTGTTTTAACTTTCATTAAACTGGCTCATTCATGCTTTAGTCTTGCTAAGAAATTGTTAAAAACTAACTACTAAATAGTATAAAGTTCTGTACGAATACCATGTCATAAGAATTAAACCCGAAGCATCCTAAATCATTATCGAGTTTACCAAATATTTGAGTTAGCATAATATCTGTGAAGGATGAAACATAGATGGATATTTTTTATTTTCATTTTTGTATGATTTAATATCATTGGGCAATCCAGTATTGCACCCAGGTACAAAACATTTGTTGGGCATTATTTGGTTAAAAAACGTAACTAAGTCTTAAGTCTAAAAAAATCTTAATTGAACAACGTGTGCAGCATTAATCGCGCTCAAAGGGATGATTTTCAAAACAAAAGCTGTTTTTTGAGACTTTATCGGGTATCCAACGCCATCTAGCGGAGAATTCAACTAGTGCGTTTTTTTCAATCAGCTAATCGGCAGTGTTAACACCTGATAAATCCACCTGGTTACACCTCAAAGAGCCACTCGACAAACAACCACCGAAAATCGACACCGAGCCACTCGACAAGCAGCCACTCGAAGGGGTACCAACATATACAATATTTATAAAAAATGCACGATTATTATTCGTGTATGTTGTACGGCTAGTATTGTTTATTTAAAGGGGAAAACTTGTACATTTCATAACTAATGCAATAAGGCTTGAACTATTTTTAATTCACTGTGTGACCTGTCTCCTGTTTTGAGTTTTTTTGTTTAAGTTATAATCAAATCAGTTTCTATTATTGAAATTTATATAAAAAAAAAACTGAAAATATATGAAACAATATTTACAATATTATATTATAGTGATAATTTACCAACAATAAATTGTCTCTTGAGTTTGTAAAAAAAAATGTTTTTTAAAACATACTTACACGTTTTATAATAAGTAAAGCAGAATGTTCATTGATCAAATTTCAATGAAATTATACTTTTTTTTTTTAATTATTTAATACCGATGTATTATACCTATCTATTTAAAACAATACATCGTGAATACCTCATACGAAACTATTCGATACCCGACAATAAAATTAAACACATTTACTTAAATACTTTACAACTTCCAATAGGCAATAACACAATAATAAATTATAGTTAAATACTATTTAATTTTGTATTATATATTATCATATCTGTGTATTAGTTATCATGTTATATATTAACCGAAAATATATTAGCCGAAAATAATGTCATCGAACGTATTTTAGCTGACACTTATTGTTTGAACAGAACCTTATAAGTTATAAATTATAATAGTATACAAAAACACTGTTACGCGCGCCGTGTGACCGCGTTGTGTCTACTGTCTACGCTATTTTTATAACATCTGTGATAAGTTCCATTTGTTATTAAAATATACAGCTATTTTTTATTTTGTGGTTGACATTTTTTTTCCATATATACTACCAATGCTTAATTGTTAGTATTTGTTTATACTTAGCTACACAATAGTAAATTCAAACAGGGACAACCTATGGTAGACTGGCGCCTTGCCGATGCTGAATAAAATGTTTATATATTATTAAGCCGGCAGTAGTTTTTTGGGGTCTAAAATAACCGGTATGGTTCTTTTGGATCTAGATATGATCACTCACCAGACTTATCACTAATGTCCAGCTAATATATAAAATAGATCACTCCAGTTTATGTGTAAACAAGGTCAGATACAAGGGGAAGGCTGGAGTTAATAGTTAATAGTTTATAATACAATCTATATTAAATTTATATTTATAAACACAGATTTCCTTATTTCACACTATTATATTATACAAGTTAAAAGTTAGCTATAACTTAAATTTAAGTGACATGTGTATTGGCGTTGTCGATTGCATTATCTAGATGTTTTTATACATGTGCATAGAGTACACAAGGGTTTCACAAAATGATTGATACTTAGTGTGTGATATTATAATTAACGTGAAGTGGGTCTCATACGGTTAAAAAGTTATTAACGAAACGTTAATATTACTAAGTTTACTATGGTCAAGTTTATACAAACTAACGGTTGGTTACCAACTGCGGCCATCCATCACTGATGTTAAATAATTATGAGATTCGAGCTATCAAAAAAAAAATATAATGGTTCAACACGTTGACGGTGGCCGGTACTTAACAAAAGACTGCAAGGAAATAGTTTTTACTAAAAAAATTGATGATTTTACTGTTTTTATCTATTTTTAATGTTATAATTATTAAAATTTATTTTATTATTGACCACGATTTAATAAAAAAAAATTATTTGGCTTAAGTATTCTAACAGCCTTGACAAAAATGTATTTTCTAAAATGATTATGTACATGTTTATTTTTAAAAGTTATTATCAGCAGTAATAAACATATAATATTAATCATTTGTTGAATAAAAACTAATAGTGTACATATTATGAACACAACGGATTTCATACAAGTTATTTTAGTATTAAAGTTAGAAACAATTGTGCATTATTAAAGAAAAATACTAAATTAATATAATCAAGTTTATAAAAAATGTTTACTAAATTATTTCCACTTGGCTTATAGTTTTTAAATTTTGAACATAGTTGGAAAAATAACAAAATACAGTTAGAACATTACAAATAATTATGGTATAAATCTACTTTACCGGGCACCCTTTTTTTCGATTATTTTTTTAAATCGACAGTACTTTTAATGTTGATTACGAATATGTAAAGAATTTGCGCCGCTCGCACTTAGTTTGGAAGTTACAGACTTTTAAAGTTCGCCGAAATCGACATACGTGCGCGCCCGGCACTGCACGTCTACCCGCGCCCGCTGAGTACTTCGTCCGTCGATCGCCGCTTAATTATCATCGGATTCCTCG